ACGTATTGCCCGACGTATTGCCCGCCCGGGAATTCTGACAACTACACTGGACGAAAATAAATCTAATGATACTTGTACGTAATTATGTTCACTTATGGATTAATGATATATTAATTGATTAATTGATCACAGGGAATGTCTAGCAATGATATAATAAAACAAATATTTCATTCTATGTTCGGGCAATACCTGTTGCACTTTCAATGATTTTTGCATCATGTATTTCCCTCGCCCTACGGGCTGCGGGCAATACATACCGCAGAAATCATTGAAAGATGAACAGGTATTGCCCTCCATAGAATGAAATATTTGCTTATTATTATATCATTGCTAGAAATTGTGTGATTTGATTGGTCGAGTCAGTACCATGTGATCAAAAATACCATAACGTATTTCACAGCTCCCTCAATTTTAGGATAATAAAAGACGTATTGCCCGACGTATTGCCCGCCCGGGAATTCTGACAACTACACTGGACGAAAATAAATCTAATGATACTTGTACGTAATTATGTTCACTTATGGATTAATGATATATTAATTGATTAATTGATCACAGGGAATGTCTAGCAATGATATAATAAAACAAATATTTCATTCTATGTTCGGGCAATACCTGTTGCACTTTCAATGATTTTTGCATCATGTATTTCCCTCGCCCTACGGGCTGCGGGCAATACATACCGCAGAAATCATTGAAAGATGAACAGGTATTGCCCTCCATAGAATGAAATATTTGCTTATTATTATATCATTGCTAGAAATTGTGTGATTTGATTGGTCGAGTCAGTACCATGTGATCAAAAATACCATAACGTATTTCACAGCTCCCTCAATTTTAGGATAATAAAAGACGTATTGCCCGACGTATTGCCCGCCCGGGAATTCTGACAACTACACTGGACGAAAATAAATCTAATGATACTTGTACGTAATTATGTTCACTTATGGATTAATGATATATTAATTGATTAATTGATCACAGGGAATGTCTAGCAATGATATAATAAAACAAATATTTCATTCTATGTTCGGGCAATACCTGTTGCACTTTCAATGATTTTTGCATCATGTATTTCCCTCGCCCTACGGGCTGCGGGCAATACATACCGCAGAAATCATTGAAAGATGAACAGGTATTGCCCGAACATAGAATGAAATATTTGCTTACTATTGACTGGTCACATGACCTAACTGGTGATTAGTACAATTCATCTTCCCTGAAAGCAGGGATTTAGGACTGTCCAGGGAAATAGTTCATCTATTCCATGTCATGTGACCATGAATAAGCCAATGAGCATCTAGAATACATTTGAGGTATATAATAATTTACACTATTGCCCTCAATGGCAGTCACTATTTGTATAATATTGTTTGTTGAGAATTCTTTTCTTACTAATATTCCACCCTAAAATTGGCTGCATAAATGACGTAACAGTAGGTTCAAACATAGTTAAAGAATCATACAATGAGCACATCCGATAACACTATGGGTTTCGTTGCACCTTATTATACCACTCACAAGACGTTTAAAGACTGATTTGCAGAGAAATTCCCCAGACTCTATCATCTTGAACACCGTATAATTCAAAATGTAGCGTTCTAAGGTTTCCCACATGATTGAAAGTGGGGAATTGTGCCGCCCATTCCCCCCTATAAGCCACAGCAGTCGACGAATCAGAACAGTTTTGTATATATTGTTCATCGGTAATATTACAATGCTTTTCTTGTATTAGACAAATAATATTTTCTTTCACTAGACATATTTTCGGTTGTGCAATTATTAAACACAAAAAAAGGTATAATATATGAAAATTGATCCCCTAAATCTGAGTTTAGGAGCATTTTTCCTCTATCTGCCATGGTCTGTTCTGTTATCTGACCCGAATTAGCAACCTGGTGGTGAAGCTGGTAACTACTAACTACCGACTGGCACATCGGTTTTTGAACTACACGATTATACCATAAAGATGAGCTAACTACCCAAAGATTGCATTATAATTGTATATGTAGTTATGTAATTTAAAACCGCAACCGCATATCTTGTGAAGGTGTTAACACGACCAGTGCTTCATTCCCTAAACTAAACTCCGATGCGTGAAAAGTTTTGTTGCCCGATGACTTTTGAGAAATGAAAAAGACGATTTCAATAACCCTTTATTAAAGATATGCTATGCAGATAAGTAGGTCAGTATTACATAATCATGAAATGAATAAGTCTGAAAATACAATTAGTCAGAATGTACTAAAACCTGCTTGAAACTGAAAAACATTGCATGCTCTATTCCACACAATTTGGAGGCTTTTGAAATTCGCAGTAACAATGAATAAGTGCCTGTATATAATCATTGCATAGACAACACTTCATGTAGTGTTTATCAAATGTATTGAGTTGACCAAAATACTCCTTTGTTTACTACATACTGGACTACATACTGGCACCCTTACATATATGTTACAGTACATATTGAAGAATTATCCCATAAGAGCTTTGCAAAATCAACATCTTATACTATCAAGGTAATAGACGGCTTGCCCAACCTTACAGGCAAACAATTATAGACAAACTTGAAAATAAGACTGGTTTTGTCACATGGAATTATGATAATAAGTAAATAATATTTTTGTAATATTTTGCACCGGTATAACCATGCTCAGTAGAATAATACACAGGGTTACCCTAAATTGTAGAAACATGAATATGTTATAATTAATTAATTCATATATCCCAAGAATTTCCCCCCTTCCCTTCCTGACCAAACCTTGTTTTATTTTTTATTTTTACAATAAAATAAACTACTCTTTTGGACATCTTATCATTATTATTTCCATATGTTATTGACGCGAGAACTCAAATGATCAATGGGAAAATAATGCTAAACTTGCACACTGAAATAGGTATTCCAGCAAGCCTGGGAAAATATGGCTAGAAAAAGATGCTACACCTAAGGGCTTCAGGTGAACAAACTATTCCCCCAGAAAAGTATTTTAAGGGTCAGATCACTAAATTCATGATTGCATTGAAAAGCTTTGAATGCTAATTTTCAAGAATGGATGTATTACCAAAGAAGTAAAATATGAAGAATTCATATTGTTTATTTCGAGTGATTATTTAGTGTAAAGTTTTGTCTCTAGTGACAGCATGTTACTGAATATCTCATCAAGTGACCTAAACTACAGCAGCTAAAATAAGCATACCGAATACAATTTAGTATGATTCGGAGAAGGGATTATATAGTTATAAGGGATTAGCAATTTATTTATTATCTTACAATTTAGCTCAATTCTTGAAATTGAAGATCTACTGCTACTTTGTTTAATATGCATTATAATAGATCGATTTGATGGTAAGAACTAGTATGTGATATGATCGATTTTACCTTTTTGTCATCATTGCTTAGGAATACAATAATACCATTCCAATTAATGATAACTCACTTATTGTATTACTTGTGCTTGAAACACATGCTGGAAGATATGCTTGTAAAATTAGTAAACCATTACCAAAACTATGGTTACCCTGTAGTAGTGAAAGGCACATTAAAGATGAATATCACCCCCTTCAATCTATTTTTACAGGTTTTTATTATTATTTCACATTTTTCTATATTTTGCGTAACCAGACGGGTGAATTTTCTTCATTTTTCTTCAAACATTTTGTCTTACCAATATTTATTATACCTGTCAATTTCAAGAAAATCGCGCCGCTACGTTTGGAAATAATTCAAATTATGTAGTTTTTCCCATTGAGCTCCATTATAAAAATCGAATTTTCAAACTTAATATTTTAAAATTCTACGCGGTGAAAAGTTGCATATTGAGTAGTTAGTTAATGTTATGGTGTAAAAAATTCAAAACAAAAAAAATAAAGAAAAAATGCCACAGAGAAATCTCAATAACAACTCTTTAAGTATCCGTTTGTTCTTAACCAGATCAGAGCACTTATTCACAACTTATGAATAAGGCAGAGCCTCTGAAACCATTTTTCTTAACATTGTAGCTTCGTTTAACCATAATCTTAACGCAGAATAGTATAGTTTCCATATAGCTTTTGAAATCTCGCTAAATCTCGTTTTTCGTGAGATTTTAAGAGACTTGCATATTAGCCTTCTAATGACTTACATTACCTTCTTTTAAATGGCATATTTGAATTCAGTGAAATGTTTTCTCCTTTAATAGCTTTGATTTACACAGTTATGTAATTTGAATAATTTTCTATAACAATTTAAAAAAACTCGGGCCAAATGTCCATAGATGCAATGGTAAAATTCTTTAAATCCATGGATTATTTGTATGTCAATCAACATTTGCATGTTAAATCACATCATGTACATAAACAGGGTCATCATGTGGTATATCATTCAAGTTTTATACAGATTCAACAAACACACTTTGATAAATCATGAAATGAAGCCACTTTTCCAAGATTTTAGCATGTAAATGAATGGAGCTCTAGCCCAAGTTAAAAGCTGAATAAAAGATGGCAGCACGAGATTTCATTGATTTTTCTGCTATTTAGAAACTATCCTATTCATAAACTTTGGTATGCCACAAGGTTTGATCATACGCCCGCCACTTCTATCCAGTGTGTACATTAATGTAAACATCCGAGAATATACATTTGGAATGAAACATTTTTTCAAATCAAAACCACACTGAAAAAATGAAAATCCAAACATTTATAAATGTTCCCCAGTACATTCTTTCGACCTCATTTTGACTGTGGTACTGCAACTTATAATATACCTTTTCGATAGACTTTTTGAAATACTGTTTAGACCGCTTATCTTCTGTTCTAGAGGGCTATATGGCGATTACACTGAAAGATTTTGAAGTTCCCCTCGTTTACCAGCTTAGGCATTAACAGAAGAAAAATTGTCCAAACCCATTTGCGATATAACATTAGACTTCATTTAATCCAACTAGGTGATTTAAAATTGATTTCGTAACCCTTCAAATGCAGCAATATATATGTTTAACCAACCATAAACTCACAAAACATTTACAATTTATAACCTAATGTATTTTATAACCTTTTGATCATATACAAAAGAATATTATTAGTAAAGCTGAAATATATTTAAACTACTTCAACTGTACTAAAAATGTCCCATTTTGCAAGAGAAGGAAGCAAATTGCGTCATTCTTGTCACCTTATTTTATTCAGTTACATTGTTTAATCACAGCAATGATTGCATATGTACTGAATGTATAATTTATTTCTAAGTTACATTACACGATGGTTTGAGAATGAAACCACGTGCAAAATACTAATACTAGCAACACCAGTCCTGTTGTTGGTTTATTTATTTCGGATCCGCTCGGTTTCATGGTTGGGCAGGTTTTTGGTGGAGGAGGAGGAGTACATTCGTGTGTCTCTGGCGGAGGGGCGTCTGCCCATTTTAAGTCTCTACTCCATGTATATGGCTTGTCAGCTGGGTCGAGGGACATATCCATTCGATCAAATACACTATTGTTTTTTGAACTCCAGAAAACCACTTTATCTTGAGTTGGCTCGTATAAATTCCAGACTGATAGTTCAAATGTGTGCTCCTGATTCTCTTCTTTCGTTAAAGTGAGTTCGATCCAGCCATACGTTATCATCAAGTCGCCAGCAATTAAGAAATGATCACCATCATCTGGATATATATCCACTGTACAATTACCATATGCGAATTGTCCGAATGTGCCAGTGTAATTCTTTAATTTATCATTCATTTCCCTTGTCTTTCTTTCCCCTTTCTGCACTGGGAGATCCTTAATGACTTTAGCAAGGGCATATCCATTTTTGTTTGACTTGAATCGATTCAGATCTCGACCCTCCATCTTCCTATGCGCTTTCACCAGTGATTCTGGTTTCAATGTTCTAAGCATAGTTTCAATTCCAGCTCTCATACCAAAATCCTCGTCATGACCAGATGGTTGTTTAAGTGGAAGTGAAACATTCTCAAGACCGAGATTACAAAACCGTGTAATGTTCATCCAGGGCTCGTCTACACCCAAAAGGACGTCCTCGATGTATTTCCTTAGATCATTAAGGAAGAAAGCTGGCTGGTTTGATGCTAAGTAAACACCTATCTTTTTGGCTGGTAGCATCGTCATATGAGAAGTCCAGAGAACTATGCTTCCATCGTGAGCCAGTTGTTCGTAACCTGGAGTTAATAAGATAATATGTTACAAATTCTGTTGCAAGTTAAAAAATGTCATAAACAAGTTCAGATTTTAATGGATGTTTTGAGCCCCGGATTGAGTCCGAACCACTTGCAGAAGAATAAGGGAAATTAGGGCGTCATTGCCGTTTTTATTTTATCTTTTCACAATAAAAGTTAAGTGTCCAGAATAAAACATTGATTTATGAAAAATTAATATAACTGCACCCAATCATACTGTGCAAAAGTATCGAAACGTGTGTCTTTACCTCTCCAAAACCCATTTGTAATCCCCATAGCATACGAGATCTCCTGGGTATCCATAAAATCTTTGCCTGGCTCGGAGCCCCTGGGTAGAATATTATTTTGTCTGGTTTGGACTGGAACTCTAATATCATCGGTGATGTTAGGGTTGAGAATCTCTGGGTATTTTTCGTAGTCCAATTGGAAGTTCATCCATTTTGCCATATCCTTTGCTGAGGTTGCTATACCACCTGCCGCAGCTGCAGCATTACCTACGCTACTGTATAACAGAAGGGATATCATTGGTTATAGGTATGTCATAGTACATTGATATATATATAACACTTAGCAGATACTTTAGGCAAATAAAATTGGTAGGAATTTTGAATAAATATAGGTAGCAGTTCTAGTCCAGCTATGACAATTAATCTTTAAAAGCTGATGTCCAAAAATATTTCATCGACACAATATGGATATACATATTCGAAATATGAAACTGACGCACCTGAAAAGCCACATGGGAAAAGGACCTAATATGTTATCAAATTGGGTGTCGTTCCCTTCACCAAGGTTGACGTGAGGTTTGGCCCATCCAGAATAATTGGTATCGTTCCCAAGTCTTATTGTCGATGTGTTATACATCCCAAGCTTGTTAAAGAAATTATCCCTTAAAAGCTCATCCCATTCTTTCCCGGCGTGTCGCTCTGCTATGTAGCTTGCCACGGAGTACATAATGTTGTTGTAAAAGTAGGAACTTCTAAATGGCGCAGTCGGATTGAGAAATCTCACTCTCCTGTAAATAATCGAATGCAAGTTTGGACACAGGTGTTTGTTAGGCAAATGTTTTACGATTTGACATGCAAGTGCAAAGATCTTGTGATGGTACGGTTCTATCACCAGTTACGATGGGTCCATTAATGCAAATGGCAATTCAGGATTCTTAAACCTCACTCGGGTAGCAACACAATAGAATGAACTGTAGAATGTACAGTTATACCAAAAGAAGAGTACATTCTTTTTCTATTGTTTTTAAAGAATGGACACTTGGCTATCAAAAACCAGTGTGGTACAAAAGACGATTGAAATTCCGCTTGTGAGAAATTTTGCAAACGTTGCGTTGAGTTCAATGCTTCCATAAATGTGACATCACTGGGATATACATTATGGTTGGATGAACATTGTCACATGACCTTAGTTCATTTACCTTGTTATGACGTGATGGCTTTCCAACCCGTTAAACTCTTAATTAACAGAAAATAAAAAATAAATAAATAAATGCCACATTGTAATTAATATTTAATTCATAAAACATGACTAATGAGCACCAGCCTTGTTTTGATAACGTTGGTGCAAACATTGCAAATGACCTAAACATGGTTAAGACGATGGTGTTATATCAATATGTTTTAGATTAATGTTCTAAAGTCCCATTTATAAACAGAGTATACGATAAATAATCAATTGATGGTTTTTTGAAGATCTGATCCACCCATGTATTCAATGTTAGGTTAAAAACTAAGGCTATGTATAAGAAACATTTCATTTGAAAAAGACAGGTACATGTGTACTTTCACTCCATTGACATTATCTTATAAAATTATGCAGAAGTAAAGATAGCCTTTATTCAAGATGGAAAAATTATTGCACTCAGATGTTTCATTAAGGTGATTGTTTATCTTGCATGACATTTTACACTTACTCCATAAGTTCGGGCTTTGTCCACCTGTCTATAGCAAGAAGGACTTCCTGGCCGGATGTCCCCATTCTATGAGAGAGGAGGTCCCTTAAGGTGGTTCTGTTGGTCCGCCATATACCATTGAAGTAGAAGTCTTCATTAAACAATTCCTTCATCATTTGTCGGTATGGCGTGTCCCAATCATAACTAAAAAGTATCAAAATAACATGGTAACATGATTGTCAGAGCCTCGCACACTGGGTGACATGTTGTAATTAAATACATATTTTTTTATAAAAAATCATTATAGTTGGAGTAAATGGATACGCCTCTCCAATAAACCCCGCCACCTTTCGGTACATCGAAGAAGCAAGGATGTATTGGCCAGATTGATGATGTCATTGGTTGTAGGTTGCAATTTGTCCAATCATAAATAAGATAAACTTAGGCATGGTGCATTCTTTATTGCAGATTTTGAAAAGGGAAAACCAATGACATTACCAATCTAGCAAATATACCATGGCTCCGTTGATGTATCAAACGGTGGCGGGGTATATTGAAAAGGTCTATTGAAATAACATTTTCCCACTTTTTCAACATTTTTTGTGAAAGTGCGTAACTTTTTAACTGGTCTTTATTGGTCTTACCTTGTGTTTTGTAGGACCATTCCAATCAGTGACGCTGTGAAGTGTTTTGATACGGATGCCATTGGGAGGATAGTGTCAGCCGTGAAATTCACATGTTTAGACGAGTCTTCATCATCAAAGACAGCATAGCCAAAACCTACATGAATCAGGGACACATGGAATATTCAATTTGAACATGCACCAGATTGTTAATATTTGTAAGCTCATAATCAACCATATGCAATTGCTAACAAAATTAAGTAAGTAACCCAAACAAGTGTTAATAACTCAGTCATCCAGCATGGGGGTTTTGCAACCCCAATGTTCTTTCATTCTACTTATGAAAACCAGGAATATGTTATCAAATATTGAAGTGTATTTCGAAAATAAGTTTTGTTTCTGTTTTCCCTCGACAGAGCAGTCGAGTTTGGTTCAATTTAGTTATTAAAAAGAATTATCAATTACTTAGAAGTTAGGAAGTTAAAATGTACAATCGGTAATTAATATAAAACATGTCTCCTTACCCTTAGTGTAAACGGCCTCTCCCTCCCTCACAACACTGACCGAAAGTCCCGTGTAATGTTGGCATTTCATCGCCTCATTTATAAAATCATCCAGCTTTTTCTCATCTGCAGCCGAGAGTTTCCTGGAAGCAACGTGGCTGGAAAAGAGAGTCACTAATAGCGGTATAATGAGAATTCGCATCTGCATTGTCTTTGTTCCCTTGGGACTACGCAACTGTTAATTTGGAGCCCAAAATCAGACCATATTCAAATGTCAAGCAGGTGATTAATTAACAATAATTCTCGAGTAGTTTTGAATTTGTTATTAATAATTTATATCATCATTTTTAAGGTTTCTTAAAAAGGGATCAAGTGCCAGTGATAAGTAAGTTAAAAATAAACTTCTTTTTCTGCATTTATCATTTTAAATGTATTTTGTAAAGTTAATCACAATTAATGAGGCTTGTGAGGGGCCTGTGTCACTAAAAAACAGTCGGGTCACAGTGTTTGTCATTGACAGAGGTGTGTTTCTTAGAAGTGGGACGATGATACGATATATGATGAAGATGTGTACAAAACGCAATTATGCACATTACAAACAGACATTATAGTCAATGAGATGCTCCAAAGAAATTGAGGTGTTATTGTCCAGTACTTCGCCACAAAAAAGGAACTTACTGTTTGAAAGTACCGACTTCGCTTATTAAGAAAACATATTTTGTTTTGATTGCAGCAACAGAGGCTTTTGCCTTTAAATGGTGTCACACAAGGTTGCCTTCTAAAAGACTTTCTAAAAATAGTTTTTAATTTTTCATCACACAACTGCATTTCAAGTATGATATCAATTGATTTTGATAAAAATACTTTTGATTAACAAAAGAATATAGAATTTAGAAAATGTCAAAATGATAAGAACATACAGGGTGACAAAAACATTACCCGAATAATTATCTATGATGGCTTAGGAATATGATGATATCCTCATGTTACCGCCCTATCACTGACACCAAACAAGTTCTTACCCGTTCTTGCCAGTCCTACGAAAACGTCGTAAAACGGGCTCAATCTGGCTGTGGTCGGGAAATATGTCTAAAATAATTAGCTACTTCGTTCATAAACAGTCTTCAATACGTCCATCTCATTCGCAGTTCGTTCAGGTCGCACCACATCGGTGTTCAACGTCGTATAACGCGTCCCTTAGTCTAGAAGGTCATCATGACCTGATTACAGAACGGTATGGTCGCCATCGAATTTTGAATCGATTCAAAATTCTAAATCACATTCCCCGTCCGGGAAAGTCCATGAAGTTCGTAAACAGACCGTAGAACGTTGTAGCTACGTTCATTCAGTTCGCACACAGTTTAAAACCGATTCGGCAAGTTTCTAGGGCCCAAAATGTTTTCGGGGGCCACCTTCCACATTCTCTGGCTTCATTGTGTTAATCTGAACCGTAGAACCAAGGTGATTGATCTCTTCTAGATGTCAGAGCGTCAAACGAGAAATAAGGCCATATATTATATGTTGCACTACTTATCTAGTTAGCCTAGATATAAATATGAGCGATATCACACCCATTCAAAATGCCACTAAATAATCAATCAGATGATTGTACTTTGGCTAAACTGAGCCCAACGTCTAAAAACCCGCATGTCCATCCCCATTTGCAAGGTTTTAGAAAGTAGTAACATGGGCTTTCAACTAGATAATTGAAAGCCCATGGTAGTAGATTTGAGAAGGAGTGGCTTGATGGAAAACTAAAGCCTCAGTCACATTTCCTCTATGGCGGCCGTACAGTGGCCGTAGCTTCACAAAACCGATATAGAAAATTAACATCGTACTGCTTATTCCAATATTTTATTGTGCACATTTTTCTTGATTTTGGAAAGCTACGCCGGACGTACGGTTGCCGTATATCAAATGTGACTGAGGCTAAAGTTGCTCCATGATGAATAAGAAGAAATATTCTTTACATGTAATAATTTCCACAAAATCTAACATTATTGTTAACTAAACATCTTAATTCATTATAAATAACAATATGTATCTTCCAAAGTTTGAGAAATAAATTGACACAATATTTTATTTTGATTATTTGCTAATGACTTAAGATATAATTTATCAATGCACTAGACTACTATTTCAGTTTCCTGACAGTTATAAATAAAACAGTCCTAATTGTGGTGATAGTGCCATTTCAAATTAATTTTTAAATACGATTGGTCATCAAAAAATAATAATTTGGTGATATCGTTGTTAATCGTACATCCCCATTACTGGCAGTGCCTTATACGACGAGGGTGTGTTTCGATACGTTAGATTTAGGTTGGGGAATTCAAGCTAACAACATTAGAAAGAAGCTCTCCGGATCCCGCCATGTTTGGCGCTGTTAAGCCCATTTTGTTATTGTTTGGAGTATGTTTACTCCAGGAAAAATCGCACGGACAGCAGCTTAACGCGCAAGAACACAGACGCATCAATGACTTCATTACACGGGCGATGGAATGCCATGGATACACTGGCCTGCTTGTCAGTGTGGTGCGAGGGGGAGAGGCTGTTTTTACAGAAGGTACGTAATTTCTAATCACACATATTAGACATTTTTCATTTTCTTTGAAAAAAATTATTTGATAGAATTTTAAAAGCTGTTTTTCTTTACTGACAATGTGCCTGTATTTTTGCTACCAGGATTTGGTGACGCCATTAAAGATGACGACAACCCTAGCAACAATGTAAAAGTCACTGCGGATACCATTTTCCCAATTGCCTCGGTTTCAAAACACATGACTTCTTCGATCATTGGAAAAGTGTTGCAAAATACGAGGTAAAAGAATACTCTCAGTGGGAGATGTTTCCGAACAAATACGTCATTGTTAATAGGTTAGAACCTGCTTGTAGCCACTGAAGTAAATATGTGTACAAATATTTATCCCATACTTAGTAGTGTTATGGATAAATACCATGCGGAAATATAATCGATATCTGAGGTGAGCGGGTGATATTATATCTCCCGCTGAGGTGATCGGGAGATATCACCCGCTCATCAGCAATGCCAGGGATTTCTTTCGGTGCTTTTTTAAATTCCCGGGATACACTTTGGCTCTCTTTGATAAATAATTCTTCATACACACTGTTTTGATTATAATTATCGTTTGTATTTATTTCATTAGGATTCCCTAACATCCAATGCATATTTAATTCTTAAAATCTACTAATTTCAAGATAAATCAGTATTGAATGTTCGATTTTTGATACAGGGTATATCCCTTGCTAAATACTAAATATCAACCCTCGGTCCCTACGGTCCCTCAGGTAGATATATTGTATTTCCCTCAGATATCCCCTGTATCAAAAACCTCCTATTAAATAACCTTTATGTATACGGTGTGTGGAGAACTTGGTACTGTCAATAGAGGGTTTGCTTTGATATCTCATTCAAATCTCGTTTTAATGAGATTACAAGAGATTTTGATTTTAATGTATATAGAAAATGGCCCATCGACGGAATTGTTTTACTCGGGACATTAATCTTAAATGACACCATAATTTTCACAGCTACACCTGGAGTACACCTTTCCGAAAAATGATGAGTGAACTTCCGACTCCCGAGGACATCTACTTCAGCGACTTCTGGCGGACGAATAAAACTAGCCTCACAGACTTATTAGCTCACAGAATGGGAACTTCGGGTCAAGATGTATTATTAGCAATGGATCAGTGGACAAAGCCTGAACTCATGCAGTGAGAAAATAGTTTTATCGTTATCATTTATATACAGGGTATCTCAAAAAATGTACCCAAAAGTATATCAACAGCACAGATTTTTTTTATTATTATTATTTATTTATTTCATTGATATAGTTTAAATACAATTACAATAACATCCCTAAATCGCCAGAGGGCATTATATAGGAATGGTGAGAGGCTGGGGGTGGCAGGCAGACAGGGTCCCGGACCGGAGCAGGTGTGACAGGACAACAGGATATCAGAAAGAGAGACATGAGGGAGGGAATTAGCTATTGTCTATAATGAAGTCAAGTATCAGTGAAATGGCTTTAGAGTTTACATCTATGCTTAAGTTTGGGCTTCCTGTTTTCAAAATGGTTATAAAATCGTACTGGGGAAGATTATTATTGAGAGAAGGTTCTAATTCAGCAAGTTTATCCCAGAGATCCTGTCTTACTAAGGTTAAGCGATTGCACTGGAAAAGAATATGCTTTAAGGTTTGAGAGCTGCCACAAGCACAATTAGGGCTGTCAACAGAGTTAAAATTATGGGCATAAAATTGAGCTTTAAAAAATAAGTCAGCTCTTACTTTATTCACCACTATCTCATGCTGTCTAGAAAGATTGAGTTGACTTGTGGTCAAAATTTTAGAGGGGTTTTGGAGGAAAAGCCGTTGGTGTTTTTTGAAATTATGAAGAGTTTTCTTGGTTTTAATAGAAGGGGGGAGCTCTAGCCATTTTGAGATTGCAGAAGGTATTGCTGAGGATGAGAATCTAGCAGAGCATCTTATGGGCATTTTGAATGGATCAATGTATCTCAAGTTTCTATTCCTAACATTACTATACTTATCAAAAATGTCTGTGATATATGAGGGACTTGTACCATTGGCAACTTTGAACATAAAATTATTTGATTGTATTCTACGTCTAGATTCAAGTGTTGGCCAGTTTAGGAGACTTAGGACCTTTTCTGTACTGCTCCCTTGGATGCAGCCAGAACAATAGAGTGCCGCTGTGTAATATAGACTATCGAGTCTTCGCAAAAGAAATTTAGAAGCTGTGCCATATAAAATGGCACCATAATCAAAGTGAGGAAGAATGAATGATTTGAAGATTGTTTCTAGGTGCTTGCTCCCAAGCTTGAATTTGAGTTTCTTTAATGGGTTTAACATTTTTCTTATTTTGACTAGTAAATCACCAATATGCTTATCATAGGATAAACATGGGTCAAAAATGAGTCCTAAATGTTTGTGCTCGGTATCTCTTTTGATTTCTATATTGTTTAGTTTTGAAGTTGACACATTATCAGTTTTTGTTCTAGGTGAGTGAAAAATCATCTCGGAACTCTTCTCCGGTTTAAAATCAAGTTTCCAAGTGTTAGACCATTCTTCTACTTTAATTAGATTGGATTTTACCACTGCTTCTATTTGTTGTGGTTGTTTTGGGTCAAAAGGATGGTGTAATGAGGTATCATCTGCATAAATGTAGCAATGGCCATCCAGATTGTCTGGAAGGTCATTAATATATATTAGAAAAAGTATTGGCCCTAGTATTGAGCCCTGTGGGACACCGCAGTTTATAAAATTAGTTTCTGAGTAATTGGAGGTCTCACCAGAAATTTGAACAGCAATTTTCCTGTTGGTAAGATAAGATGTGATCATTTTAAGGATTTGACCTTGAAAACCATACGCCTTGAGTTTATGGAGGAGTAACGAGTGCGGAACCCGGTCAAAAGCGGCGGCTACGTCCAAAAATATTGTTTTGGAGGCTTGTCCTTGTTCCAAAGTAGTTTGAAGAAAATGCTCGATAGATAAAAGTTAAACAGCACAGATAAACCAATCAATATGTTCAGACATGTTTTGCATGGTCATGTAGCCAAAACATGAAAGTTTTCTCTCCAATACACCATTTTTATTTCAGTCTTGCCTTATTGATACTTTAACCCTTTACCTTTTACACCACATAATCAATGTAACCACATATTTCAATGACAGCCTGTATCCTTACTGTTGCATTGTTCATCACATTTGATAATAATTCCGGTGGAATGTTTCGGATTTCTCTTTGGATGTTGTCCTTAAGTTGTTCTAATGTATGTCTTTTTGCTTGGAGTGAGCACTTCAAATGAGCAACAGAGAAAGATGTTTGAGGATGGTGATGGCAGAACAAACACAAAGAATCAGGTAATCATCGGCAAATGATTCAGGAGTTACCTTGGAGACCAAATGATATCCAAATGAAAACACAGTGGTCTCCAATGGATACACACAACAAAGGCTACACTAGAATCCCAACCAATGCAGTTTCTTGAACGTCTGACCTCTCTGTATAAGGGTGTTATTATAAGACGCTGTGAGGGCCTCCCTATTCACCAGATTTTATGGCCCATACTTTTTTCTCTTGGGCTATTTGAAGGACCATTTTTATGCTTAACCCAAGCTAAGAGACCTAGAACAACTTAAGACCACCATCTAAACAGAAAGCAAAAATCAACTGTGATGAACAATGTAGTAGTAAAGATGCAGAGAGACTATCATCGAAATATGAGGTAACATTGATTATGTGGTGCAAAGGGTAACGGGTTAAAGTATCAAAAAGGCAAAACTGAATTAAAATTGTGTATAGGGGAAAAAACGTTCATGTTTTGACTAAAAGGCCATACATAAAAAGTCTGAAAATATTGATTGGTTTGTCTATGCTGTTGACATACTTTTGGGTACATTTTTGAGACACCCTATAAGATATCATTTATACTGTATCTAGTACTTGTATCAACTACATGTAGTAGTTATATAATATAGTTCATGATTCATAAAAAACAACCTTTATCCTATGCCAAGTAGAGTTTTAGGGAGATAAGTTGGTGAGATATATCCCGTATCCCGATTTTGAGGTTTCCATATCCAGAACCTCCATATCTCCCGCCATATCTCCCGCTTTGGTGCATATCTTCCCGCTTCCGGTAATGCAATAAAATGATTTGCATGTGAACTATTTGTTTATTTTTACACCGTGTACTATTGAAATGGCCATATGCTCCTGAAAACTCTACTTGGTATAGGATAAAGCAGTTATGTACCGTTGGTTTGGATATTGGGTTCATCCCTCGTCAGATATGCACATCTACCTTCGGTCCCTACGGTCCCTCAGGTAGAAATGCATATCTCCCTCTGGATAAACCCCATATCCAAAACCTCCCAGTACATAACCCTTATTTATCAATAGCATAATCAAGATTCAAACGGTAGATTTAGCACATTATTCAATGAGTACCTCTTGAGGAGCATATACATGATATACACCCTCGTCTATCGTGTATTGTTCTTTTTTAGACGACTTCGTTTTCTCCGACCCAATGCTGAGTTTAGAAACTCCTACTTGTACAATAACATCATGTACGCCGTGGCTAGCTATGTAGCGGAAAGGCACGCTGGTAAAGAATGGGATGAACTTTTGAGGGATGAATTCTTCGAACCGTTAGGCATGCGCAACACATCTACTATCAGGCTTGGTCTTGATAGTAATTACTCCGGATGGGCACAACCTCATGTCAATGTATTATTCGATAGGAACGACACTATTGGACCACTTCCAATGGAATTAATTAGGTACACGTATTTGTATTTAAAACGAGAATCTCCATGATATATCACGGGAATCACGCTCTCTAATACGCTGGATCTCATCCGAGCACGTTTTTAGTCTTGCGACATTTGGAAGATTTCGGCCAGTAGAATGTCTTGCCACATAATTTTATGTATACCTAATCATGAGTTTCACTCCCTATTTAGAGGTGTAGCCAATGCAGCGGCAGGAGCAGGTGGTGTAGCAACTACAGCTAAGGATATGGCAAAATGGATGAATTTTCAATTGGACTTTGAAAATGACCGCTACAAGAGTATTCTTGATCCCATATTGACTCATCAGATACGACGGGGAATCTGGGTGAGGACAACGGGATTCAGTGAGAGTCGAGTACCTCCTATGTCCAACTTCAGCAGGGGCTCGTTGTCATACGGACTCGGCATTGGTAATGATTTCTGGCGAGGTGAGCATAAACTTAAGTCGTAGTTATGGAATCTCTTTGTTACAATGAACCATAGAAAACTGAATTGAGATGTGTAGATTTACACCGTTGCTCATGGAATATTTACCATTTTATCATTGATTTACTGATTTTCAATGCCATCTCGAATTTTAATGAACGGGGATTTTTCAATTTTTAAGAATATTCTGGTAAAAGAGCGTATTATTCAGACTAATAAAGGTTTCCTGAAATACATTTTTAACTGGACACTAGAACAATCACTCTTTAAAAGCTTCATGCAAATAAATCTTTCATGTTTCTTACAGTAAAGACAATGTCCTGACTTCTGTGAAATGTCAAACATTCCATATATTTGACCAACAGTATATATATGTTATAGGTATGCCTATTACCTTTAATGGACTAATATTGCACAAATTATAACATGTTTCAAAGCCATTTAAAAGATGACGATAATGTTTAGTAGTGATTCTTTCTTTAATGTTTATTTTTATCACGTTAAGGGCATCCGATGTTGACACACGGTGGTAGTCTAGTGATTTACACCTCCACTTACGCCATCTTGCCTTATATGAACATAGGCGTCTTCATCGCTTCAAACCAACCCGCTCTCTTTTTACCAGAGATAAGAATGTTCATAATGGACTTGCTATTAGGCGTTAGTGACCCATATATGGACATCGATAAATTCTGCAAACTTCCAGATTCAGTAGTACATGTAATACCCACGGTGGTTGAAGGACAAAATGAAGATTTCGGACTTCGTTATGGTATAGAGACAATGCTAAAACAAGTAGGGATCAACAAATTGAAAAGGCTTCGCTCAAAACTTGCAAACAAAGATCTTCGAGGACTGAAGTCCAATGAAAATGCTTATGCAATAGCAAAGGCAATCCAAGCAATTCCAGATGCAGATGATCGAAACCAAAAAAGAAGTGATGAAGACTTTCGGAAATACACCGGGACTTATGGCAACTTTGCATACGGCAACTGCACCGTCAAGCTTTACCCAAAAAACGACACTGGCATAATCGATGGTCTTTTTGACGGCGACCTGATGTTGACGTACGGATGGCTAGAATTGACTTTAAAACGAATCGATCCATCTAACCCTGATGTGTTCGAACTGAGTGTTTTGGAAGAATACATTCCGACCACTGATAATGTAACGTTTTGGAGATCGACGACAAATGGGAGTATAGATCGGATGGAGCTGTCTCTTGACCCAGCTGATGGACCTTACCCTTGGGTTCGAGACTTGAAATTCAGTGACGCTCCTCCTCCATTGGCGCACGAATGTCCAACACCCCCTCCCCCACCAGCGTGTCCCACTCGGCCAAGTTCTGCCTCAGGTGCTGTAGCAAACATCGCAATGACAATCATCGTATTAATAGTATGGAACATGACTTAATGAGCGTCATTTGTAACAAATATTCGTTCGTGTGCTACGAAATGTGCTGGTCGCAATTAGAACATTGATGGAGAGAACAATTTCGATATGGACTGGTCTGTTGGTGAACTGTGTTTTAATGACTAATGATTCGCAAGATATAGACCTTACTATTTTAGTTCTAAGACAATCTTGTGATGATCGTCTGAATGTATACAATTCCATGTAAATTTTTGTATCAGCAGACAAAATGCGCTAATTTCTCTATACCCAATCATCCAATGTATATTAATGTATACTATACTGTTTGGTTTTGCTATGACCTTTAGATGAATAGAGAGGCCCTTCGTATGCTTATGACCTTTTCAAACATTGAGAGTGAAACAAAAATGTAATTTTCTGTTGATTTTGTTTGGCTATGATTCGAGTCATATAAACCATATTACTCGTGGATACAATGATTTTCCAGGTAAACACAGTTATCGTTATTCTGAATTCATACTAATATCCCACATACAAAAACGATATTCTATATCAAGGTACTGTACGAAAGCATATGTATGGTTTGCACGCATGTGTTGAACAACTAGAACAAACACGTTTTTAGATCCAGCGGGCAGGCATGTCTTATTTTATCCACAAACTATACAATATAATTGGCTATATTAACAACAATACATAATATATCCAACAATAGGAATGGACACAGCAATTAATCGGCTTCAAATCTTGGAGCAGAGTGGAATTAAAGTCTTTCCGCGGCTTCCTTGATGCCCAGTTCGTCCTGCACAAGTTTTCCATTGTTAGTATTCCAAGGAAATGTTGGTATCATTTTTCGTGCACATTTTAATCAAAGAGATCTTGCTTTGTGAAGTTTGATAATTCTGTAAGTCCATTATCGACATTTTCCCATGCCACAAACCAACACAGTCCAGGTGCCTTTCTCTGTAGTCTCACGGGAACATACCGTCCACTTACAAGTAAACGCCCGCTGTCCTCATATTGTTTAAATCCTTCTTCACCAACTGTTTCAATCTCAGCTTTATCTTCTTCAATCTCATCATTAAAAGTAGCTTGTTGATTCAAAGATTTAAATTTTAATATGTTCGATGATACCATTGTATTGTGTTTGGTTATACTAGTGGTGTTAATGTCCAAACGTTCCACTGATTTCAAAACATCACCTACAAAATCAAGTAACATGTAAGTTTGGAATGATAAAATGATGCAAGAATTCAAATGGACTCCAAATCATTCACAGTCATATATTTAAACCATTAGAAATTACATATCTCATACATCTTATGAGCATAGTATTTGGAGTAGCATTGGGCTACGCAAAGTTGCTAACAAGAGATTGTTCTTGAAAACACGTAACAATACCAACATTTTACATCTTTTGTGAACATCCTTATGATGACCCTAATTCTCGCCAGCCTCAGTACAAAGTTGGATTTTTTACTCAAAATAAGCCTCTAATAAGTTTTACATATTACAACCGGAGTATCCCGACGCATAACCCATTATTCCCATAATTTCCCATTATTACCCATTATTCCTCCTAACGAGTTTTCCAACTGCTTGTCCTCGGCCGTATTGAAATCTAAATGACCATTCCATCGACTGACATTAACGTTTAGTAAATCTCCTATGTATATCTTGGCTCGGACTGGATTCATCCTTATGGTTATGGCTATTGGACCTGCAGATGAATATAGTATTAGTAGAGGCCGCGTAGGATAGATGACAGTTTAACTGATGAACCATACATAGGCATAGCCAGGGGGAGTGCGATGGGTAAAAAAAATAAAACCATGGGATAGATGAAGAAAAGGATTTTGAAATGGTTTTTATTTGAAGCTTCTAGGAAGGAAAGAAGTTGCATCAATTTTTGTAAAATTCGAAAAAAATCTTATTTTTTTGGCTTATATATGCCACAATCGCACTCCCTGACTGCAAACCCCCCTGCCATATCATATCACGTCAACCATATCATAAGGCATGCTCTAGCAACATTTGCTCGTGATCTTAAATTAGAATGACGACAAAATTAAAGTTAGTAAAATGTGGCAAACAATCTTAAAAAGCATGCAAATTTTTCACATAAGACATTTAATATCCGAAAAAAAGATTTGATATGATTTTAAGGGCAAGGATGTTATTTGTGATGTGAGATTCGGTATGTCTATGTACATTTGAATGACAAGGGGAAAGCCTCCATTCAGCACCGCGACTTTCCAAACGAGTGATAAGTTAGCTTAAAAGTAAAAGGTTATATTATAATGAAAGAAAGTCAGAACACAAAAGACACTCTCAGCCAAAAGTATAGCAAAATTCGGACATTTCTTTTCTAAAAGGCCCTCGGCTTTCTCCTATTCTTTGTTGCACCTTTAACAGAACGTAATATGCACTAAAATGACATACGAGGCGTGATCAATAAGAAGCATCTGTGTAAAAATGCGTCCATCACTTATTTATCGTCCCTTGTATAGCATGGCATATTTTTTTAACTGATTTATTCTTCTTACCTGGCAACTCGATGAGTCGTTTATCTTTCTTTGACCACGTGATGTGTTCTTCCCCATTCAGAATTACTTCATTAATGTTAAACTCCAGAGTGTAGTCAAATATCTTTATCCCAATTCTACCAACATATTTAACAAAGTCCTCGTCGGGACCTGGCAGAAACTGTGCTCGGAGTTGTAACCCTGTGAAATAGAATTATGAAATGATACAGAAAGTCTATCAAAACTGAACGAATGTCTTTTTGAGTTCTGTGATTTTTGCAAACATTTTTGCCATCCTGCTTTTGTTCTAACTTCAAATAACAACCATTCAAGTTACAAACAATCAAATAATGTAAAATTATATGTATCCCACATTGATATTGGGCTTTGTGTAGAATGGGGCATAATAGATCCATATATGGAGAAAAAAAGGTGACACCACATAGGAGGTGGATTACTTTCATCATTTTAGTAATTGTCTTCAAGATGGCTCACTAATTACCTTAAAAACTTAAAATGGAAGCATATTCATATTGGACAGACTGAATCAAAAATGGAGTTGGTGTGAGTAGAAAATTGAATAGTGTAGCTATATATGAGTTCAAGTGTCAAGGTCACTGGGGCGAGAAGTAAGTTTTGATAATAATTATTTTGCGGAGAATGAATATAGCATCAGGATAGAAGAAGAACAAAAATTCATTATTGAAGTAATATAAAGTATTTATCAACGAACTAATTGAATTTGATATTGTTAAACATATTGTTTGCATAAGTGGTATAAAAGTCAGTATAATTTGTATAACTCGCATCGCAATAAAACCGCACAAAATAATTGATGAGCTTGTGGTATATTCTAATATCATAACAAAACTAAATGAAAACATGAATGAAACTCTACATTTTAATGGTGTAAAGGTTATTTACAAATTCCACTTATAAGAACTCTAAAATGCTGATTTTTGAATAACTTATTTGTAGAATCAACAAAGGTTTAGAGGAATAAATTAGAGGATGGTTCCAAGATGTACTGACAAATGAATTGGAGGATGGGTGGTTCAAAAGGTCTACATAAGCCAATTTGAAATTATGTTACGTCAACTAAGACTCTGAATGTTAATTGAGTATCAAAGTGCGAATTCTCGTATTATAGACCGCCTACCTGTATAAGACTCGGTGAGGAACTCAAATATTTGTTCGACCTTTCCATTGACGTCATAGCATATTGGGATCTGATCGGGTCCAACATTTTGGAATATGTGCGGGTCGCCAAACACGTTAGCTGGAATAAAGGTCTGCATTGTTTTATTCAAGTCCATCAGTGCTTTGCTATAGACGTGATTACATCATCGGAGAATGACAAATCTTTCTTTGAATTCTTACTCAATGTGAAATCTCAAATATCTATAATCATGAATTTAAAATAAAAAGCCATGAATTGTCCATGGACCAGTCCATGGATAGGCTTAGAGGTCCATGAATTGTCTAAGCAAATTATCGTATTTCGTCAAATTACCGTAATTGTTGAAATGCCCATCATTTTGTGCTGTTTCTAGTGGTGCTTTCCGATCACCATCAAGAACGGGTGCATCTTGATCGTATCCAATACCAAAGTTCCATTCGTTTGCTAGGAGGTCGTCACCTCCTTCCCCATCAATGTCGTTCACTGGAACGGTATTCGAATGAGTTGAGATGATGCATACAAGTGAAACAGTCACGATGAGTCGTCCATAACATAAAGAACTGGGGGTCATTATCAGAAACTAAGGCAAGTAAAGAATCCCTAAACGAACCATGAATTTTAGTCAGGTTCTTTTCCTGCGGCTGTTTCAAATTGCAGAGGAGTACACTTCCATTTTTTATCGACCAGAAAAGGAAAGCGTAAGATCAATGGACAACCTTCATTGCTGCTACTCGGTTATGCAGTTACTTACATGTACATTTGCCAAGATTGCATCTTTCTCGTTCATCCTCTTCCATCTGATTGCCTTTATTGCCGCATTTTCTGCCACCATGTTTTGGTGCTGGATTATTGCAGTACCTACGTTTTGTTTGAAATCCAGGCCCACATGTTGCGTCACACTTACCAACTAACTCCCATTCTCCCCAAGCGCCATCGACTGTACACGTGTCAAAGAGAACATAGAAAACATAGCAACAACTATTATTATCGTATTTATAAACTATATTGTAGACTGACCCCCCCCCCTAAAGGGATCTTGCAAGATTTCAGAAATGATAAACGGAATTACATGACGTAAATAAAAAGTGACATTTTAGATAAAACAGGTTAAAATAAGCGCTTCTATTTACCTGGACAATCAGGTTCTTCACATTCTCTGGACTCGCTTCCATCTCCAGGACAGTCTTTTCCGCCATATTGGGGAGCAGGGTTATCACAAACTCTCGTTCCTGTTTCAACTCCTTTCCCACAAGTCACGGAACATTTTCCTGACCACTTCAACGAACCCCATGCCCCATCAACTAAAGGAGAACAGCACGGTGTAATTTAAGGTAAAGCAATTTGGAAATCAGATTTAAGGTAAATCAGACTCCTTGTTCGCTTGTAACTAGCTGTAGCTTGATCGCGTTAATAACCGGACCTCGACATACAGTGAGCATTCGAGGATCTACGTTGAGCTCCTGAACATGCCGTCGAGCTAGCCCCGTGATCTAGTAACATTTCTTCTCCTTAGAGGTTATTATACGAACTTACTTGGACATTCGCTTTCTTTACACGGTCTTGAAGTAGTCCTTGGTCCTTCACAATCTTTACCTCCATTTACAGGTGTTGGATCGTTACATTTCCGTGTTCCTTGTTGTTGGCCATCACCACATGGTACAGAGCAGACACCGTACACCCAGTTGCTGAATCCTCCGTCCACTGAAAACGTACACTATGTATAAAAACACGTCATGGTTTGCTGAATAATCATTCCTCTTGCACAATAGGGGCCGAGTTTTAGACATCGCAAAGGTGAATGCATGGGCCTGGTGCTATTGGAAGATCTCCTGACCTGACTAGTGGCCTTTCCTTTGGGGCTATCTCAAACTGTTCATCTCCTCCCCTCCACCAGACATTGCAACACTTCGAGAAAAATCACCAACGTGAACTACTGCCCCCCCCCCCCCCCAGAACCCACAGATGACTCAACGAGCAATTCCTGACATGGAGAGATGGCAGGGCTATATCTATGTGTGCAAAGAAATGATGGCCGTGTGGAGTGGTATGAGGAGAACTTTTTATGAGATGTAATCTTGCAAGAGTATAAGAATGAACACTTAACTGCCTATGCCACACCTGCCACATCTTCTTCAAATAGCACCTGGCCACGTGCGGTGATTTTGACAATGTCTAAAACTTGGTCTCTATCCAGCTTTGGTCCATGTGCAAAAGTAATGATTATTTTGCCAATATCGTTTTTAAAAAGAGAAGTAACGTGGCTTCATGCGCTCTTTATTATCTTCAGATCCAAACTCCTTTGCAGTATTGAAAATATTAGGATTTTTGGGTGGTAATTCAAAATATCGTTCATGTTACAAGGTAACACTTATTGCAAGTAACATTTGTGTAAACATGTTCATTTGCATTGAAACAGCATTGATTAAATCATCTCCAACGGATTTTCTTGGAATGGTCTGATAAATTAATCTCCGGACTAATCTAGTCTGACTGCTGTATGATACTAGCAAAGGGCAAGTCATTGACGAGATATATGAAATAGGAATGGAAAGAAAAGGGTCAAAAAAGAGTAAATGTAACAAATCTAAGTTGTTAAGGTAATAGTATCGCGAAACCCTGTGTCTTGACGCGTTGTCTTGACTTTTCCGAACTCCACACTCAAGTGGTAGATCAGAGAATGACCTGGCAAACCAAAACTTGGTCACAACTTTGTTTTGATTTATTATTCACCTGGGCAACCCTGTTCATTACACGGTCTTGACGCTGTCTTCTCCCCAATGCAATCCTTCCCACCATATTGAGGAGCTGGGTTATCACAAAACCTCTCGCCATCTTCAAATCCTCCTCCACAAGATTTTGAACATTTTCCCGACCATTTCCATTCACCCCAACCTCCATTGACTGTAATAAAGACTTGAACTTAGCAGACAATATTATTTAAGGCAAGGGAAACTAAGGTATTTTGGTGGTCATACGCGGCCTTTGAATGTTATTACCAGACGCTAGCCCGAATAATCTTCGTCTAACTCATCCCGATTGATTTAAATGCTAATTCAAGGTATTTTACAAAATACTTACTTTAGATTTATGAATGTACGTATACAAAATTAAGTTTTTTAGCTGCATACGTGTCTAACAAATAATGAAAGAGAGCACCGGTGAACTATGGACAACAATTTAATTTTAAATGACTTCGAATGTTTTTTTGTTTTGTTATGTCACCACCAAAAGTGGTGACATATTGTTATTTTTATCTTGTTCGTCATTATCTCTACCTGTCTCCTCTACCTTTCCATCGATACATCTCTGTTTAGGCGGAAGATATGCGACACCCTCACAACAGCTCAAACCATTGGTATTAAAATCGGCAAATAACGCCACCTTATCGCCACAACATATTCCCTTTTTGGGGTCTAATGTGGTGTCCCCGCAACAGCACCGTTTTGTTTCGTCGAATAATCGTCCGTTACAACATGTCTTTTCCTTGTAGGAGTATCCTTGTTTCCCACAACAATTCTGCCTGGCTCCGGGTACCAACACTCCATCGCAGCATGTATGTCTTAGTGGATTAAACCTCCCACAGCCAGTTGAAAAACTCCGGGTGCAAGTACCATCTAGTGATGTATACCCGGATGAAGGCGAGACACATCTCTGTCTAGTTCCAGAGTACTTGCAGCACTGGCTCCCTTGGGATATTTTACAATAACCGCTGTATGCACCCGGACAACAGCCCTCTATGGCCGGATTGTATGTCTTTCTACTATCACCGCAACAACATTCGTGCTCATCGTAAGACAACTGCCCATTACAGCAAGTACCGTAACCAGGGGAAAATGTCCTTTTCCCGCAACATTGCATTGCACCTCCCCTATTCGCGCTGACCGTGCCTTCACAGCATACCTGAGTAGTTGGATCATACGTGTTACTTCCACATGGTACAACTGAAACATAAATAAGAAAGGATTTCACTTGAATATCTCTGGCTTATTTACTCGATGTTTTGATGTGTATGAAACGGCTCTTTGGAAGCGTTGTTTAGATTTTCTAGATGATGACACTCTTATGAAAGAGAATTTGAAACGATATGGATCGTACACGTCTAAAGGATGTTAACCCTACTATCACACCAAACTAGTTCTCACTACGTTCTCGAAAACGGGCTTAAACTGTGCACGAACGGATTTGACGTACTAAGAACCCACTAAGAACCGTTTGGGATCTGTTTAAAAACTTCATGAAACTACTAGAACGAGTAGGTCCTCCAGCACTTAGAGCATGCTCAACATTTTCTGGTGATCATCAAAACGTTGCCGAATCGGTTTTAAACTGTGTGCGAACTGAATGAACGTAGCTACAACGTTCTACGGTCTGTTTACGAACTTCATGGACTTTCCCGGACGGGGTATGTGATTTAGAATTTTGAATCGATTCAAAATTCGATGGCGGCCATACTGTTCTGTAATCAGGTCATGATGACCTTCTACACTAAGGGACGGTTTATACTACGTGGTGCGACCTGAACGAACTTCGAACGTGATGGACGTATTGAAGACTGTTTATGAACGAAGTAGCTAATTATTTTAGACATATATCCCGACCGCAGCCAGATCGAGCCAGTTTTACGACATTTTCGTAGGACTGGCAAGAACGGGTAAGAACTAGTTTGGTGTGATAGGGGGGTTACATTGATATGATGGTCTCATTGAAGACAATTACGTGTTCTAGTATTTCTACAGCCATATGAATGATGGATCATATATACTAAGTACAATCATAGAATTTTAAAGTTTATTTAATAAAGTAGTATAGTAGGCCTAGTTCCGTCCAATTTTTAATATTTTAAGATCGGACTTACCATCGATATCGAGTTGAAGAGGTTGGTCATTAGACGTGGAAATCGGATTTCTGTTGTAAGTTCGCCCATTAAACCCTCTTGAATAAGAACCCCTGGATGAGGACGGGGCGGCCATGTTTACCTCACTCTCGTCACGTGGTGTTTCTTCTGACTGCACGTTTGCCTTGATGGCTAAAACAACAAACAAATGTGTGTAATACACGTGGTATTTTACTGAGGAAGAGTTTGATTGGGGCCCGGTTTGGGTGTTCCAAATGTGGGATCAATGGGAGGGCATAAAACATAGGTAGCATCGAAACTGGAAAAGTGTCAAGAATAAAGATCTGATAGTATTATGTATTATGGATCTATTAGTTAAAAGATTTATTCAAAGGCAGTTTTGTGTATAGGAGCAATTTTAATATTTTTTGAACTCGATTTAGTTGGAAAATATTTAATTGATATGCAAAGTAGTGTTCAAATGATATAATTTTTTATTAACTGTTTGTAAACATACAGTATACGAGTATTATATCAAAATGTCAGGTAAATTCAGGTAAAACTTTCTTACTTAGCTGATAAGCACGAGTGCATTTAGTGGCATACTGGTCGCAATTAATCTCCACCCTTGTGGGTTTGGACCTGTACTTAGCACCCATGTTGGTTTTGCATAGTCTGACCTGGTATCTGTATTGGCGTCTTCTTGAGTCGTATACACATTTGAAGAAGGCACATGGCTGATCTCTATCTGTCACGTATCTATTCAGCAATTTGTACTCACACTCTGTAATGTCAAGTCTGAGATTAAAAATAAAGGAAAGCGCATGGCTATAATTTGTGGCTGATTGAATTTCAGGGATGCAGCTCAAATCGAGGCCACTAAATTTAACTACAAGAGTGAATCAAATCAGCCACAGTTCTCTGGACCCTTTATTTAGCTGCTAACAATATTTTTGGAGATATTCTTATACAATTGCTATTTACTAAACTCTAGCATATGATATCAATTTTTCAACAGTGCTAAACTTAAGCTTCATATCATTTTTAGCAATGCTAAACAATTAGCAAATATCAAATTTAAATAATGTTATCTAAGGAATAAATATGAGATTCTATGTATGGTAAGATACAATGTATATCACCTAAAATTTTATTCTGTTCATTGTTTAACAATTTTTGACAAGGATCAAAATAAAACTTGCTAGAGATAATATAGTCGAGGTCTTTGTTAATATGATTTTAACATTTTTAGTTATAAACTACTAAAACGAAGCTCTCTTTTAAGAAGCGAAGACGAACGAATGTAAAGGGTGAACAACAAACAACTTGTCATATTTAATGGTTCGTTCCAATCGGTTCTAAAAATAAAAAGGTTGGCGTTTTCCAGCTGATTAATGATCAATACCCCATGTATATGTACTCTATAGTTTGCGCCCAATGTTGCTGACACTTTGGCTCGGAATCACTGTTGTATCTAAATGAGATCAATGGTCGAAGATCAAAGAATATATCAACATATAAAAATTGATAACATTAATAATCAATATTTTCTTTTGTATTTGGATGTATTTACGACATGTATATGTACGATGGAGCAAAATCAAAGGCGAACATTTTAGCGATTATCAAACTGCATTTAGGAAACTGTAATTTGTCGAGAACGCCAGTGGGTAAAATGGCAACGCTTAACGCTCTCTTAAAAAAATTCAGAAGGAACCTTTCCTCGGTAGAAAATAAGTTAAGTTCTATTTTCAGAAAAAGCACAGTACTTGGGAAAACATTACGTTGATTGTACTCATGTAACGTAACATCTCTCAGCAGTTTCCGAAATGACGTTTACATGTTTGTTATAATACCTAGAATTTTCACTTTGAGGATTTCCCATAGTAATCAAATTGGCTTCCTAGTCAACTCGTACCCAAGACAACTCATACCCAAGACAATTGGTACCCAAGACAACTCGTTTTCAAGACAACTCGTACCCAAGATTATTTTCAGTATTATGGGTGCATATTAGGGAAAAAATTGAGGTTGTAATGCTTTCATGTTATAATGTGAATCAAATAAGCCTCAATATTTTTTTTTGAATTTAGAAGACATTTTTTCAATGGATCAGTAAAGCATTTTTTATTAAATAAAAGAAGTGCTCGAAGCGCTTGATCTCAACATTTTTTTGTTAAACATATATATTAATAAACATAATTACAACATTAGATCTGACACTTGTTCCAAACACTCATAAACATAATCTGTGACCAATATAAAATAATAGTCAATATAAATTGACACTCAGCTCAAAATGTCATAAAATAATCAATTTTTCCGAATATTCTTCTTTAAACTATTCTGAACAGTATGTTACAATTATAAAATGTATATCTATTCACATTCCCAGTCCAACACTTGATTCAAAACAAAATATATACTTGGGTACGAGTTGTCTTGGGTACCAGTTATCTTGGGTACCAATTTTCTTGGGTACGACTTGTCTTGGGTACGAGTTGACCAGTTACCATGAAATTGTATAGTTCCAAGCAGATTTTGAGATTACAGGAAAGTTAATCATTAATACACACCTCATTGCAATCTGCTTAAAACTATACCATTGGATTACTATGTGAAATTCCTCAAGCAGAAAATTCTATGGATTTGGGAATGGGTACCATTTACACAATTGGACAAATTATTGGCATACATGAAACCTCTTAAAAACAGCATTTGTATTACTATATAGTATTAGTATTCGAAAGCGTTCGTAATCAATGATTCCCAGCCCTCTGAAGTTTGAAAAATAAAAATACTTGGGTGTTAATCCATAGATAATCCTTGAAAATGAGAAATATTTTTTGGGATTTTATGGTGCAATCTTAAAGTCAATAAAATGTATTAAAGTGTATCGATGTTTTTTAGATGAAAAACATAAGTGAAATGCATGAAAAAACTCCCCCGATTCATTCTACAAACGACTCGCGGTCCTTTGATAACAAACTTTAAAACCATATACTGTAAATTTTAGTTGATTGAATAAAATTATCAAATGATTACTAATAAAGTACAAAAATAGCCTATATGTATTTCACAGGCGCATTATCAAGCATTCTATATGTGCATTCTGTTCTGTATTTGAGTCAACTCATTCATTAAAACTTACTTGGTAACACAGCTTGAGTATCCTTGACAACGTACAGAAACGTCAGAGTAAAAAGCACCCACGCAGCACCCCTCATCTTCACTTCCTTCAAGCTACGATCCACTGGCCCAAAGGACCGATACCGGAGGTCTATGGATCTGCTAATCCAATATCAGAAGACCAAATTATGACGTCAGATGCTGATAGTACACATCCTTAAAACATCATCTAATGTTACAATTTAATGGTGATAATGTCAAAAATGTATCGCTTTTCAATATAATGACATTGCGTAATAAAACATTTTTGTATGGTATTTTGATCAGTGAAATGAGTAATTGATTTTGGTTCTTCCTCACCTTTACAGACTTTCATCGAGATGCAAATCAATTCGGTTATTTACATTTAATTACTGTATTTGACATAATGATCAATGGTCTAGTACAATCAAATTTGATTTAATTATGACCCTATTAAAATACATAAACCAAATCGAAATTGAGAATCAGATACCGATTGCACATACACGGTTGCTTATGGTGAGCGAAAACAAAAAAATCAGTCAAGTTGCTATAAATAACGTTTCGATATTCTATTGATTTTTGATATATATTTTGAGATAGACATAAAAGTTCCCAAAATAGTCTCAATATATTTTTCAACTGCACATGCTTAAGATTAATCAATGGACATTCGGCGGGTAAAGGTCTCCATGTACTAGACGGAATTTTGCAGTGATATTTATTGATGGCTCAAATATTAAACCAGCAGAGTGTCCAGGAAACAAATTGAAAGTTACAAATAAGCAAAATGGTCATGATAGAGGTTTAGAGGTTTGGGTATCAGGAAAACGAAAGCGGTCAGTCATAGATTGGCCCTGATACACAAGGCATTTCAAATATTTATAATGTAAAGTTGTTTCATAAAACATTATTTTATAATTTGCGGCTACACCCCTCGTGTCCCTTTCGCATAACAATACACCTGAATACATATTCAGTATTAGAGAATTGTTATTCTATCGAGTTGTTTGTTATAGAAACTCAGCAATTTGACAAATAACTCTATATCACGTGTTGACGCCACGATCAAACGGTATATATTCTACCGCTTAGGGCATGGTAACGTCAAGTGCACGGCACCGTCTCTACCGCGTCTCAAGCAGTAGAAGATATCGTTGGATCGTGGTTTTCACGCGCGATGTATAAGATTCACGTATAGCTAGGCAAGGTGTGTCCAATTTAAGCCAATCAGAACACGCTATTTCACGTAACTGCATTCCGTTATATGACCAATTACGAACTCAAGGTCACTAGTAAAACGATTGTCTAATGGTGATGACTGGACTTTACGGAGTGAAGTATAAGTTACTTTGCCAGCTTGACCTTTCCAAAAGGTTTCATTGAACATATGTTCTTTTAGTGGTTTCGTATCTTTTAGATGATTTTGTAGATAATATACTTTAGCAATGTGTAAAAAGAATTTAAGCCCAATACAAGACTCAATGCATTGTGTAATGACCATTCCACATTGCACTGAATCCAGGGCTTAAATCATTAAAAAATTCAACAGATTGAGGAATTCCCTTGCCATGCAAGTTGAGTTTCGTCAAAATGTTAAGGCTGAATGTACTCAGAAATGTTGTTTAACTCGAAATCGACATTTTAAACAGTGATATTGATAATATTTCTGAAACAGTTGCGTCACTAACAATTTAAAACCCATCATTGGTTAACAGATTGCAGAAAAATGAAAATGTGGACATTTTTGCCGCACGCTGTATGGTATTTTCAATATAAACGATTGCATGTTTCACACTAAAGATATTTTCTTCAAACTAATGGCATATAGTTTTTTAGACAAGGTAACATGATGGCGAAGTTGATGCGCAATTTTCAAGTTATGATTTAAATGTATATCAAAACCAAAAATTGTAAAATTTCCAATATCAGCGTTTGACAAATATGGGCATTAAAATTTTTGTTTTATTTTTTATTATGCGCGATGGCTTTACCAAAATAAATCGAATGAAAATAACAAACCGAATAGTCTGATCAGCTTGAGTTCAAACATTACCTATCTTAAATTTGCAATATTTGAAAAAGAAACAGTGATGCATAATGATAAAATGAAAGAAGCATGGTTAACGTATTTAGTATATAAGTATCGCACATAAGCATGCACTTTTAGTGATCGACGTGTTATCTATTTTTGGTTATCGATATACTATCAGTACGTTTAACCTATTTTGATTAAAACACTATAAAATATTATAAAAACACCAATTATAAATTGATCTTACAGAGGCTAAAGAATCTAGCCAACAAATACAAAACGTACCTTTTGTGACACTTCCCCCGCGCTGAAGTATACTTCGTCCTCAGTTTGTGACTAACAACAGCGGCAACAATTTCAGCAGTAATTTATTTAATTCAATGTTAGACGTCAAAACAACACAAAACACAGAAATTTGACATTTACCATAAATCTCATAAATTGTGGTAACTCGATATGTTCTATTAAGCGACTCAAACTCACATGGGCCCCACGATAAATTATCTATTATCAGTTATCAGTATTAAAATAATTACATATTTTTAATTCTTTCTGTTAATTTTCAAGTTCAAAGGTACCAGTCTTTTGATGCCTTTTATATATCGATGTCTCTTTCTAAAGTAACTTTAACGTGTTGTGTGTGTGCAGCCTAATATCAATACATGTTTAAGGTGCACGAGACAAGTATAGCTCCACGGAGATATCTCTCCCTTTCCATTGCGTGAATACTGCAAGGACACCTGACACACACCCACACGCAAGGTAAACAGTATATACAATGCACATGAGCGTTTTCAAATAATTGATTGGATAGTTTTCACAAACATAAAATCAAAACTCTTAACGTATAACGTATAATTTACAAACAAATCTACAATGTACAACAAGTGTGATTCATAGAAAGCTACTTCAGAATTGACCTATATACGACAGGTGTCCAAAAAGGTTAAAATTTTGCTCTAATCAGATTATTAATTAATTTTTGGATACGAAAAATAATAAATGTCAAACATTCATGCCAAGTTTCAGCAATAATGGATAAAAACTCCTTAAATTAAAGCGAAAATCTCAGACTTTTTGGAGAACCCTCGTATATCTATGAGTCATCCGTCATCAATATATAGGCATATAAGTTCCCCATTTACGTATAGGAAACAGAAACTTGACAACATCGTAAATTACTGATCAGTGACAACTAACGGCCAGATTCTGACCATATCCCATAAAATATGAAAAATCATATCGATTTTTAAAATGTTATTAGGTGAATGTCATTGGCTAAATAAATAAAATTAATAAAAAATGTCATGGTCTTGCAGGTATGTACTGATCGTAGCGATGACACTGGTGATCCACTCGATTACGCTGGTTACCGAAACGGTTCGTTTCGGTAACAAAATGTCAGAACATCGAAGGTACGATTTTTCTTTTTTCCTTATTTCACACGTTGTAGGCAGAATTCCCACGACATTTTTCAAAAACGTATATCAGTATCATATGTTTAAGAAAATATACATATTTGCGAACACATAGTTCACAAGACAACAGAATCGTCGATTTAATTCCTCACTAAAGTTACATAAACGGTTTTTAAGATCTGCACTTCTATACCCATACCGTTTATGTAACTTAACTGAGGAATTAAATCGACGATTCTATTGTAGAGCTATTTGTTCGCAAACATGTGCATTTTCTAAAACATATAATACTGATATACGTTTGTGAGAATAAATGTCGTTGGGATAGTACCTACAACGCGTGAAATAAGGAAAAGGAAAAAGCGTACCTTCGACGTTCCGACATTTTGTTACGACCGAAACGAACTAACCGGCGTAATCGAGCGGATCACCAGTGCACTACTCATTCAATGTTTTAATTGATGCATCATTACATATCTTATTAGTCCATTTGGTTCAAGATAGTAAAAATTGAAATCGAGACTCAAATCGTTACGGAAAAGTTGATACAATGAATTATAAACGATGAAAACAATAATGGACCATGGATGATGTAGCATCTCTATCATCCTTTCTTAGAATTTATTTCTCCGTGCTTTGACCTATCTGGCACTTGTTCATACATTGGGGTTAAACTTGTAAGCATCTTATGGCGATCCTTCGCTACGCTCTCTTGGAAAAGTTTGTCCGTACCATGGAGTTTGTCCAGGATGCCTAGCGACCCATAGCACGTGTTGAATCTGAAATATCATGAATCGGATATTATATACGTATGATATGCCCATTTCAGAAAAAACAGTGCGGTGCCCCTGCGATCAATTTAATTGTAGGGAGTATATTAATCTGTCACATTACACATGTCACACATCTCATGACTTAAATATTTAGACTAATATATCATAAAATAAGAAAATTATTAACATAAATACATGTAACTTGTTTTTTAGTTGTCTTACTCATAATTAGCTACATACGAGTATCATTTCAAAATCCAATTTCCTATTCGTTTTCATATGATTTTAAGGCAGGCCGAACGGAATGAACAACATGCATATTCGAAAAACGTTCGTTCTAATGTACCTACCTTAAGAGTCAAAAGTGTGAATCAGTGACTTACTTAAGATGGTGGAAGTCGTGATATTCTGGCGATGGCAAGAACGGCAGATGGTATCCACTGTGCTTTATCACGGTCACACTCATAGCTATTGTCAACCATAACCATAGAACAACGATATGTGATCCCATCACTAGCGGTCCACCAATTACGGGAAGAATGTTTCCGAAAATGTACTCTATGGGATGGGCATAGATGGCGACTATTCCTATTGGGGCAGTCCATTCGTGATGTACTTTGTGGATGTGCTTATAGAGAAGTGGCATGTGTAGTATTCTGTAGAATATATAGAAAAATGTCAACAACGGGATCTATTGTACACTCCCCTCCATAAGTTTGGCAACCTTTTTTCTCCATTGAACTACGTGTTAAAGCCTCTTTACGTTTGAATTTTTATTTACTTAACCGGCGATGAAATAACTTATGATATTGATGGAAACGTAACTCGACTTTATTTCCAATACCTCCAAATTTTCTCAATTTTTTTCGTCAATTACAATAGGTCGAAAATTGATGATAAATTTGATGAATTTTTGAAAATCGTCATTCCCATGTAATCCAATGGGAAATGGAGGGTTCGGGGCAAATCAGAAATCAGGATATCTTTTCAGTAAAAGATTCAGCAAAAAATATTTTCATATAGAAAATTGAATTGTCTAACTTTTTTGAACACTAAGTGTTTAGTTTATTTGATGAATATTAAAGTTACAGCGCTTCAAAGTCATTTTTGAAAATAATTTTTCGCCTCCTGTGTTATTTCAATGGGAGAGGTTTTTTGAAAAACAATTTTGACTTTAAAGCCCTATAACTTTGTTGAACCTGAAGAAACATATCAATTTTTTGTTAAATAAAGTTAGCAAATTCAATTACCTGCCTAACTCGTATTTTTTGCAAGGACTCGGATGGATGGATATTCTGTCATATGACTTGCGGCAAACCTACCATTTCCCATTGGATAACATGGGAATGTCGATTTTCAAAAATTCATCATCAATGTTCGACCTACTGTAATTGAGGAAAAAAATTGAGAAAATTTGGAGGTATTGGAATTAAAGTCAAATTACGTTTCCATCAATAGTATAAGTATTTTCATCGCAGGTTAAGTAAATAAAAATTCAAAGGTAAAGAGGCTTTAACACGTAGTTCAATGGGGGAAAAAAGGTTGCCAAACTTATGGAGGGGAGTGTACCTCTTAGATCCGGTGACTTATGTTTTTTCTCGGGATACACAGGGTGTCCATAAAGTTTGTACACTTTACACAGACTTTGTAAATCTTATGGACACCCTGTATAATAGTTTCCATAAACTTGGTGGATATAACCCATATGAGGTTCCCTACAATGGATAACCCCCGAGACATACCTGTTAGCTTCCCTTGCAAAGTAATCTCGTGTCCTAGGGTAATTTTGAGGACCTCATCCCCTCTTCCTAGACTACTAAGGACAAGCTCGTTGTTTTAGAAAATCTATCCCTGTCATATTTTAACTTACCTGTGACCGTAATAGAACAGTATTTCTACTGTTATAGCACAACCAATGAGGTCTCTGAATACACCAGTAAAAGTGGGTATGTCACTAAGAGCCATGCTACTTCCGCGCCATCTAAATAGGTAGTACACTGGTACTGAGATAAACGTATTGATTAACGTTTGATTTATGAAAACAACCCGGAGTGCTTTGTATAACTTTGGTTTGTCGAATACCTGAAACAACATAAACAAGTTATTTTCATCTCGACTGATTCTCATAACATCTCGGATTCGCTAAAAATACCCTCTAGTTCAGAAAAAATGAAATGTCATGGATAATCGTGATGATGATATATTTTGTTTGATAGAATGTCTAATAATTTTTTAATTTTTGGCTGATAACGCGACTGTCAAGCCACCAAAACCTTTACAACTATATTCTAGATTTACTTGTAAAATACTTTAACTAAACTTGCCCATTTCTCCTGTTGCACTTTGTACTTGACCATCCACTGAGGTTTATGTGTGACGTCAGGGTAGAGAAGAAACAGATTGATGAACCAGTAGACGCAGACGACCACACCCTGGGTACCTGCGAAAACAGAAAACCTTGACAATGGGAGTAATATCCTCTTCCTTTGACATCGAGGTCGTATACGAACTGGTAGATCTGTGAGAGGAAGAGGGATAGATATATTCTGGCCCTCGCATTTTAAAAAGGGATCCATATTTTAAGGAGATTTCCAAATTAATTCATTTCCTGGAGTTACATGTTACATAGTGATTTATGGTGGACTGAGCGGATCGATTTTGGGATCCGTATGCACATGGCGGCGTCAAAGTCGCCGTTATGCATAAACAGCTATGAGATGGAGCTAGTTGTTCACCCCGGAGGTTCATTTATGAATTCCGGGATATTCTCCCTTCCCTTTTGGTCTATAAAGTTCATTCCACTTTAAATGTACCTTAAAACTTAGCTTATGTACTTATTCCCAAAGAATAAAACTAAGCAGTATACGTACCTATAGTGTTTATTAGAAAGTGGTTGTCATTGAAAACATCCAAAACTATAGTCCAAAATGTAGTGAGAATAGTAGCCATGTTTACAAGCTATGATTAGAATATGCGTTTTCTATTTGAGTCGGGGCTTGATAAGTTTGATATCGAAATATTTATTTATCAACATTTATTAAAAAATTGAACTTTGTGCATGATGTCAATGACCTCGATTACTCAAGTTCAATGCCAAATCACTTGTATTTTATCTTCAGTTTGAGAATAGTTAACTATTTATATTGATAACAAAAAAAAGTTTGATGATGACAAATAATCCGCTAAGATAATCATTGGCATTAACAACCAATATAACACGGTGCGGTGTCCAAACTGCGTGCAAAGTTACAGTTTGTCAGTGTTTTAAACTGCGTGCATGGTATGCACGCAGTTTGGATACCGCGCCGTGTATAAGGATTGAATGATATTTTGGTATGGATCCAAGTTTTGATACATCTTCTGATTTCTCATATCTGCCATGCTTTGAGATTTTTATTCCACTTGGACTACCTGACTCCATGTTGAGCTATATTTATCTTGAGAATTTTGTTGCAATTTGACTTGAAGTTTTGTGATTTCTCTAGCTACTTTTCACTGGCGAGTCCAGAGGGTGGGCCATTTCCATTTTGGGCCCAAAAATTTTGTAGGGCCTCAATTTGTGGGCTTTTTTGTCATTGCTTGGCCTTTTTAGGCCAAAATATCAAAATGGGGAAAACCCCGTTTTGAAACGAAAATGACGCCATTTGTATTATGGACGCTGCTTGACATGTATTATAATAGATTTGAACTTATGATATATCAATTCGAACTTACACCCCAGTCACATTTGTCGCACGGCGGCCGCAAGTCGACCGCAGAACAATTAAATCGGTGAATTTCTGCGGCGAGCGTAGAAAAACTACGCTCGCCTTGCGGCCTCCGTACGGCGTATGCAGATTTTTACAGGCCGCAGGGAAGGCGTAGAAATTATAACTCGGAGTTATAATATTTGTTCATTTCTGAGGTCCCCGTAGAAATCAATTGGCTCAACAAGATTGAATCATTATTTGTCAATGTTTCACGATCACTTTTCATTTGATATTACATACCAGCACTATGAATAATATTTATAAATTGTCCCGATGTAAATAAAATGAAAAAAAAATTATTTACACCCCAGTCACATTTGTCGTACGGAGGCCGTGCGTCGACCGCAGATCAATTAAATCAGTGTATTTCTGCGGCGAGCGTAGGAAAACTACACTCGCCTTGCGGCCTCCGTACGGCGTATCCAGTTTTTTACAGGCCGCAGGGTCGCCGTAGAAATTATAACTCGGAGTTATAATATTTGTTCATTTCTGAGGTCACCGTAGAAATCAACTGGCTCAACAAGATTGAATCATTATTTCTCGATGTTTCACGATCACTTTTCATTTGATATTACATCCTAGCACTATGAATAACATTTATAAATTGTCCCGATGTAAATAAAATGAAAAAAGTATTATTTATCAACAGAAATTTAAAATTCAGCGTGCGGCTGCCGTGGGAAATGTGACTGCAAAAGTATGAGAGCGCAGAAATTCTACGGCGAGCGTAGAAAAGCTACTGGCCGCAGAAATGATAGACCGCAAGGTCGCCGTAGGAAATGTGACTGGGGTGTTAGTTCCCTATCCACTGGTATATAATATGAAATGTTTTCATCGATAAAATCAATGTTTATTTTTGAAATACGAGTGTCCCATTTTTTGGACCACTCTGTATATAGCCAAAATCCCCACAACTAATTGAAATCACAAAAGTGCAACACATTGTTACAAATCGTTTACAAAACGGTGGCTGTTATGTGACATCTGCCGTGCTGGTGACATACAAATGCTGCATTATCAGATCAGATACAGCAGGATACAAGTACACGAGTACAGCAAGTACAACTTTGTTATGTATGATAATGGCCTATGTTTAGTAATAGGTGAGGTACCAATTAGATAAGATATAGTTAGATACTGAAGATAACAGATAACAAAAGATACATATGCCATCCCCAAAGGTTCTTCTCATCAGTCTCACAAAGGAAACAACTAGGTATGTACTTTGTATGCACTAACCTAACTTGGTGCCGATAAGTTATTAAAAATGCTAATTTCTGGTACCTACTCAGGCCCTATGTTTCTTCATTTACTAGTCTAACAGGGTCATTTTGTAGATATGGGATGTCGAATTGATCTCACTGCTTTGATAAAATACTCTAGGAGAGAAATGTGTCCAAGAAGCATTTAGGTAGTTTTAATGAAAACACATATTTGTGAAAAAACAGCTTTCAAAACTATAACGAATATTTAAAGTTTTAAACTGTTCCAGAGATGAAGTTGTTGCTCTTGTTCGCAATAGTTGTGGCCGTCAGCGCCGGCCCAATTCCATCAAGGAGCCCAGTGCCAAAGCACTTGGTGAGCCGTCTTCTACAGCTTGCCGAGAGGGACAGTTATGATACTCTGTTGAAGGATGCTATAAGGAAAGGAAAGGGTGATGAGTTCAAAGCTCAGTACAAGAAAGACAAGGTGAGGCTATACGATGACTCTCCAAATGGTCATGAATATGGTAAACCAACAAACAGGTTCAAATATCATACTCCTTTCTTTACTTACCATATAAGAAAATGATGGACAAAAAATGTTCCCAAATACTGCAAAACTAGGAAAGGCCAAGCAATTGAATACCCTTCCTTTTATAACATAACCTAAAAACAACCATTCCCCATTAGTTTCAACTCAATCTGAAACAGTGACGGCCATTGCTATAAAGACCACCGGGACCATAATCAATTTCATTCCCAATCAAAATTGCTCTCTGTCATTTTCAGGCCGATGAGAAGAAGGAGTACTATGACGGCATGCGACAGGCCGTGGCTGCTGGTCAACTCGATGCCTTCTACAAGAAGGTCAGGGAGATGCAGACTGAGGAGGCTCAAGGATATTGGGACATCTACATGAATGAGCTCCATGCATCCAAGGATAAAACTGTAAGTTTGGAACTCGGTTATGAAATATGGCGGCGTCCCACATTACTGTACTTTGTTATTATTGAGGCCATGTCATAAACCAAAAAGTAGAACTGAATAGACGCAATTCACATCCAAGTTTTGTATCCTAGATAAATCTCTCCATACCCTTTGCATTCGTTTGACTTCACTTCTTAAAAGAGAATTTCGTATTCGTAATGTATAACTAAACTAACTAGAGTTGTGATAAAAATCCTCCGTGTGTTGCTAAACATAACTCATCATCAGTTATGTATTCAATGAATAAACTCACAGCAAGACCATCTGCTTTGTTTCATAGAGAGAGGAATTGGACAAAAGAACCGACTGGAAATCCCAGTTCCACAGGGCCCACAAGGAAGCAAGAAAATATGGAAAGATCACTGAATTCTGGAAGATCGTGCGTCAAGGTGGACTCCCACAAGAAGATGAGGTCGAAAGGCCAAACGTTTTAGATCAACTTGTCGAGGAACTTTTCACATCATTGGTTGAATCTATTGAGGAGTCTATCAAGAAGTCTCATGAAACTCAAAAACAGAAAGAAGCTGAAGAGAAGAAGCTCATTGAGGACATCAACAAGGTAGTAATTGTTAATTTGATTGTTAAAGCTATATTAATAAAACCAAGTCTAACTATGTACTAAAAGCTCAGGAAATGTAAATGAAAATAAACTATTTACAGGTTCAGTTAAACAAAACAGAGTTACTCAAAAAAGAGAAAATCAAAATGTAAAAACGAACTCTTGATTTTAAATTCTTCATTTAATACATTTAATGTTATATTGAGAAAGATGAAATGTGTTCAAACAGGAATTCGAGGAACTGCCAGTCGAGAAGCAGAATGAGTTGTTGGAAAAGAAAGCCCAGATTGAAAAGGACGAGGCTGACAGAAAGGATAAGTCTGAGAAAGATTTTAGAGAAGCGATGGTGAGTTATTTGGATGTTCTCGCAATGTATAGATATGCTTAGTCTTATTTCAAGACTGTACACCCCCCCCCCCCCCCCTTGTCAACTTCACCAGCACAAGAAGTGTGTGTTTAGCTGGGGGTCACAAGATCTTGTACCTAGACTAAGATATGGTAATTGTCCACATAATATTGGCGAATTTGTGGTTACCATTTTTACTATTTGGTAGAATTTGAACATTTCTCATTTTTTGGCGCGCTTTGAATCTTTAGTAACTTCTCCAATAATCTATAGCATATCACACTTTATTGGGGAATGTTGTGTTTGGGATCATAAGAAAAAGAGTGGTAGGTCAGTTGTACATGTTGCCTACAATTTTGTAACCCACTGTAGATCTGATTCATATTCATGAGTTTAAAAACACAGCAAAGCCCATTACATAGACTAAAACAATAAACATGATACGTGTAGGAAATTATAAAGGATCTGTTTGACCTCGTCATACCAGAAGAGAGGAGGGGAAAGATTGACGAAGCACTCGGGAAGATGGAGATAATCATGAAAGACCTGCTCGTCCTAATCGGTGTTGAAGAGAGTGGAGAAACAGACGAGGAAAAAATAATTAAACCAATCTCTTATTAAATAAATTTGATCCTGTTTTGAAAGTTATTTAGCATCGTGTTAATCAATAAAATGTAAACAAAATATTTTTGACTTTGTTCCATACATAGATATTTTGTACGATTTTGGAAACTTTTTTAGGCACATTACTCATGCAAAGCTATCTTGAAAATGAATCAAATGTGTTTTCAAATATGAGGTGCGAAGATCGCTTTAAACAGGGCATTTTAATAGCATAATATGATAAATACCAGTGACAAAGACCAGCTTCACTAAAACTCCATATTCCATATGTGGGTGGAAACTGTCTGTAAATCCCGTGTTAGGAGTTGGGGAATATTTCAAAACACAACAATGAGTATGACCTGTTAAAGGTTACTGAAGGACATCCACGTGCAACTGGAGCTCTTGGTCCAAAATAAGGAAACGTTAGTGGACTCTTTAATATCAGCACATATTAATGTACGATTGTATTATTTCAGGATTTAGTGAAGGACATGTGGGGCATGCTGATAAACATCCTTGTACCAGAGGAGGAAAGGGGAGAGGTGGACGAAGCCATGAAGAAGGTTGAAATCATCATGGATGAACTCCTTACCCTCATTCTGGTTGAAGAGAGTGAAGAAACTGGCGAAGAGAAAGTAATCACACCAATCTCTTACTAAATATGTTGATTATTTATCACTTTACCGCCAGGGTCAATAAAGAAAATCAAATGAGTAATGGAGTCTGTTCAATAGATTACATTAGAATCAGGGTATACTTTTGATCGCCTTCGTGCATGATGTAGCGGCATTGCGGGCAGGCCGGTGTAAAAGAAATTATGGTCCCCTGGGGATTATGGTCCCCTTTCCTTACGGCCCTTACTGGCCCTGACTGTGTATAAATAATAAGGAAAATAATTGTGATTAGGTCACCATATAAATCAATAGAATTGAGGACCAAAATTTGATAGAACCACCTACCCTTTTACACCTGGGCAGCCACTTTTTAGCTCGCATATATGGGTGAGCTATTGTTATTTCAGAATTGTTTTTATTGGGCCTTGACACTTAAATATTTTACAATTCTGCTAGAGTAAGGATCACGTCTCTTGATGGTTAAAAACTATATATTTTTCGTCTTTGCAATTGATAGTCGGGGATTTAAAAAATGTTATTTCCTCATTTTTTAGACTAGATGTCAGGGAGCAGTTACTATGAACGTACGTCGTAACCCTCTAACTCAGTTTAATAGTCTATACTTAGGCCTATTAGAAATACCAACGTAAATCTAAGATAGTACTTTGAATGGTACTAGAGTATACTATCTATCTATGGTAGCTGAACACTTCATTTAGCACGCTACCCCCCCCCCCCCCCCCACAAACAAACACATATACATCGTGTTCGGTTAACGTTATGAAAATGACTTGTCAGTTTTAGGGTTGATCTGGACATGCAAGAATTAAGAGTCCATTTCACTGTTTAATTCCGTCAGTAAAAGCTTAAAAATAAGAAATCAAAATATCATTTTGCAATAATATATGGAAAAATATATTCCTATTGTACATGAATGGCATTTGTATATCTTGGATTACTTCTAGTTTGGCTTATAAAGTGTGTGGCCTTTTATATTTGGATGCTTCTCTGCCATGTTATTTTCAATAAGATTAACATGGCTGAAATTCTTCAAATTACAAGACGGCACAGGTTTATTGCACAAAAAACTAAAAAATCTGAAATATACAAATGTCATTCATGTACATTATCAATATACTTTTCTATATATTATTGCACAATGGTCTCCCAATTTCTTATTTTTGCCGTTCTACTGACGCAATGAAACAGTGAAATGGACTCTAACCGTGTCATGGTTGATAAAATGTGAACAGAAAAATATTATCAGTTATCGTTTTATTTTAAGACGCATATAAAGATTCAAATGAATGCAATTACATTGCTTTAAATATTATAGTAGTAATATCACAATCAGTGAGTTTCAAGGCTTGTAGTGATCCATATACAGTCAATGATAATTTGCACAATTTTAGTCCACCAACTATTACACTCATACTATCCTTAGATTACTGGAGGCTATATCCAAGATCTGTTCATATAAAAACTAATATATAAAGAGTTATGCTGAAATGTTACAACTTATACAACAAGAGACAGTGTCACTTTAAATACTGAAACTTCTAATTGCGTTTAATGAAAACCCCTAACCAGGAATCATAGAAAATATAAACAAAACAATATTGTTGAAAAATGAGCAAATACGAGCAAAAGAACGTAGAGCTATAGAAATCATCAATTAAATAGTAGTTTTTCTGGATGTTGTAACCTACTTCTTGAGGATGACAAATCCAGAATGCAATGCTATTGTTGCACAGTACACATTACAATACTAATGCCTGCTAAAACGTTCTTTTGTCAAGTATTTTAAAAAATTCACCTGTTGTTTCAAGGAATTCGTGCAACATTTTCCGTATCAAAATTTTATTTTCCTATATTTTTGCCTTATTGGTTCTAACCATTTTCCCTGTTTAATGTCATAAATCGTAATAAAACCTCTGCACTACCACAAAAACTTGACAATACAATGTTTCACATATGAGTGATATGTTTCAAATAGTCACAGGCTTAACTGGTGCTAGTTCCTTGAAAATATTGCAGATCATAATTTGTGAAGTTCAATTTCCATGATTTTACCAAAGTTAAATAATTGTTAATTATCACCGCGTCTAGTTCTTGATCATATCCAGTAGGCCTATAAAGATTTTAATCAAATCAAATGAAAAGGGATTGAAATTCAATAATCATGATCCATAATATCTCACAACGAGGTCCAGATGACCAGAATACTATTCATTTCCTCAGTTACTCAGTTTTATCCAAGGCTTTCAATCTTTCTATGAGAACAAACACATATACATCGTGTTCGGTTAACGTTATGAAAATGACTTGTCAGTTTTAGGGTTGATCTGGACATGCAAGAATTAAGAGTCCATTTCACTGTTTAATTCCGTCAGTAAAAGCTTAAAAATAAGAAATCAAAATATCATTTTGCAATAATATATGGAAAAATATATTCCTATTGTACATGAATGGCATTTGTATATCTTGGATTACTTCTAGTTTGGCTTATAAAGTGTGTGGCCTTTTATATTTGGATGCTTCTCTGCCATGTTATTTTCAATAAGATTAACATGGCTGAAATTCTTCAAATTACAAGACGGCACAGGTTTATTGCACAAAAAACTAAAAAATCTGAAATATACAAATGTCATTCATGTACATTATGAATATACTTTTCTATATATTATTGCACAATGGTCTCCCAATTTCTTATTTTTGCCGTTCTACTGACGCAATGAAACAGTGAAATGGACTCTAACCGTGTCATGGTTGATAAAATGTGAACAGAAAAATATTATCAGTTATCGTTTTATTTTAAGACGCATATAAAGATTCAAATGAATGCAATTACATTGCTTTAAATATTATAGTAGTAATATCACAATCAGTGAGTTTCAAGGCTTGTAGTGATCCATATACAGTCAATGATAATTTGCACAATTTTAGTCCACCAACTATTACACTCATACTATCCTTAGATTACTGGAGGCTATATCCAAGATCTGTTCATATAAAAACTAATATATAAAGAGTTATGCTGAAATGTTACAACTTATACAACAAGAGACAGTGTCACTTTAAATACTGAAACTTCTAATTGCGTTTAATGAAAACCCCTAACCAGGAATCATAGAAAATATAAACAAAACAATATTGTTGAAAAATGAGCAAATACGAGCAAAAGAACGTAGAGCTATAGAAATCATCAATTAAATAGTAGTTTTTCTGGATGTTGTAACCTACTTCTTGAGGATGACAAATCCAGAATGCAATGCTATTGTTGCACAGTACACATTACAATACTAATGCCTGCTAAAACGTTCTTTTGTCAAGTATTTTAAAAAATTCACCTGTTGTTTCAAGGAATTCGTGCAACATTTTCCGTATCAAAATTTTATTTTCCTATATTTTTGCCTTATTGGTTCTAACCATTTTCCCTGTTTAATGTCATAAATCGTAATAAAACCTCTGCACTACCACAAAAACTTGACAATACAATGTTTCACATATGAGTGATATGTTTCAAATAGTCACAGGCTTAACTGGTGCTAGTTCCTTGAAAATATTGCAGATGATAATTTGTGAAGTTCAATTTCCATGATTTTACCAAAGTTAAATAATTGTTAATTATCACCGCGTCTAGTTCTTGATCATATCCAGTAGGCCTATAAAGATTTTAATCAAATCAAATGAAAAGGGATTGAAATTCAATAATCATGATCCATAATATCTCACAACGAGGTCCAGATGACCAGAATACTATTCATTTCCTCAGTTACTCAGTTTTATCCAAGGCTTTCAATCTTTCTATGAGGGGAGGGTGGGAGTAGTTCCAAGCAGAGAACAGCCAGTCGGCCACTGGGAAGCCCAGATTGTCCTTGTTGAGTTTGATAAGGGATGATCTGAGGGCCTCAGCTCTTTTAAGACCCTTTGCAAAGGCATCAGCCTGGAACTCAAATCTCCTACTCAGCCATGTCATACAGAAAGACAGCACCTGGAGATATAAATATATATCATCAGTTACAAGTTACCATAGTGATCAAATAAACAAGGGACCCTGATTTTTACTTTACTTGATACATGCATATAGCATGATCAGAATGTGATACCACCCTGAGTCTCCTATTCAGTGTTTTCAAAATTATCTCAATTTCAACGAACCGTGCAAGGATAAAGTAACTTTAAAATGTGGTATATCACATCTAACTTTTCTATGAAAAATAGTATCACTGAAATGCATATAAAAATACTTCAGAATGATATTTTAATAAGGCGGGGATTTACGCTTAAAGGTTACATTAGACCGTATCGAATAGTCTTACCTCATTATATGGTGAGAAGATAAACTGGAATATGATGATAAGTCCAATCATTGTAGGACTGCTGTCAAAGCCAAACGCAGAGTATAACTTCTGTTCCTTCATCAACAAGCCAAATATAGCAAAACATAGGAATGTATTCACCTGTAAACAAACGTAAAATTAAGAAAATAACACATTGATAAATGTAATTTAACCCTAATCAGTCTGGACCAATGATAAACACAATTTAATTGAACTTTTATAAGTCTGAAATATTTCACGTCGCATCTATTTTTTTATTTGAGCATTCATTTCATCAATTCACAAAAGTCATTCACAATGAGTTATCTAGCCAGCAGATTTTATAGAGATTTTCAAAAACACAGATTTACTGAATTTTCTAATTGGGTTTTGGAGTGTATGCTACAGGTATAAGCGAAGTATCGATTCCTAGGTTTTCCATTTAAAGTTAAATGTGTTTTGAATGAGCTCTCCAGTCAGAAGACCTAAGAGAAATGTCCACATACTATAGTTTATACTGCCAGTCACTCACCTGCCCTATAAGGAGATTCTTTAGATTGTGGTTAAGTTTCCAATGGCCCAACTCATGGCCAAGAACTGCTAACACCTCTTCATTATTACAACCTACTTTCTTCTTAGGTTTTTCTTCGGTGGTATCATTGGGGGTGTCTTCTGTTTTAGTGGTGCTCTCATCTTTGGTGGATTCAGATTCCTGAAAGATATCAACATTGGTAGAAAGCAACTTACTTTTTCACCCATTGGAATACATGTAAAATTGGCAAAGTTCAAATCATAATTTCTCAAATCCCAGCCCATCGAATCCTCACATCCATTCAGATCATGTAGTCCTATTCAAAAACTTCCCGTTCGGTTATATGGTGAAAAAAATATCCCACGAACGAAAAAAGATTTTGCTACATTTATAAGCGAGCATTGATTTCTGGGCCTGTAAAAAGCACGTAGGACCTGATTACCCCATTGATTTACTGAGACCGCCAAAAATATAATTCAATTTTTTGGTTCAAAATAATAATCTGTCAGCGGTCCCTGACACTCCTACTAGCTATCACCAAACATTAATTGCCAATACATGTACACATATACGTGCCATACATCTACAAAGTAGCGAACTAGTGTATTAAGTACTACTTTTCCTATACGATGAGCAAAACAAATCTCAAGTAGGTTATATTGACCCTATTAGGTAGAAAGCAACTTACTTTTTCACCCATTGGAATACATGTAAAATTGGCAAAGTTCAAATCATAATTTCTCAAATCCCAGCCCATCGAATCCTCACATCCATTCAGATCATGTAGTCCTATTCAAAAACTTCCCGTTCGGTTATATGGTGAAAAAAATATCCCACGAACGAAAAAAGATTTTGCTACATTTATAAGCGAGCATTGATTTCTGGGCCTGTAAAAAGCACGTAGGACCTGATTACCCCATTGATTTACTGAGACCGCCAAAAATATAATTCAATTTTTTGGTTCAAAATAATAATCTGTCAGCGGTCCCTGACACTCCTACTAGCTATCACCAAACATTAATTGCCAATACATGTACACATATACGTGCCATACATCTACAAAGTAGCGAACTAGTGTATTAAGTACTACTTTTCCTATACGATGAGCAAAACAAATCTCAAGTAGGTTATATTGACCCTATTAGGTAGAAAGCAACTTACTTTTTCACCCATTGGAATACATGTAAAATTGGCAAAGTTCAAATCATAATTTCTCAAATCCCAGCCCATCGAATCCTCACATCCATTCAGATCATGTAGTCCTATTCAAAAACTTCCCGTTCGGTTATATGGTGAAAAAAATATCCCACGAACGAAAAAAGATTTTGCTACATTTATAAGCGAGCATTGATTTCTGGGCCTGTAAAAAGCACGTAGGACCTGATTACCCCATTGATTTACTGAGACCGCCAAAAATATAATTCAATTTTTTGGTTCAAAATAATAATCTGTCAGCGGTCCCTGACACTCCTACTAGCTATCACCAAACATTAATTGCCAATACATGTACACATATACGTGCCATACATCTACAAAGTAGCGAACTAGTGTATTAAGTACTACTTTTCCTATACGATGAGCAAAACAAATCTCAAGTAGGTTATATTGACCCATTGTGCCAAATTATTAAAAAGGTTTATGAATACAGTGAAACCTGTCTTAAGTGAACATTGCTAAGGCCCGTAGCCAGGGGGAGTTCAGGGGTGCGAGTGAATCCAATCCCTGACAAAATTTTCTTTGAAAATCATGCAGTTCTTTGCCATTCTGAACATTATTCAGGTGATTTTGGGCCAAAATGATGAAATGGAATTTTTTAATATGTGGACTCCTCCTTGGCAAACGCTGCCTACATTGCAAATCACATGCTAAAAATAAACACATATCAAGGTCAATAAACCATGTGAGCATAAAGTACTAGGTATCTAAATACAAGCTGAGGAGATTGTTTAAACCAGCAAAACAATGCATTCATTTCAGAACTATTTCATAGAAATATTACCTCATTTGACTCATCTGTTTTCTTGGCATCCTCTTCTTTGGCATAGTCCTCAAGGAGTGTGTCAAATAGAACAATTCGCTTGTTCTTCCAGAAACCATAGAAATAGGCATTACTGTGAGATGATCTTTTCGAACCTGCAGTAAGAATTATTTATGATTCACATTTAGACATACATGTACAGTAAAACCTATCTTTGTGAACACCTCTTCTCAGCACATACTCCAGTCACTTCTGTATAAAGTTGCCTCTCTGTAGTGAACACCTACCTGTAGGGAACACATTTATGGATTCATAGGTGTTCAGTGTACACAGGTTTTGTTGAATAACAATTGATCACAGTGTTACTGGTGTAAATAATATTATACTGCAAAAGGATTGTTGATGCACAGTGGTATTTATCACAGAGTTTCAGTCTTGGAATTTAGGGTGACGCTGTGTAAATTACCCAGCATGCCCTGAACCTAATCAGATCTTGGCACAAGTCTACTATTGCATCTGTACAAATTAGAGTAAAAATGGATAAACAGTTTCCTTGTACCACCCATCCGCTCTGCTAGTACGCCCATCAAAGCACCAGTTTGTTTCTTGAGAGGGAAATCAAAACTTACCATCAACGACATAGAGTTTCTTGAGGGGGAATTCAATACTGGCAGCTAGCTTCTCAATACCTGTCCTCAGTTCACCTTCAGGGAGGGGAGTGAATTTGTCAAACAATGGAGCAATGTAGTCAGCATACACGGACACCAATATCTACAATATGTGAAGTTTATGTTATGGGATGTTTTGGATATAGGGTATACAGTATATCCCAAGGGAAATACATATTTCAAAAGATAATGAATTATCAAAACTCTTACCAAGTCTTTTATTTCAAGAGTTTTTTTATTTTTCCATGCAATTCTTGCACAATTACTGAAAAGGTATCCTGTTGAGATTTATTAAAAGGTAATTGCTGGTTTGATAATGTCTCAATACTTTGTTAACAGAAAGTTGGGTAGGAACATACTGCACATTGTATCAAAAACAGGCTATTTTACACAAAGACTCATGTTTTAAACATTGTTTGTTGGAATAATGCATCCCTAAATACATACAATTACATATGGTGTTCAAAATTGCTGAAACAGTGACTTTTATACATTGAATATGTAGCTTACCAATGATATTGCCAAAGAGAAACCCCAGGCGTATATAAAGAAGTAGTCTCCCCCAACTTTAATGATCCAGATGAGAAGGCTAGTAATGGGTAATGCTAGTGCCATGGAGACAACCAGTTTCTTCACCATGTCTTTCAAGAAAAACCCTAGAGACTGAAAATATAAAACAATTGAAATTTAAGGCAATATCACAAGCTGAAAAAGGATGTCACAACGCCAATTGCAGTCCTCATTTTTATTATGATGCATTCTAACATTCAAGTTATCAAATAGAATATTATTCAATATGTCATATTTTTGCGAAACCAACTTGATATTTTGACCCAGCAATTAAAAATGAGCACATTATAATGTACACACTAACAAGATGAAAAAATACAAAAAAGATTATATGAAGCTACTTTACCTGTTTATTAAATCCATGTTTCTCCTCAATGACAAAGGTACTATAGAGACTCCATGGCAACCCAGTTATAGTGCTGAATAGTGTCGCACCCAACAGGAACACCATACTTTGACTTATCTTTAAAACAATGGTAGTGTTATTCCTAAATGAATGCCCATATTAGGTATTCATTCACATAAGTCCGATAGACATGTCCCTTATGTGAATATTTGGTATTATATGACCGTATCTATGCCTTCTATAAACTGTGAACAAAGTCATCATTTTACCCGGGGTATATTCATCAACACTACCCCTGGTAATATGAGTAATGTGTTACATCATAACGGCGCGCCGTAGTAATGGAGGACCATTAAATGATTATTCAAAAAGTTTTTATGGTCGAATCATAATATAGACCTCAGAGCAGATGTAATATCGACAAATACACCCCTTATGGTTAGGCTCAGCTTTCGAACCCCTCACACCCTTAAGTTGTTCAGGGTACAGAAAAAGTTTGTGCCTAGCCCAACTGGGTGTATTTGTCGATATAACATCTGCTCTTCTGTCTTATTTCTTAATTAAAAACTAATAAATGAACAATATGCACTCAAGGCATATCAAATAATGGGATTCGTACCTCATATTCACTATTGTATCCAAAATATTCAAGGACTTGTCCAGAAAACCTCCACAGGAAGGGCATACCACCATAGATGAGAATTAACTGAAATAAAAGAAGTGAAAAGTATATACATACAAATGAATTTGAAGTACTGTATCATTTTTGAAACTATCAATCTGAAATATCTTGGCTTACTTGAGTGACCAGAATTGTAAATGCTTTGTATTTTTTTAACAAGTTTTAGAATTTGACAATTTTATTATAAAAAAAACAAATCAAACTAAGTTTAGATTATACATTTATTTCTAAATTGAAATCTCTTACTGTTGATTCAATTTGTCCCCATATGCCATGCCAGAATCCAAAGACGCTCTTATCCAACGAGTAGAGACGTGCCTTCTCAAATGTCTCAGCATCTAGGACTTTTTCCAGCTCTTGGGGCACTTCAGTCACAGTGCGGTAGAGATTTCTCTAATATTGAAAAACGCACCAGATTTAAAATCATGTTGTACATTATTTCAGTGGTGTAAACTACATGTACAGTATTGTATTCCCCGAAATACACCAACATTTAAGAGAACTGAATATCATATTCCATTGTTTCAATTAATTCTACTGAAGATGTATATTTAGAATATGACCCAGTTACACCTCTGACTTAAGAGGCCAGAAAATCATTATGGTAACTTATGTCATTGACATTTAATTCTTTCTCGTTGAAAGCCCATGAATACACAGAAATACAAATACACAGAATCATAGCTGACTGATTTCATTGTCAGTATTATGTCGTAATCACCTAAGTCAGTGCAATATTTTGACAAGATCTTCCCCAACAAAGTTGCCACTGAACCATAGGTGAGTCACCACAGCTGAGCTGTAGTAGCAACCAGTGTATGCCCTAAGGGCCAGTCCACATAACCAGTTTATTATTGATACGGACCAGTTGATTTTTTCACTACGTATAGGAAAATAACATTGTAACAGGTCTGTAATGCCATTTTGACCAGCAGCTCTCAGATCCTTGGAACACTATAGTACACTGGTATTTCTATCCTAAGTCGTTACAATATTGTTGGCTAAGGGAAACAATGGTATTTCTATCCTAAGTCGTTACAATATTGTTGGCTAAGGGAGACAATGATACCCTTTGACTTAGCTACATATATGTTATCCCGTGCCAGGACTATAGTCCTGTAACGAGCGCATTCTTTTGCCTGTACGATTACAACTTGAGAGAATTATCTACGCCCCTTACACTTAAGATACCTACTTCAATAGATTTCTGGGTATTTTAGCATTCTTTTCGTGTAGTTGAATCCACAATTGTTTGGGACTTTGGGTATATCGGCAGAATGGGAACATTTTTCTTATTCATCGATATTCCATCACTTTCCAAGATGGCGGTTGGATTTAAAAGGGGATTCCCCGTTTGACTGACCCGGAAGTGGCCCGGATAACCAAATATAAATGGAAGAATTTGACGGTTGAAATAAGTTGAATATTACACGCAAATATTGCGATCAAAAACGAAAATTTCTTTGTTCTGCCGATAAACCCAGACAATTGTGGATTCAACACGAAAAGAATGCTAAAATACCAAAGAATCTATTGAAATAGGTATCTTAAGTGTAAGAAGCGTAGAAAATTCTCCCATGTTGTAATCGTACAGGCAAAAGAATAAGACGTTCGCAGGACTATAGTCCTGGTACGTGATAACATATATGTATCAAAAACCATTATAATATCAAAGATATAGTTAATGGCTAATAAATGGTGATGTAAGCTACATTTTCTAATAAACAAAATCAATGAGAAATATTATCAATTAGTCTTATAGACCTAATGATCAAAATCATTTCAATCCCTGCAAATCTGAGATTTTTCCAAAGACTATATTTTTGAAGCAGGCTTACCTGTCGGCTTGATAGATACGTCTCCCATGCGTACATTACCCATAGAAACACTAGAACTGCATTAAATATATCAGATTCATTTAAATCCATTATAAATCTGTAAATAAACCAAAATGATGTTGATTTTTTTAAATGTGACCAGACCGGAACCGGAAATGCAATTTACCCGAGCATGCGCAGTGAAGCTTGCTCGAATTTTGATTTTTCCAAAATTATCTTGAGTTTTTATCGTTTTCTCAAAATCATGACATGATTTTATAGTAAATAGTATATCTCCATATTGGTAAGTACCCCATTTTATAAGATGACGTAACAGTAAAACTGTTTGACGCTATAGAGACACATATTGAATTTCATCCAAAATATTCATGATTCAATCTACAGTCAAATTTTTTATTCTGTCAATCAGTTCATATGGTTAGAATAAGGAAAGAATGTGATGTAACCACGTGTCTACTTACTAGCTTGTTCTATGTCATCCATCGGACTAGGTTACATCGTGGAACGCAGCCAAACACGACAATGAAGCCAGTATTCTGAGGTTATAAAATCTAAATCTAAATAATTTCCCATTTGCAGCCCCTTGGAGATTTCCGGAATTGAACAAAGTAGCGAACGTTGCGATCTTTCAACTTTAGTTCGTTGTTTTTTCACCACCTTATGTGTACTGTTTTCATTTAGGAGGCGGTCTTATTTGAATGCATCATTACAGGTCTTTATGAATCAATAGATCAATAAACAGCTCTAAAAATACAATTAAGCAGTTTCTTTCATTGCGTACTGCGCATGTTAGGCACGAAAACAATTTAGCAGTTTCGTTCGTTGCGTAATTGGGCCTTCTATAATCAGTAGCAAATGCTCGGAAAACATTTTCCAAAATATTTACTTCCGATTTCCTTGAAGACATGATTGGGTGACACGTCATTGACACGTGATTAAGTCACATGATCGATACAATAACTAGTCACGTGATCAGACATGTGTCACGTGTCAGTCACGTGAGCTTGCAAAATGGACGATCTAAATTTCCAAAAATTCGGCTAAGATCAAGATAGATATGCTGTTGCCTTCAGCGTCCTGTTCGGCTGCGTTCCACGATGTAACCTAGTCCGATGGATGACATAGAACAAGCTAGTTAGTAAACACGTGGTTACATCACATTCTTTCCTTATTCTAACCATATGAACTGATTGACAGAATAAAAAATTTGATTGTAGTCATATAAATCCGACCGTTGTATGCTGTTCTTCAATATTCCTTGTTCCTATTTGGCTATTTATTTTTTATCATTTTCTTAGCATATACGGTCGTAGATATTATAGCTGACAAATTGCGGTAAACGCTTTTCTGGCCTGTCTTGGTAACCATAGTTACCATACTAACCAAAGTCACACAAATTATCGAGTAATTATTTAGGTCCAACATCAAAGTGTTAAATCTTACCTTAGACATGTAAAACGCTTGATAATTGACGAAATATAATCAATTGAATTATATTTTCATTATCGCCCGCCATGTTGCTGAATGTTGTTTCCGGTAGTCTAAATGTGAAACATGAAACGAAACGGAATCGTAATTATTTATTACACAGAGATCGATTCCAAAGCCGTTCTCTCATACTTATTACTTTTCTCATTTTGAAACAATAGCTTTTCCAAATAGCTTCCCTTCTTAACGACACTGCTTCCCTTTCAACTGAATCTTCGTGTAACAAGTACTTATGATTTCGTTTGATATAGTTTTACATCTAGACTCAGTTTAACCCGGAAGTGACCTTGGCATGGCAAAATGAAAAAATTTTAAAATTCAAGCGGCATGCTTATATTTCTTCAATTACCAAGCGTTTTACGTGTCTAAGGTAAGATTAAATACTTTATAGTTGAAGCAAAGAAATTTATTTATCATTTGTGTGAATTTGGTTGGGTAGACAGGCGAGGAAAGCATTTCCCGCAATTTAGATGCGCGGAGTGTGTATGACCCTAGTATGCAAGAAAATAAGAAAAAATAAATATCCAAATCAGAAAAAATAACAACAAATAACATCATACGAGGGTCAGATTTATATGACTAGATTCAATCAAATCATTGTTGTCTCACTTCCCTAAGTTGAGTCCATCAACGTTAGACCTAGTCTGGGGCCTCGTTTCTTATCTTACACATCTTATGGTCCTAACTATGTCTAACGTTCATCGTCATTTTGCCTCTGCCTTTTGAATAAATACACACCATCCCATATTGACTGCACGCCGTCCAACTGTCACGCAATTTGCGTATTTGTCACACATTTGCTGGAAAATTTGAAGTCACCCCAGTTTTTTTTGAGTGACAAAGTATGTCACGCAAATACGCATTTTACCTGATTACTGTCCAGCAAAAATATTCCTGTAGAAAAAGTTTCAAAAATGATCAGCAATACACCAAAAAACTGAACGACGAAAAAAAAACGAATGCATTTCGTTCAGACTTTTCAGGCGGATACTGTATATATGTCAAGCATTTTGCCTGAAATATTTCATACCTCTTGATACCTCTTGTTCTAATTGGTCTTTTTTGTTTACTCTTGCATGAGATTGAATTGATTTTTATTCAAAATAATACTAAAACATATACATTTATCTAATACTTTTTGAAATATTACCATAAAAGGGAAGCATGGCATTGCTCATTTTAAAGGTCTCATGTTATTAGACAGAGTTGCATACCCTTCTAATTGAAAGCCCATGACTATATAAATCAATGAAAGAAACATTTTATCTTCCAAATTGACTTTATTATCCCTAGTAATCGCGATAAAAAATGACAACAATTTTGTTTCGCTTAGTTTAATTTTAGCGGGGACGAACAGACAAAATGTCAGAAATTTCATTTTAGAAATTGGTAAGTGAAGCCTCATTTTACGGGTACAAATGATCATTTAACATACTAATGTTGTGAATTCGATTGATGTTATGTGTTTTTATGTTATTGTAAAGTATCTGTTGCGTATTATCAAGAAAATTGGTTTCGATAGATCCAGAACTTGCGACTAAGGAAAGTATAGTAAGGAGGTTTTAAACTTAATAACAGCCAAGAAAATTCTGAATTGTAAATAAAGCCGTTATCGAGTTTAATGTCATTGAACTATGTCTCACTCTGGGCTACATTTACTCTCAATCTCATGTCTGTGACTTTCACCGAGAAAGGTCGCACCTCTTTTCAAGATGACGGTAGGTTTAAGAATGTACATGTTCATGTTCCCGGGTGTATATCAATAGATGGCGGAATTTTGGTGGTTGAAATAAGTTATAGGGGTGTCATTAGCAGCAGGCAACAGGCGATTTTCACCTCTTCAAAAAATGTATATTAGAAGTTTTCTGACCTTTTCTGTCCTTTTATCATCATTATCGTTATGAATGTCATTTTCAGGAGTTACTTAATAGAATTCAGCTTCAGAACGAGCCAGAAAAATAAAAAGAATATGGCATCTTCACCGAAGGCCTCTAAGCCTAGGGATCTACAAGAGAGTATTGCTAAGATCGAAAACCAAATTGCTGTAAGCAGAACTTCCATAGAAATCTTTTTTATCTTTATGAATATAAAGTTCTATATCATTTTGAGTAGTTGTTGAATATTTAAACAACTTTTATTAATCTCCTGTGAAATTTGGGAATTCATTGCATTGTCATGAAATAATTAAAACTGTTGGAGTTTATTTAGAAATAGACGTAAGATAGAATATTGGAATTAAAAAAATATCGTCAAATAGTACCAATTTTTAAGAAAGTTACTCTAAGCTTGTCTCTAGCCTTCCTTTTTGTGTTGTAGATGCATGGTCCAGGCCCACATACTGGAAAACAGAAGGAAGACTTGAATACACTTAACATTCTCTTACAGAAAGCCAAGCAACAGGCAGTAAGTCAATATTATATATTGTACATGTACATGTATAATTTTATTATATTAAAAGAATTATTTGATATTGATTTCTGGATAAAAATAAAGTTCAGTCTGTGTATTAAAGTAGAATAGAATTAGAAACCACAGAAAATGTTTGAATAAGGTATCCAAGATCTGATATTCTTATTATATAAGTGTATAGTATAATGCTGTATCAAGGTTTTTACGAATTGGTAATAAATGTCATTGGAATCAAAAATTTCAAAATTATGGTTTGTCAAAAAGGAAATGAACATATTAAAGGCCCACAATACTTAATTTAGAATAAAAAATAATTATTGAAACATGTTACTCACACACTCACTCAAATATGACACCAAGTTTGATTTGCTTAATACTAAACCAAGAAAGAAATAACTCACATGGGAAAAAGCATTTGAAGTTCAGACATCATTAAAAGTGCATGCACATGTTAAACAAAGTGCATCTTTTAAATTACTGTTGATTTAAAAGATGACGACGCTTCTATAAAAATGAATGTATCATATACTACAAACAACTTACCATCTTTCAATCACATTGATAAAAACTTGATATATAAAATTTGACCGATCGAAAATATTTTTTGATAATTTATTGTAAGCTTTCATGTGGTCTGTTTGAGCTTTTGTTGGTGTCAAATGAAAGATAAACTTCTTATCAATACGTTGGACATACTATGAAATTCAAATGTAAGTCTTTATTTTGCCCAAAAATGTTGAAAATATGCAAACTGGGCCTTTAATTGAGAAATAAACATAGTACTCTGTACACTTAAATTACATATACCCTATTTAATGTTTTGTAATGAAACTGAATTAAATCATTCCATTACAGGCGATGATGTCAGCAGGATCAAGTTCATCCCGTGGGGGTCAAGCATATTCAGGTCCACCAAGTGCCAGTGGGGTGTTAGATAAGAGACGCATACAAGAGCTTGTCAAAGAGGTTGATCCTATGGAACAGTTAGATGATGATGTTGAAGAAGTAAGTGCAGTTCCAATTTCTATTGAATTGAGACAGCTTCACACAATCTGAAAGGACTATTGTTTACATACCTGAGTGACATTAAAAGTATTCATCCCAGTGTTTGAGGGTTGAAATATTTATGTTTTTTTAAACTAGTTTTACAAACTCTTAAAACCCCATCATTTCCCCAGTTTATTCTAAAAGCTTATCCCTTAAGTAATATCATATCACAACCCACTTAATTTCTTTGCTTTTCTATATTTAAAAATGAATTTTATCTCCTGCCCCACCTAAAATCTAATTAATGTCACAAAAGCATGGCATGTTGATATTTGAGCAGGCTACTAAGTATAAGATCATCATTTTTTTGTAAAAGTCATGAAGCTTCTTCAGGCTTGCATCGAGGCTTTCCTTGCATTAACTCCTCTCCCCATCATCTCTCTCTTTCAAGGTGGAAGAATATTTTATGAATACAGTAAAAGTTGTCTAAGTGGAACACACCAGGAAGTTCAAAGTCTTTCACTTGGGAGACATTCAATTTATTGAGGTTCATTTAACATTAAGTTATTTGGTCTTGGAACTCTCAAAAGTGTTCCACTTTCACTCAATTTAGATTTCACTCAATTTATACTTGAATATTTGCAGATGTTGCTTCATATTGCCGATGACTTCATTGATAGTATAGTAGGATCTGCCTGCCAGGCTGCGAAACATAGGAAATCACAGACCTTAGAAGCAAAAGATGTACAACTTCAACTAGGTAACTACTTAAACTCAACTCTCAAATAAAAATAAAATAAATATTTTGTACAGGAAAATTCATATTGTAGTTAAAAAAATGTCACAAAAATGTATAAAGGCACATTTCAAGGTCTTCTCGTAATTTGCTCCATTCTAAAGTGTATGTTTGTAATATTTGCAGAACACCAATGGAACATGTGGGTGCCTGGCTTTGGTTCCGATGAACTGAGACCTTACAAGAAGGCTGCTACAACAGAGGCACATAAACAGGTAATTGATACAATGTACTCTTTGAATGTACCACGGCAGAGGGGTTGCAGACCTCAAGTCAAAAGTAAATTATGAGCCAGTGATACTGTTATTTTTGTTATTTGTTTGCTGACCCCAGTCTAAATGAAATTCTCAAATATTTATGAGGACATATTTTGATGACATTTTTAACACCACATTCAAACTTTAAATTTTATTTAGTTCATAAAAATCAAATATAAATGAAAATTAAGCTGGTCAGATCGAATAACTAGTGATTGAGGGACAATAGGAAATGTGTAACTTGGAAAATGAGGGAAACAATTCCCATACTTATACTAATTCCTGAAACTCATCAACCATTCTGTAACTTATATATTTGTTTCTTTCAGAGAATGGCATTAATACGTAAAACACTGAAAAAGTATTGAAGACATCTACATGTCAAAGACAATATAACTCAGGATTCCGACGAAAATGTTGTTTGATTCAGAAATATGGAGCTTCCCTATAATGAATGACTTAGAGTTGTTGTATCATAACACACAGATCAAGAGGAGTCATTCAAGACAAGAGTCTGCATAAAATGATAGAACAGTATAACTGAAGCAACAAACTGTTAGTACACATCCAATATAATTCGGCGCCGTTTCGGCATCAAAAAAATTTGGCGCTGTTCCGGCACCGTTCCGGCACTGACACATTTTAACACTAAAATTTGTCAGTCAGTCCATTTGATGCCGAGACGGCACCGAAATTTGGCAACAAAACGGCGTCGAAAATCAGATTGCATTTTGGGGGTGTATTTTAGTGTTACACATACAGTGAATAGCATACCAAAAATATGTAGGAAGAAAAAATATGTCTCAGGACTTGAATGCCAATACTAAATGTAGAGACTAATCCTGATAGTACTATTTAGGTAGGCACAGTGGGACAAGTTTTACTCATTCTACTCTTAATTACCTATCTTATATATTTTTGCAATAAACAGGTAAAGTATATAGATTATAGTAAGTTGTGAGAAAATGGTACACTACATATGCACTGGTACTACACTCTTCAAACTAGTTACTGAAACAGATTCATTTTGGTAACAGCGTAATCGAGTTCAGTTCTAGTGACACGAACTGATGAGAGATAAAATGACATTGAGAATCACGATTGACATCATTTGAATAAGATTGTAAAAATACATTGTAGCTTTTTAAGTGTTTTTTCAATGTGAATACACAATATGTCAATTAAGGACTTTTCAACTTTGAGCGAAGATCTACCCTGACCCCATCTGCCCGCCATGATATTCTCTGACTAATACAGATACATTCACAGTTCAGGTTCTCTTATGATCTTAACAGTCTCACAGTAAGTTTGGTGTGAAATTAATAACACTTATAGGCAGATATGGAATTTGGTGTTTTCCTGACCACATACTCTGATCGGATGGGATTGGTCAAATAATTGTCTCTAATACACCAGCCCCATAGTCAGCTTTTGTCAAGGGGGTTCACTTTTTGAAAAATTCCAATGGGGGTTCACTTCACAACTTTGGCCAAAATCACTTCAAAATCAACAGAATTGTATAAAACTGCATACTTTTGAAAATATGTTTTGGCCAGGGGATTGGCGCTGAATCGCTAGGGCCTGTATACAGATGAAATCAATGTTTTGTTGTGGGTAGTGAAAAACCTGTGATTCAGTCAAAAATCAAATTACTTTCTATGTTATACATGTAAAATATCAGAATATAGAGGTAAGATAAATCTGTTTAATTCTTAAGGACAACATGATAATGACTGTGAAAAATAACTTAACAGAGGGCTCTAAATTGAGGTCAGTGTCATTTTGTGTCCGCTAATAATCAGTCAATGAAATGTTTATTTATTCAAGTTATCAAAGTTTATCACAGTTCATCTTAAACACTTTGTCACTAAAGTTAACTTGCTGATAAAGTATAATGTTTTTATTGAAACATACTCCAGCACAATAACATTAAACATTTTGCTGTAAAAACCAAGCTCTTGATTAGCAGACACTGATAAGCACATATTGGTCAGGGTAGTGTACTTAAGATGATGTTTTATATCTCGAGACTGTTTATAAAACTTAAAGATAAGTCTAGTTTGTGTCACCTTAGACTTCAAGGAGTTAAATGACACATAATGTCAATTAAGATAAGATGTTCTTTTGTCGAGGAAGTCATGTGATAACAAAGTATACTTCTTCTCAAGGCCATAGCCTTATCTCAGGCCTGTCATATTATATTTGTAATAGGGTATGGGGTGCATTCCCAAAATGTTTGCCACACGTAGTTGAACTGGTGGATTGTCACAAATAGGGCGGTCAATAAATTGAAGATACATGTGGCAACCCCACCCCTCAATGGCTGCAGAAGAAACAGAGTTTAAAATATTGTTTTTGCAATATAGTCGTAGTTATTCAAGATTGAAAATGTGAAAATTCAAATTGAACAAATTGAAAGGACAACCACTTTTCTAAAATCATGAAATAAAGTCTGAGCTCTTGGACTTTCTATTCTAGAAGTTAAATGACATTGTTATATGATTAAAAATTATTGTAAAACTGAAAATGTTTCCTAAAGTAACCTTCAAAAGTAGCCTCAATGCTTTTCTGGCTCTTATATAGTAAACTTTTATGGAGTGCTTTATGGAGTCACTACAGAAACATCAGTTTATTACTAATCATAGGATAATAAGGATATCTGTATTTGTTGTGCTCTATATGTTAGGGTGGGTTGAGCCTTACAAATGTATATATCGGTGCTTACTGCCAATTAATACACTGTACTTATACTATAACTTTTTTAAAATAAACATAATTTGTATGGAAGAAAGGATATTTGTCAAAAAATTGGATTTTCAAGATTTAATGTCGTGGGGTTTACATTGATGAATGATGCGTCCACAGTAGGAGCTGTAGTTGAATATTGTATATTTGTTTTATATTCTATGCCATGTAACTACTGAGACTGAGAAAATAGTCATTTCAAAATCAAAGAGTGCTCACATGGTAATCTTAGAATACAATTTACCCTTTCCATTGAGGGGTCAATAGTACTGTGTTGTTGCAATATGTGCATATCTATTCTATCCATCTGGTTTGATTTCCAATGAAAGTATTCAGTTATCCCAGTTAACCTGGTCAAAATTATCATTCTAATCAACATATATTGTCCACTTGGAGGTCAACAGTATGCATAATATGCATGTCTTCTAATCATCTGGTTTGATTTCCAGTGGAAGTGTACAATTATCCCAGTTGACCTGGTCAAAAATATTTACTTCAAATCAGCATATATTGTCCACCTGGAGGTCAACAGTCTGTAATGCATACTATGCATGTCTTCTAATCAGCATATTCGGCATCAGTGCCAATCCTATCCTTTATGTTGTTATATTCATGACGATATTTTAAATCCTTTCCTCTGCCAAAAACAAAATGCTGGGACATATCTGGCGAGTAACGGCTCGAAGGAGGTGTTTTCCCTACAACCTCGGCTAAACTTCGAGTGTAGTGTGCACAGTTACCACAACACAGACCAGCATACTGAATTCCCAGTTCCAGACAATCTTTTCCAAATTTATCAATCTGTGTTCGGCTGTTAAACCAAGCATCCAAGTTGTAAGGGAACGCCATTTTTCCTGCAAATAAATCAATTTATAATAACGTTCCATAATTCCACACATGCAGATTTATTTTCAAAAAGTATTTCATATTCCTAATAACCCTCAATTTACCCCTACCCCTCATTCGCCATTGTATGATGGAATGTTGTTACCTGTATCTGGGTCTTTAAGGGACTGCATCGTTGGATTCTCTTTTGAGGTCCTATAGCACACTGGGAGGGCGGCAATAGGCCCCTAAAAGTGAACAATTACATGATGTTTTAGACATGACATGTGTGGTCCTATAGCACACGAGAAGGGTGTCAATAGGCCCCTGAAAGTGAACAATGATATGATATATGTGGTCCTATAGCACACTGGGAGGGCGGCAATAGGTCCCTAAAAATAAACAATGATGAATGATATATGTCCTATAGCACACTCGGAGGGCGGCAATATCCCCTGGAAGTGAACAATGACGTGATATATGTTGTCCTATAGCACGTTGGGAGGGCGGCAATAGGTCCCTGAAAGTGAACAATGGCATGATATATATGGTCATAGCACACACTCGGAGGGCGGCAATGATATGATATTGTGGTCCCACAGCGCACGGGAATGGCGGCAATAGGCACCTGAAAGTGAACAATGACGTGATATATGTGGTCCTATAGCACGCAGGGAGCCGGCCGGATTGCCAATCTGAATTCCATGATCCACTCATCTAATATCTAGCAAAATCATAAATGTCACTTTGAATTCTTACCTTGCATAATTTTCGAATCTCCCGTAAAACGGGCATAATTGTCTCGGGACCTCTCGCACAGTTGATTCCTACAACAGCAGCTCCAGCATCCTCCAACTTCTTAATGGACTCAGGGAGGGGGAGACCGTCCACCGTTGTTGTGTCATCCACATGAGCAGACATTGTTATTACGGCTGGCAGGCCTATAATACCAGACACATCAACATCAGCAATAATGTTTTTTATTTAGACCCTTCTAAACCGAACATCAAACTTTGTTGTATAAAAGTCCTTTTCAAAGGTTGATGTTCTTTCCTATCAGTTTGTAAGGGAAAAATACGTGACATTTTGGACTCTTACAAACTCTTATGATACCTTTTAATACCGAAAATACAGCATAATGGGACGTTAAATAAGTCCTTGAAAATACGTACCATTTCCATATTCCAAAATACAATCAAGGGCCAACTTCGCCTCTGCATACATGCCGTACGTCTCCGCAACAATGAAATCTGCACCACCTTCAACAGCCCATTCGATTTGCTCCTAAAACGTGCCAATTATAAATAGTATTTTAGTTTTTGGAAATGAAAATAGAAAAATCGCTTGATAAGTTGCAAAATATAATATTGTTCCTCAGGAAACAGAGATATGCTACTCTAGTTTGATCTGTATCTTCTCAGTGATCTTGTAATTTAGTTTAAGCCAAAGAATGGGATATTAACCTCCATTGGCAATAATCCCGAACACATTAGCATATTAAATCTGACCACCGATAATTCCGTCGACAAGTTTATTTTTTAAATAATAATTGTGATTGTTTTATATCATAGATTGTGTTTACCAAACTCTAGAAGCTCCGGAATAAACAAATTGAATAACTAAGGTAACACCGATCGTTATTGCTCACTTTGAACATATTCCTTGTAACTTCGATCGTTTCTGGGTCTTTGGGGTTATATACGCAGCTGTTACTGAGGTTGCCCGCCATCAATGTGCCGGTTTTGTCGGCCACCTCTCGTGCAATCTTCAAAGCTGCTTTGTTCATCTTCTCCAGTTCATCCTCTCGTCCTATCACACGTAACTTTTCTCGGTGCCCATAGTACTGCAATTAAATATTAATATATCTACAGACTTACTGTGAAAATCGACACACTCATATTTCCGAGGATATCTCGATCCCGTGATCTTGATATCGATGAAATATGGGTTTTAATTTTGCAGACAAGTTGTGTTTGAGTGGTACGATACACGGCAGTGGCGTATAGCGTCATAACTGCTTCATTATTCGTATAGAATAAATTCCCTTATACGAATATTAATGTAACATTTACAAATAAAATTCCCAAATTACAAATACAAATATGATGTATCAAATAAACAAACATATACTAAATTCTGGTGCATTTTATGTTTGTAAGGACTAGAAATATTTGTAACTAACAATTTATTATTCGCCAACTACAGCTTACAATTCGTAAATTTCCCCAAAATTGCCTGTTATTTTATCGAAGAGATGTATTTTTACCAATAATAATCTTGCATTACCCATGAATTGTTGCAGAAAACAAAGGAATATTCGTACATTAGCGAATGATAAAATGAAACTTTACGAATATAAATGTGGGTTTACGAATACAAATGTGAATTAACGAATATAAACTGCAAGTCTCGAGGCAAAGGTCACGTGACATGACATGTGAGGGGGAGGGGGCGATGACTTTGACCATGGGTTGACCATGTCTCGTTGAGAATGATCACGTGACCTTAATAAACCAATGAAAAACGAATATAAAAGTGCAATTTACGAATACAAATGACAATATTTACGAACAATAAATGTGCACTTTTACGAAAACATATTACCTTGTTACGAAAATAAATTCGACAATTAAAAAATAAAAATGCCAAGACTAGTACCTATTCATTGATAAATTCGACATTCAGTTCTTAGATATCAAACTAATATATTTGCAGAAAAAATGACAAAGGTACAAAATGAACTCATTTTATTTGTATACGGATAGACAATGTGTCACTAACAAATGCGTTTAAGGACTTTTGGATGTATTTCAGTATAAAACACATACATATACCGAAACAATATTAACGAAACAAAATAGATTAACGAACAGAAAAGGCAAACAATGAATGAAAATACTCAAGTTACGAACATAAATGTGCATTTAACAAGTACAGAAGTTCAATTTACGAATAGATATAGTAAAATACGAATAATGAAGCAGAAAACATGGCGTAGCCAGCAATAGGTGACGAGGGGTTCGATTTTTTATGTTATCCACAACCCCCCCCCCCCTTCATCGGTGTACTTCACATAAAGCATTTTTTGTATTTGTCATACATATAATTTACACCCCTCCAAAAGTTTGGCAACATTTTGATTTTCTATATTGAAATAGTTTTTGGTGAATCTTTTACTGAAAAGATACTGAAATCTGGTAGCAAAATCATACATTTTAATATAACACTTGTTTAATTGTTCAATGAAATCCAAATCAAGGGTTAGCATACATTGAGCCAACTTTTGTTAAGGGCAAATTATAACATATCTTTAAGGAACATATTTTTAACGAGCTCCCATTGGAAAATCCTCATCCCTAGTTTATTCTTTAGAGTTCATTCAAAGACATGTCAAATTCTGATACATGCTATTCCCACACTTATATAGATGATTTTCGAAAAGATTCCAATCAAAAGAATTTTATTTGCTATTTTATTTTGTAATAGAGGAGTTTATAATAACCTCATGAACTGACAGTTAGTTACTGAATACTAGTATATTCAATAGCAAATATTTTTGAAGAAAGTAATACTTATTTAATCATGGCGCACAATAAAAGTCGTAATGGCTGCACGAATACTCTCAATTGGTACTGACGATAGAAGTGACAGATGACAAATAGTGTTGTATTGATGGAATGAAACATAGGCTGAAATTCCAAAAGGAAATTGAAATAACAATATATCCACTGTGCTCTGTAGGCTCTAACATTAAACATTTCTTTTAAATTTTAATGCCTTGCAACAAAGAATAACTAATGCTGAAAAACCTATTTGTTCTTTCTTTGAATTGAAAATAAAAACTTTGAAAACATTCCATTTTCTGTCACCGTTCCGCTGTTTTTATCATTAATGACGAGAATCATGAACGTTTTGAGAAATGAAAACATTTTAGACGAACTTGTGAATCATTATAAACTTTAATTTGTTTTTGATTATTAAAGAATGCTGTGAAATCCTTTTTAGACACACGATTTGAAACTTGTGGAAGGCTAATCCTCTAGTCTTTCTGGCAAATACACTTCCCTCCAAAAGTTTGGCAACCTTAGCTCCCTGCCTCCTCTTTATATTTGAATATTTTATTTACATAACCTGCGAGGAAAATACTTATAATATTGATGAAAATGTAACTTGACTTCATTTCCAATGCCTCCAAATTTTCCACTTTTTTTCTAAATTTGATACTTTTTGGAAAATCGTCATTCCCTAAAAATTTGTAGAAACTAGACCGTAAATGTATGTGAACCCATAGACCTGTATCCCCATGAAGTCAATGGTGAAACAAAGTAAACTTCTGACTTATATCTCAATTTCTCCACCTGCCCGAAAAGTAACTCAACGTCGTTCCCTACCCATACTGCAACCTGGCATAATAGTCAACCTAACACGATCTTACTTCTATTATGTGTAATATCGGTCCATGCTACGTCAACCTACCGTGAACGCCAATACAACGTCACTTCCTGCGTGGACATACTCCTCATGCACCTGTCGAACAAGCTCCGGGTGTTCAATCACCACTTCTGGTACAAACGCACCTGCTTTCAAATAACCCCTCCTCTCAAATTCAAATAAGTATCCTTCTGCAACTACCAATGTCTCCCCTGCCTTTAATCGTTCTACCAAACCTTAACGATGGAAAAAACACAGTATATCGGGTAGGAAACTTTGTACCTATTGACGTATTGTACCTTATTGTGCATCCAAAAGACAACCATTCCGTTCATAATCAGATCCCTATTAAAATGTTTAGCCCACGAATGGGTCTACCGGCTAAGTTGTCTTAATTTGCACAATAAAGGTAACTGTAACATGATTACAGGTATAGTTTTCGTAACATTCACAAAAAGTGCCCAAGATGGCGAAAGCTTTACTTTTTATCTTGCGCCATGGCAAGTTATGCAACTTGGTCATCGTAGCTAATAAAAATTAACAGTTTCAAATTGACCAGATCTCTTAAAGCTTGAGTATGGTACATTTAGCTGTAAAAATATTTCAAATTCGACTTTGTTTTTAACAATGAAATGAGACATTACCTTTCACCATGTTGTATGTTTGAACTATATAGTGCGAGCAACATCAAACTAAATATTCAAATGATTTGACTAATGTTATCATCAATAAGATGTATGTTTACTTTTGGAGCATGTTGTCAGCTGATATCAAAAATCTTCGTACAGGTCGAGGTCCGGTCAGTATGGCTGCCTAAAAAGGTATTAAACAAGGCAATCTCGTTGACAAACGTATAACAATTTATTGACGTCCATTGCCGAATACCATGCGCGCATAGTCTAGTTATAAACTACGACATTCATTTGTAAAGATGAATAGATGCAAAATGAGAAGAGGATAATAAAACTAAACACTAGGAATCCAATGACTATAATACCTTACAAGGTCGTGATAAACTTTAATGTCTTTAATAATTTTGGCGATGAAAAAAACACACATGAAAAACATAAAATCATGTCTTGTTCTGTAATGCAATATATTTAAGTTATGTCTCGGTTGTCATAAGATCAATTTCATTCTGTTTAGTCACTTTGGATCATGGTGAGAAAACGCACGTAACATTCCATTATGATCCGTAGGAAAATAACAAAAAAACACTTACAGTCGGTCTTAAAATCACGTTGTCATCTTTTTTAAAGATTTAAAAAACGTAATGTTTGATTTCTCAACTGTAAAACGTCAATTTGGTAAAAACTACATTCAATATGACAAAAATAGCTTTGAACTTACATAAGCTTACCATTACATCGTGTACAGTGAATCAGTATGACAATTGCAAATTATTTTGGTTAGAGATGCGTAATTTTCATGAAATATTAGGATATATTTCGATAGAAACGATAGGTTGACAGGTCAGGAACCTAGGTCACGGTTTGCTTACACTTCGTTTTAACCATTTAAACTTAATTGAAAAAGAACAAAATGGGTATAAAAACTTTCCCTTCGATCGACATGTAAGCTCATTGGCGTCAGAAGGGGGGGGGGGCGTTGGCTCCCCTTTCCCAGATCTTTTTAGATTTGAAACCAAGTCTAGAATTGAAAGCTCTGGAGGTAATTAAAGTCAAAGTGTAATAATGACAGAAATGATACTATGTCATAATCTAGTCTACATCAAGCATAGAAGATCTCATTTCTCATATTATATTATTTTATTTCTATACCATAGTTTCTCAGGAACCCATACAGTATATACATGTAAATAGCACGGGATACTAGAGTATCCGCGTATATTGAGTATGACCGGTTCTTAAGCTACGAATATGACCTGTTTTGGAAAGTCATGAGAGGCACAGTTGCTTAAAAATGGAAAATAAAGGTTAACTTCTATATTATCCTTTTTGAAATTGTGTTTGTTGAATATAGTTTATGCTGTATTTAATAGTAATGTAACAAAAAAATGTTAAACATGAGCTATTTTAGCAATGTAACTGTTCATAATGGAATATCAATCAGAAAGTACAGATTTCTCGCCTTAGAGCCAAATCATTAATATCACAGTAGAAAAAAACAAATCCCAAACCTTTTTATGGCTAACCTGAACAAGATCTCCAAATCTCAGTTTATATGATCCCCCGTAGAGTGAGCAAGAGAAGGATTTATCTTTTCCCAGAGGATACGCTTGTGAAATGTCATGGAAACGAGTGTAACACGGCCCACTGATTGATGTGATCGGAATGTTACCGGTGTAGAATACGAGTGTATGCTCCTCAATAAGAGGTGTTACTGATGCTGCCATCTGAAAAATGTTGTATTTTAAGTTAAATGTGTAGTTTCAGCAATTTGGTTACAGAGTAATATGTTATATTTTCAAATACATGATAAACTTTTCTTTCCATACATTGTAATGTATTGGTATAAAACCTGTCTTATTATATTACTGAAATTCGATAAAAAATGTTCTAAAAGCATATTTTGCCATTACTTTCGCCAACATTCTGAAATCGGGTCAACTGATTTAACCACAAATCTACAAAAGGTCTGAAATGGGACAACATAATTATAATCAAACAAGGCTATTGTTTTCGGTCTACGTTTAACTGAATTCTTTTGGAAAAAATAGGCTCTTGACATTATAAGTCATCTACTCTTAGGCCATAAGAAGTAGATTCTTTGTTTTGCGTCCTGGCAAAATCCAAATCATGCAAGGGTACAAGGAAAACAAACACAAACCCAAAGAAAAAACACAAACTTGTTTGCTGAGGAATGTATATATTTTATGGGCATAAAAAGGGATGACATACCAGTTTGCAGTGATTACAAACACATATCTATACATTTTATACAATATATTTAAACATAGGTATTATTCAAGGGTAAAAAATAAGAAAATACACAAAATATGCCAAAGTAATTAGTACGATGTCAATTTTGATGCACACCAAATTATCCACCATTTCGTCTGATTCTGATTGAACAAGATGCGATGGTACTTTCAGACCCTTGTGATTGCTATTTGAATGTGTTTGTTTTTTCTGATTTACTCCAAATCGTGCAAGCAAGGGGACGCAAAACAAAGAATCTACTTCTAATGGCCTTATTTAGTTCTTCCCACTTTATATTGAGACCTACTGCAAGCGTCTGAAGAGCCTCAACATTCTGGTATTTCGAATTACCTTTTGCATCTGTCACCGCTAAAAGTCGTATCCAAACACCGGTTAAATGCCGATCCAAGACATTTCACAACCGTATTCTCCAATAATGGGGCACCAGTGACATTCGTATTCTCAAAAATTCAAAGATGTATCATATTTGGACAGAGCAGGCTAAATTATTTAAAATATTCATGACTAATTCGTAGATCTAGCTATATATTATACATAAGATGTGTCATCCTCTTCGGAGTTGCGTTGTGTTACACAAAAACTGATCAAAGATGCTGGAAACTAGGATTTTACGGCTTCAATCTAATATTAATACGTTTTCTCTTGATTAAGGCCCCTTGTGATATGCCTGGCATTATAAGTAAACCAAGTATCATTCATTGACCAAGTAGGATAAAAAGAAAACGTTCGAAAGTGTTCATAAAAAGCAAGTACTCACCTCGTCTGTTTATAGGAACAGAAATACGGTCACACTCGTAAGCTTAGAACCGGTCATACTCAATATACGCGGATACTCTAGTTACCCGTGAAATAGGCTACTTTGAAGAATAAGTGCAAAATGTATAAGCTTACTGTAAAAACAAAGTTTTTTAGTCAAAGTCAAGCTAGTTTTCCAAAACACAATTTTTTCTTATCATCATTGGGAATATTGTGCTGAGATATGTTCAGAATACACCAGAGAGGGTCTAAATGTGAAAATTTTCCGGGGGCATGCCCCCCGATCCACTCTTCACGCACAACCCATCCAAAAGTCTCCCCCTCCCTTGGCAAATCCTTCTGAAGCTTAAGTTACTCAAATTATCGAATGATATTTAAGGATTTGAGCCGCCTGGAATCGGTGCATTGTGTGCTGAACCATTCCATCAAAGATGCTGTTTCCAAATCAAATCTTTGCATGACCCGCGCAGCGGGAATGCATAGTTTTGAAACAACGTCTGAGTGGAATGAAGCAGCCACAATACATTGAGTCTTGGGCTTAACCCCCCCCCCCCCCTTCCAGAAAAAGTTTGTTTTAGAGATATGTATTGAATCGAATGGGATGTTTTCGGACGGGCCTTGAAATAACATATTAGGCTGTGATAAAGTCTGCTCAGCGGGCAGTTGCACGTTTTGGGCCCTTTTTGAAGCTGTTCTCCCGTTTGTGAAATGTCGGTTTTTATTAAGTAAACAAGAACTCAATAGTGCTGTCCCTAGGTCTGATTCCGTTACTCGGCTCGGAAAAAAGGTTTGTGGGTATCATTTTGTTCCAGACACTCTCTAGAATAAATTCATCTTGGGTGGAGTAAAAATGTGTGGTAAACGAATTTGCTATGGGCAGTTAAAGAGGCGCCATCTATTCATTTTCAAACAGGGGGTAGGGGTATAAAATAATTTTTTAACACATTTTAGTAGTAAAATGACATTGAAATACTAATAAAATCTTATCAAAAACATTATTTACAATCAGTATGAATTTTCTTGTCTGGATTAGGGTGAAAATAAGGGCATATCTTGAAATTCACTACAGGGGCGCCACCTATTTTGGTACTTCTACCACGTGTAATAACTTATTTTAGATTCGTTAAGGTACGAAATGTACTGAAAAAATTCATTCTGGAGGACCTATATATGTTCATATCACATACCTAAAATTAGATCAATAGCTTATGTACCGGCGGAGAAAAAAATTATTGAAATCTAAAATTGTGGTATCATGCAGGATAGGGGTGACCATATCTCACATTATTAACTTCCAAAATATGGAGCATATGTATCTCAAATGTGCTCAAACTGTTGTATGTACTCTTGCTTTGTCATAATATTAGTAATAAGAAGTAGAAAAATGATTGTACATTTAAAAAAATATTAATTCTCATTTTGGCTTCTGACGTCCCAGGGGTGACCATATCTCACCTTTATAACTTCCAAAATATGGAGCATATGTATCTCAAATGTGGTCAAAATGGTGTATGTACTCTTGCTTTGTCATAATATTAGTAATAAGAAGTAACAAAATGATTGTACATTTAAAAAAATATTAATTCTCATTTTGGCTTCTGATGTCCCAGGGGTGACCATATGTCACCTTAATAACTTCCAAAATATTGAGCATATGTATCATTCAATTTTCTCACATCTTTTTTTCTATTTTTCTTATTTTTTCAAATTGTTTTCGAAGCGGGAAGATATGCTCTGGAGCGGGAGATATGGCGGGAGATATGGAGGTTCAGGATATGGAAACCTCAAAATCAGGATACGGGATATATCTTACCAACTTATCTCCCTAAAACTCTACTTGGCATAGGATAAAACAGTATATTAGCACACGTGTTTTTGTAGGTTTCTATCTGGTCTTTGTCGACCGCTGGTGACTTTAATTGGTTAAAAATACACTGATCGCTCCACAAACGTAGGTAAAACAATGCAACAAATAATTCCTAGGTGAATCTATCATGCACCGTAAGTGAATATGCATTTTGGAATATGACATATTTTTGTATCGTGTTTACCTCGTAACACCATGCATGCGCCCCGAGTTTTATAAACGGAACAAATCTGCAAGGGTATCGTTTTGGGAAAATATCGGTGGGGGAAATACATATCATATCATATCATATCAATATTTATTTCAAGTCGGATACTTTTTTGTACAATAAACATTAGCGCAAGCGCTATTGACCGACATATAGACATAGAAATCCTTAAAATAAAATTTTAAAACATGTAACAGTGTTAACACGATACTTAAATATCAATAGATTATCATATGTCATGCTAAAATACACTTACATAGTTACACAGAGAATCTGAAACATTTACATTTTACATTTACATACTGCACATTTGCAGTTTTCACCGTTCTTAGCCTTTTTTGAACTCTGTTAGAGATACACAATACTCTGAGATCACTGGGTAGATTGTTCCATAGATCCCGGACAGATTCTTTTGTAGTCGGATCAGTAGCTCAATAAATATTCTTTGAGCCTATGAGATCCTACTAGAAAACTATCTGGCCAATATCTGTGGATTGTTCCAGTATATACATACAGTACACGAAAGTTCACGGGTCCGTGGCCTGACATGTAGCATGCATCAACTCTAAAAGAGTGTCTGCCATGAGTTACAGTATTGAAAGATGGAACATTTAGAGTATTTTTGTGACGTAAATTGTAACTAGCCGGTACGCTCCTGTCAGTAGCCTATGTCTACTAAGTGATTTTATTCCAAACTAGGACTGACATGATGTTCCCTCACCTTTGAAAACAAAAACTTTTTTAATCCATTCCTCCACCCTCCCTGTAAACTTTTAGGTCTACCCGGTTTATTTTATGTGTATGTACTTGTATGGCAAGCAGACAACGTACATTCAACGCAATGATTTATGAAGATAAAACTTGAAATGCCACCTGAATGTATACATACAGTCAGATACTTTCAGCTCTGTTTGATCATCCTGCGGAATCTGACAACTCTCGTAAAATCTCAGAAACTCGCGCGAGATTTGACATTATGGGATAGTTCGCCATTTTGTAAAATTTTGGTTTCCTTCCCGCCCATCGATAACAACTAATTAATCGATTAATCTTGTGGTAATACGACTGTAAACCTATGTGACGATTTAGAAGAACTATTTTTCTACAAATCTGAATATCTACAGAAGGCGAAATCTGCCAGGAAACTGATGTTTTAGCGGTTCCTGTGCGATTACCTCTCGAAAATAAAAACGGAAAAAACTTTTCGAAGTGGACAGGTCAAACTACTGAAGATAGATAACCTTAACAAGAAGAATGAGATTCTAACATCGGCAACATATTATATTTACATTTTACTAGGTGATTGAGTAAGTAGAACTATTAATGTTACAAGTTTTTTCGGGTAGACTTCTTGATGGCAGATTTCTTTGAAACATAATCCCGAAACTCGGGTCGTTGACTCACTTTCACAATATGTTCTGCACATCTACTGACTCAGAACCTTTTCACGACTATCTTTATGAGTATAAGTTGTTGCTACAGGACTGTGAGACTCGACATCCTTGTCACAATTTAGCTCAAAATTGTGTATCCGCCTTATACAAATATTTTTTCTACTACTTTTTGCAAGGCCTGACTTCGTCGCTAACATGCTAAATATAAGAGTTAGCTGACGTTTGGGAGTCTGACTTACCTTCTAAAGGTTAGAACCCGAATCTTAATGAAACCATATCACCTTTGTTCCGTCAACCATGGAGAATTTGCCACAACATCCAAGAGGTAAATCATGGACCGAGAAAATGAATGATTTCCTTGTAAGTTCCGGAAGTTTCAATACGAAAAATTACCGAACATATATGAAAACCGAATATTTGTTCGTTGTTTTCACGATTTACAGGTTCGTATGTTCTTCAATGTTTTGGTCTAAATTATAAAGCATCACCAACAGGTCTTACTCTATTAATCGACTAATACAGTAGACGGCTCATATTTCTACGTAGCATTTCGTTCAGACAAATAGTGGGACTGTAGATCACGCAGTTTCGTTCGTTGCGTACTTCACTCGAAATTGGTAATTTTATATTGGCTACTTCACTTAGCTTGGCGGATGTAGAACATTGCTTAATATTCTTTTAATTTTCACACCAGACATGCTTGGTTGACACGTCAACAAAGTAAAGTTCAAGGGTCAATGCGTTATTTCGTGATAACTACAACGCCTTCCCGAAAGTCAACATTGATGAAAAATGAAAAAGTCGGAAAAGCATTTACACTAATTTCTATCAAATGCTATGTTTATGCATCATCATCGACGCAACAAAGGTGATATGGTTTCATTAAGATTCGGGTTCTAACCTTTAGAAGGTAAGTCAGACTCCCAAACGTCAGCTAACTCTTATATTTAGCATGTTAGCGACGAAGTCAGGCCTTGCAAAAAGTAGTAGTAAGATGAACATCTCTTCAACATATTCACCAGTTTTCATCATAAACATTCTTGTAATTATAGAGATATTTATGTGCATAAAATATCGCCGAGATTTTCATGCGAAGGATATCAATCATAACAGAATAAATCTCATTCAGTCTGTTGGATACATACTAGGCTACTGCATATATTATTTATTCAAACCTTTTTTCAAATTCAAATGATTTACCTTGGCTTGTCGGACAAATAAAATGAATCTGTCATATATCTTACCGATCACATATGATCTACCTAGTTTTTAGTTTTTAATGTAGTAGAATCGCTATAACTAACATACCTTACAATGATTATGAAGAAAAACTTCTGTTATCTCATAACTCAATCTAAAAGTAATAGGCCTATGGAAAATGATTGTGTTTTATATTATTTACTTTTTTTATGTCTTATCATAAAATTGCTTTCATTTGTCCAAATAATGAATGATTCTTCAACATTAATTGCACTCAAAACTTGTTTTGATAAAAGCTTTGACTTTACATTTCAAATAAAATACTTTTTATCTTTTCATGGTACTTAAAATCTCAATATTGATTTATATAACGATGGTTATACAGAATGAAGCATTATATAGTAGCTTTTATCCATATATTAGGCTTTGCATTCTAAGAAGCTTAAACTTAACTCCAGAAATGGTTTATGATAGTATTCTAAGCTTGGTGCTCCGAAATGATGATTTGTTCATGTTCTTGTTATACCTTTTCTCAGTGTAACATTGTATAACACCTTATTTTAGAGTAGCCAAAAAATGATAATTTGAAGGTCAGTGGCACATATGATACTTCATATCTGCATGTTGTGGTATATATCCCCCAGTCATAGTATTTTCTATCTGATAGGTCAATTTGATGATTGTGGTAATTAGCAACCACTTAGATCATACCTTAGGGGTGATGTCAATACTGTATAGCTGGCATATGCCTTTAGAATGGGGGAGGGGATAGAGTCCCATTATATTTTGTTCAAATTAATGGATGTCTTTGAAAGAATACAAAAATGTTTTATTATATTTTTTGGAGTTGGAGGGAATCAGTATATGAAAGTAAAAATTATATTTTTGGACGACTTTAGTTTATTTGATGTATCTATCAACATTCATATCGCTTTGTTCAATGACTAAAAATGCATAGAGCATACTTATCTGTCAAGTTTCAAGATTGAACATCTTGATAAGCTACTCAACATTTCTAGAATGGAGTTTTTGAAAAATATATGGCACATTGAAAGGAGAGCAAAAGAGCCGGATTGGAAGATTATGGCGGCTAGTATTATCTTATAATTTGTTTCAATTAACTATATTTTAGGATATAACTTTTGTGATTCAGTTTTAAAGATAATGACATATTTCAACTTTTTCAGATCTAATAAAAAGGTGGAAGATGTTCTGGAAGTTCAACCTCCTCACGTCTCATATAGACACCCTGCTGGACAAAGAGGTAGGTGTATATCGTATTATAAATTATTGGTGCTGAATCCACTGTAATAAAGAGCAAATGACCAATTTACCAATTGATAAATAATTGATGAAGAAAATGTGATTTTTTTTATGAAGTTCCCATTGAGATAAGTGATTTTTTCAAAGGAGTTTTGGAGACTGAAATTTACCTTTTCATTAGTTGTGAATCTTTTTTGACGCAACAATAAACAAGTTATATACATCCAGAATGTATTTTGTATTTGTTTATATTTTCATGCAGGATGTGACATTGACAGAGTTAATGGACGAAGATGACGTCCTCCAAGAATGTAAAGCAATGAACAGAAAACTGATTGATTTGTAAGTACTTTAGGAAGATTTAAACAAACTACCCCTCATAAGAAGGGGCAAATTAATGTTGACATTTTTTTTTAATTAGAGATCATTTAGTCTCAGGTTTCAATAGAATTTCTGACAATGGGCAAAACAGATGAAAACAACAGGTTAAGTTATTGAACAATTATTATCACAGAAACAGTTTCAAAATTCCAAGGGGAAGTATAATGTAATCAACAGAGGATTCTTATTTTTACATCATAATTGATCTTCTGAATCATTATGACATCATTTTTTAAAAATAATTGACTGTCAGAAACTATCATTCTCCTTTAAATGAAGAGGGGGGAAGCCCCAGAGCTTAAGAGATAACAGATATAAATAATTAACTCTCTTGCATACCACCTTCGTTTGCCACCTTCCTTTGCGCTTCTCACCAGTTATTTTTCGAAAATAACACGTCGTCGTGATGTTTTAATCGATGTAAGCATATTCATTACACCTTTCTTTATCTTGATCCAAAATATCAAGCTATGATATTAATCAACATGCCAGAAATTAACATAATATTATTCGAAGCATGTTTCGAAAAATTTTGAAACCGCCATTGTCTGTCGATTTGACCAATCAGGACAATGTGTCTTCTCAAAACAGTGTTACATGTTAGACATATGTCTTCTTTGAACCCTGGGGTTATTCCCCCCTGCTTTAAATTTGTCAAAATGGCATAGTTTTAGGGGGAGGTCCCTTTAAAGAAAAAATACTGTCATATGCATTCAATTGCTAATTCAATCATGTACATGTCTGTATTCTGAAGAATAGTACAGTACATGATGTACAAACAATACTTTCTGTACACGGTGTTCACTTGAGGAATTTTACCAATCTTGACCATGAAACACTCAAGATAGTCCGAAGCGTTCAATAAGGCCAGCAAGGATAAGTGCTCAAGAGAGATGAATGATATGAGATAAATGTCAATGGTTTATTCAAATGTTATCCTTAGTTCTGAGAGCAAATGATAGTTTGCACATTATATTGCAGTTAAAAGCTGATTGCTTGTTAAAAACAGATGAATATATTATCACATCCATATCATAGTTTCATTCCAAGTATTACATATCAGTTAGATCAACTATTAATGTGAGTGTATCAAAGCTACACAACACCCGCAGTTTAATACAATACCAGCATTAGACAAAATTAGCTCTGACATTGTATATAAAATTGATTGCCTCTTCTGTATTTGTCTCATTGTTATCTAATACATTCAATATTTTTATTTTCTCCATGTCCTAAATTATTTCACTCAATGCACTAAACATGGTTTTCACTAGAATTTCTCACAACAGGCTAAATAAATGAAAACAGCAGGCAAAATTAATGGAAATCATAAATTTAACATGGAAAAGTTGAAAAGTCCCTAAAAACAACAGGCGATTTTGTGAAAACAAGCGATGAAAATCACCTGTTGCCTGCTGCTAATGAAACCCCTGCTAAATCCTTGTAGAAATCTGTTTTCCCTTTTGTACATGTATCCTCTTTCATATGTTGATGTTTGTTAATATCTGATATAAGGAGGTATTATTCTCCCAAGCTTATGTCATGTGAGACATTCCATTTCAATCATTGGATCAGTTAACTGATCAGCTTCAATAAGATATTGATCCTGAGTGGTATACAGCATGTCTGTTATCTCCTTCTCCTGTCAAATGCATGTACGGAAGTACAGTAAAGCCAGTGTACACCGAACACATGGCGCCACAAAGATGTGTTCACTACAGAGAGGCAATTTATTCAATGGGTGTTCACTACAGAGAGGCAATTTTATACAGAAGTCAGTAGATTATTTGCTGAGAGGGGGTTTTCACTAGACAAGACACAAGTGTTCGCTATTGACTAAGACAGGCTTCACTGTATGTGTTTGGGGAAGGAGTGAAGGGGTAGGGGTGACTGAGTACATCCATTAGAAGAAAATGTTATGTTCATGTTTTATTAACTGGATAATAATTTGTAATATTCCACATATTATACTATAAATAAATGCAAAATTCATGAAAGCCACCAATTTGTCAAATTACTGGATTTAACAGCATTTCATTACTAAGTCCAACAGCCATATTTTGACATGAATGAAAAACTATGCATTAATCAAATAAATCATGAACGGTTTGTATTTCTTTTGTGGTAATTTAAATTCTGTCATATACTTCAACATACTTGAAGGACCACTGTTCCTAAAATATATACCCACTTGTTGCAGATACTGTATATGATTGTAACAAGTTAATCAGCTCAAGAAAGATAAGAACTCTTTTGGGTCAACTAAAATACATGTAATATCGATTAAATTTTTGTGTATGCGCAACATCGTGTAATGTTAAGGTCACTTTGATTTGAAAGCTTTGTATAAATCTACATATCTTGAGAAAATAAAAGGTAAAATGAGTAGTACTATTGCATCCAGTCTCTGAACCCCCCCCACCCACCACCCCTCCCACATCTCGCTTGCTGTTGTGATGAAATGTATAGGTGTGGAAGCTCGAAGGAAGATTTGCAATTCCGTGGTCAAATAAAGTACAGAAGAGCAAGTCATTCTGATTTCTAAATTAAACATCTCATAGAGAATCCCATCGATCGGTTTCTCATTAGGAAAACCAAGATTTTGTTATATCACTTGAAATAAGTGTCTTGTTTTTTACCAAATGTCTTGCTTGTTTGCCGTATCCTTATTGAAATTAAATTTCTAATAATTTTCCCTGTTGTTTCTCTGTACTTGTTGTCAGAAATTCTATTTAAGATGTAGATGTATGTAGTACTTCTTTGTGAATTTGGTAATAAACAGTACATTGTACATATTCATGGGGCCCATGAGATTAGTTAGATCTTCAGTATATTCACTTTGTGCCTTTCTACAGAGTTTTATAGGTAAAATTAGCTACTAAAATGTCCCGTCTCTGAGTGAAAAGAACATGTCTTCATAGGATATGCTCCATTAACTTCTTTGTATAGACAGACTAAGGGCATTGCACATTGCTGATATTCTCCCATATTAGTTTGAAAAATTGTTATAACATGATTGAAACCCTCATAGTAGTAGTACAATCTGCATTGAAAACTTCTCGATTAGCATCACAACATAACTAACATTTAGATATTATTATTCATTAGGGGAGGCATCAAAAGTTCAATGTCTGTTTCAAAACTTAACGAATTAAGTTTGACCTCTGACCCCCCACCCCCTTAAAACCTAATTCTCAAAGTGTTGAAAATCGGGGCAAAGAATTGCAATGAAAAACAAAAAGGTGAAACTTGCCTAATGGAAGTTTCAGCAACCTTTTTACAAGAATGATGGTTAGCAATTAGCATCTAAATTGGTCATTCCAATAGTAAAGTCTGTGTCGCTTAACTGTATCTTTGAAGGCTGTAAAGCTCAGACTTCATGAAATTACAAGACATTGACTTTGTCAGATAGAAAACTTCAGTATTGAACCCCCCCCCCCGCTTTCTAAACAGACATCAATCTTTTGATGCCTCCCATTAAAATGTACATGTAGTTATTAGCCAATGCCATCTGTTGTTACATGATATGTTTGGCCTGTAAATGACACAGAGTGCAAGTTGGACGATTGTATGTGTGGAGGACTTAGAACTGTATACTATAGGTAAACAGTCATAGAGAGTTACAAAAATATTATGACACAGAGCCATGATTTGTGGATTTTATCACATTATGAATAATAAAAAGAACATTGCCTTCCATAAAAAAGTGATTGCTATTTTTCATAAATATATTCCACTATTCTCGTAGTCTATAGAAAGATGGATAGAATTTAAATTATAGCACATAAGTGATTTCCCTTGCATTGAAGCAAGAAGGCGCTACACCTACTTGAGATTTTAGAAAGAGGGTCGCTTCACCTGAAAATCTGTTTGTGTCCACTTGAGTCCACTATTTTGCGCAATTTTCATCTGAACTTGAAGCCACTTCAGAAAAATGTCCCCTAAGATGCACAAATTAAACATACAGAAAACCTGTCTTAGTGAATACCTCTTTCTAGTGAACACCTCTTCTAAGCACATACTCCACTGACTTCTATATAAAATCACCTCTCTGTTGTGAACTCCTACATATAGGTGTTCACTATTCATCTGTTTTACTGTATATATGTCCCATTCATGAGATTTCTTTATTTAAAACATTGAAGTAGCTAAGTTCATATTGAGAAGTTGCGATATATAGAGCAGCTTAAAATAGAATCAACTTGACCTTTGGATGGTTATAAACCACTAAGTGTAATGGGAATTTTACTTTAAAACTAACAGCTGCAACATTATGCAGAAAATATACCCTGGCTATTTGTTTTGTCCCCCCCCCCCCCCCTAAATCTACAGGGTTTGTCTTCAAATTTATTAATGCTGAATATTCTTATCTACTCAATCATTTTTAAAAGTCATTTCACTCCTTTATCAAACATAAATCTCAGGCACTTGTCAGTAAAATCCCATAAGTATCTCAAATAGGTTTTACAAATGAATATGTCCTTCAAATTGAACACCCACTCTCTAGCCACAAGGTGATTGTAGCATTTTTTTCTTCGGTAAATGACATCATTTCAGCTATTAATGTCAAAATTGACTATATTAAAATAAACTGTACATAATAATCCTCATATTGATACTAATTGATCAAGCTGTGGTTGAGTATTTAGCCAGTTTATATCGTACCTTAAATGTATGATATTGGCTCTTGGTGAGCAGGCAACACTTTCTCCGTTTTTATTGTCTCCAGATTTCAAGACAAACTGCTCAGTGGATTGACTTGAAATTCTCAGCGTGCCTCTTGTTACAAAAGTCTAAAAATGATTAGCTATTGGGCATGCTAGGGAAATTTAACTGCAGCCATTTTTGATTTTTTGGTGCAATAGTGTTCATTTGGTGCTTTGTGGCCTTTGTGTAAAAAAACTCATGTATTTAATAAAATGTTTTGTTATATTTCAGCCTGGTTAAACCGGAGATCATGGAACAAATGGTGAATATGGTCACCCAGGAACCATCCGAAGACTGTGATGAGAAAGTTAGATACAAGTAAGCTATACATTCTATAATGTTAGATACAAGTACGCTATGAATTCTATGTTAGATACAAGTATGATATGGACTCTATGTTAGATACATGTAAGCTATAAGTTTTATAATGTTAGATACAAGTAAGCTATGAATTCTATGTTAGATACAAGTATGATATGGACTCTATGTTAGATACATGTAAGCTATAAGTTTTATAATGTTAGATACAAGTAAGCTATGAATTCTATGTTAGATACAAGTACGCTATGGATTCTATGTTAGATACAAGTACGCTATGGATTCTGTAATGTTAAATACATGGAAGCTATGAATTCTATAATGTTAAATACACTAAAGCTATTAATTCATATGGCTGGAAGAACTCAATTTTCTGTATAGATTTTAGATTGATGAAATTACTTAAGATTCAATGTGCAATAATGAGGAAAAAATGTTCAATTCTCCCAAATCCAATTAATGTTAAATAAACCTGTTAGTGGAACACCTCTCAAGTGGAACACTTAGAGGTGCCAAAGGTGTTCCACTTGCACAGGGTTAACTGTACATGTAGTTTTAAATAAAGAGGAATGTATTTACATTTTATGTATTTACCACAGCCTAATTAAATGTCTCTTTAAATTGATGGTATTGCTGTAGTTATTATGTATTTAGACTAATTATTTGGAAAAGGGAAATCCATTAACTAACAATTGAGTCTAGATTTATGATCCAACTAATAATTAAATGCTCTTGATAGAATGACTAGTTCGAAAGATGAGGTCACCGTGTAACTTAACTCGTGTCTATATGATACCATCGATTAATGTAATATAGTGAAAATCACAATACTGTACTTCTATCCAAAGTTTACCGTGGATTTTGATATCAGTGTATACATACAACTACTTATGATAATGCTATTGGCCAATCCACCAAAACTGCAATAAATATAGTTAAGTATTGAATCCAATATTGTTTACAAATATTTATGATATCAATAAACCTACATATCGTTCTAAACCCAAATTGGTGTCTCGTTGTGATTCAGTCATATTCTTTATTTCCAGATCAGTGTCTTATTGTTATTCAGTTATATTCTTTGTTTCCAGGTATCCAAATACAGCCTGTGAGCTGCTAACCTCTGACATAACACAAATTAATGACATGTTAGCTATAGAAGACACTCTCCTAGGCAAGGTCTATTCATTTCTAGAACAGGAAGGCCCCTTAAACCCTCTACTAGCAAGTTTCTTTAGTAAAGTCATGGGGTTGTTAATAACCAGGAAGAGTGAAGCGGTGAGTTGCTTACTTATGTTAATAGATTATTAACATAATGCATTGTTTAAGCACATTGAGGGAATATAGTTTTCAGTAAGTATGTTTATAATGATGGTAAAGCCAATGGAGCCTGTATTAGAGCATTTCATCATATATAATTTCCATTAAAACAAATTTTACTCATTCTCTGTTTCAATTAGGTTATGAAGTTACTTGTATGAATGTAAATGTCAGAAATAGATTCTGAAATCCTTTTATATATATACAAATACTATTCAAATTGAGTATAAATTACATGCACAACCTAAATGTAATTTCAATATATATTTATTACTGATTATTCAGATCGCTTTTTTCTGTGTTTCAGATGCTTGATTTTCTGAAGAAACGTGAAGATTTTGTAGGTCATCTATTAAACCATCTTGGTACATCAGCAATCATGGATCTGTTGCTCCGTCTCATCACATGTATTGACTCTCCAGAATGTAAGGTGGCCACAATCAATGTAAGTACATGTACGATTAATTTAGTGATATTGGGTTCAGTCTATAGCACTCTGTAATGCCCTATAACATGTTATATTTGCAAGGTTTTTAAATTCACTAATTGGTCTGTGCATTAATGCAATGGTGGGAGAAGCCTATAGAGTTGTGAATTAATCAATGTGTTGGTGATTTCAAAATAAGTAAATTGCATCTATACATTCATTTTCTATTTACACAAGAATCATAATTTTGTATGAATATAATAAAAGAGAAATAGTTTTAATGGCAAAGCATGTAAAATCTACATGTTGGATTTTCATGCTGCTGAAGTGAAAAGCGAGTATATATTAAATACAGTTGATAATTTGAATTGACCTTTTACATGTAGACTCACATTAATGTTGTTCATATTGTTGCAGTGGCTGAATGAGCAGAGCCTGGTACACAAACTGGTCTCAATGATAGACCCAGTACACTCAGAGGAGGTAGGCATTATAGGCAATTACGTTTACTTATAAAGTGGAGATTTGGTTTACGTATCCTCTTTAAAAGAAAAGGTTCATAAACCATAATGTGAAACATTTCAAAATAATGCTTTATATGTACGCTGATACGCTGAAGTCTTAACTTTAATTTTGATTATTGCCATGTATTGAAATATTTCTCACTTTATTTTTTGGTCAACATAATTTTCATGAAATAAGAAAGTCGGACACATTTTCCAGGATAACCAGTGCAATATTTTTACTGTATACAAATGTGTTCCAGAAACACTGCAATGCGTCCCAGTCTCTTTGTGATATAATCAGACTGAGCCGTGAACAGATGAGCCAGATGCAGGACAAGGCAGACCATGACCCCCTACTGGAAACCATAGAAGCGTAAGCAAACTAGACATGTTAAGATCCTGATATTTAACCCAAAGACAATTTTGATTTATGCATATAAGAAAGGAAAGTCACACATATTTCTTTTGTGTTCAACTAATGAATGACATGGATGGTTTTAGGGGAAAATATGTTTACAGAAGTTTTCTCAAAATAACTCCACAGAGGTTTTGAACATAATGCACAGAGATCCAATTGTTTCATACTAATTTTAATATGTCCTGTCCAATTTCAGGCAAGAAACTGTGACTGAACTGCTGAACCATATGTTTAACGGAGAGAAGTCAGAATCTGTTTTAGTCAGCGGTCTTTCCGTCATACAAACCTTACTAGAGTTCAAAAAATTGGGTAAGTCTGATCAATGAACTAAATAGAGAGAACATTGAAATGTTTACTTTGGAAGTTCCATGTTTGTAATAAACCTCTCTGAGAAATAGGTCATTATCTGAACCTACCTGGCTGTATGTGGCATGATTAAAAATGAGATTTGTTAGTAGGAACCATATGATAATGTAGAATCTACTTATCTCTAATACTAAAATCTATAATAGCTCATATACTTGTTGAATTAAAATGTTTCAATTGTAAAGCTATGGTTGATTTTAATCATTACTGAATGTGTCACATTATAGCCCAGAGGGTGGTGCTGAACAGATGACGTCACTAGATGCAGAGAGGTTTGCACAGGGGGTTAGTAAATGTCTAATGGCCATGACCCCACGCTTAAAAGATCTACATAATTTATTAGTAGACCCTCCAAAGGTAAGAGTACAATGCTGTTTTAAATATCAGTTTTAGAAAATTCAGTTTGTGCTCTGTTGGTTTGAATCAGTAATTAAAGTTTCCAATAAGTAGTCATACTTGCATATATTTGTCATATATTGCAGTTTATTGGATCTTCTTTCATATAATTTCTGAAAAGTAAAATAGTTAAACGTTTCTTAGATTTCGATTTATTTAATTGTGTTGTTTATTAAAAGTGTTATTAAACAAAAAATCCTGTATTAAGTTTTATTTAACATTGACATATTTTCTGAAGTTTGATTGAAAAATCAAAAAATCTTTGATTTGATTTGTTTACCATTTCAGCAACACTACAGTGCAATGCCAACCACCATAGGAACTCTAGACCCGCCTCTGGGAAACACAAGGCTGCAGATAGCACGATTAGTCAATTCTCTCATACAGACAAACACACATGCAATAAATACTGAACTAGCCAATTTAGGAACTTTGAATGTCTTATTAGTAAGTATTGTATGGTACCCTAATTATATGTGAAGATTTACAGTTATCAGTTTCGTTACGAATCATTTGAACTCTTCTTTGTCCTTTTTTTAGTGTTTTTTTTTATAGAAAATGGAAGCTGCCAATTGCAGTTGAATTTAATACTTTATTGTGTATTGATATATTAATCCACTGTGTTTAATTCTGTCCTGGGGGTACTTTTTGAAAATGAGGAGCTGCATACATATCATACATATACAATTTAAATATAATTTCTCAATATTTCTTAAAATTGTTAATATTAGATTCGCTAGCATTGGTGGTTGCAGAGTCTCATTTATTTTATTTTTTCTTACAGGAATTATATTTTAAATATGTGTGGAACAATTTTCTCCACACTCAACTAGAACAGTGTATAGGGACCATACTATCCAATACACCAACTGAGTATGAGAATAAACAAGAACACCCATTACTAGATCAAGTAAGTAGAGACTCTCTGACCATATTGATGATGTATTGAAGGAATATCTGTTCATGTGCCCTTGATATTTTAACATTAGGAAACAAGTTTTTATTTATCTAAATTCCAACTGACAAAGATGCTCATTGATTCAGTAAAAGTATTTATATGTATGTTTGGCATATCTTGGATACTCCTTTTATGGTTATGAATTGAGAAATTAATTTGCAATCAACAATGTTGAATCTAGCAGCTTTTCTCCACTAATTTATAAATCCATAGTTAGAATGCATTTTTTACAAGTTCAAAGTAAGAAAAATCTTAAGATATTATGTTCAACGAATGTGATCGAAAGTTTGATTCTTCTGGAAACTTTTTTGCACATGTAAATTATTATAACTTATCCCTCAAACATTGCACTGCTATTATCACCCCGGAATAGCCTGACTACGGTAAAGTCAGATACCGTTGTCACAAATGGCGGACATAACCGTCGCTTCAATTAGATTTGAAGGTTATGTCCGCCATTTGTGACAATGGTATCTGACTTTAACGTAGTCAGGCTATTCCGGTGTGATTATGTCCATGTATTTTCATAGCCACTCTACCCTCTGTACAACACTTACTAATAAATTGCATATACTTCAGATTTGCGACTGGAGTAATATTTTAAGGCATATTGTCAAAACCTCTTGTTTATTTCAGTTGTTTAGCAGCACTAATTTAATACAGAAAATCTTAGATGGCTGGGAAGATAATGAACAATCAATGTAAGTAAACGACCATATGTTTACAAAGAAATAATTTTTTAGAAGGTCGGAATTTTGATTTACAATAACCCAGATGCCAGTGGGTAGTTACCAGTTTCACCACCAGGTGGCTAATTTGGGTCAGATAGACCATTTGTCTACAGATACATCTTTTCTGAAATGTTTGAAATTTACCCAGCTCTATAACAAAATTATCTTTGTATTTTCACAACAGTTGATGTTTAGACACCATTCATAATCCTTTTCTTTTTCATGTATTTTTAGATCACGGCCGGGTGGTAGGAGAAAAGGCTATATGGGTCATTTAACAAAAATATCCAATCACTTAGTACAGAGTTTAGAAAAAAGTTGCAATGCGGCACGCATGACAGAACATATAAAAGGTTGGTTTTTGATAAACATTTAACTTTAAAATTGAAGTGAAATGTTATCTTGGTGTATCATGTACATTTAGTTGTAATTTACTCAAAGAACATAAAGAAAAGTGCAAAAACTACTCAGTCTATTTTAAAATTCTGTATGATTCACATATATGTCAATATCGAGGACTGCTACTAATTTGATAAAAATTATAAGGAATAAAAATTTCGAGAAGTAAATCTTGGCTTTATTCACATTTTCATCGCAAAAAGTTACAAAAGTCCTTCACACCGATTGCTGTTTTGCGATTCATATTCAGCATTTTCAGTCAATGTCAGTATCTGTAACAGTTGTTACAGTTCTGTAACCATTCACATTTTGTCATGTTAATTTCTTATTTTTAGAATTACCAGAAAAATACAGGGAAAAGTGGGAAGCCTTCTCAGCCAGTACGCTCACTGAGGCCAATAAAAAGAATACGGTTGAACTGGTATGTAACATTAATATAGCAAGCAATATAAAGTGCAACGTTAAAAATGCAGCTATGATGTGTTATACATTAGAATAGTATCTTTATGTAATATGTTGTCATCTGGACTTCAAATGATAACCTTGTGGGGGTCACCTGATGTTGTGACATCATTATATTATACATATATTATGCAACTATAACAGTAAAACTTGTTTAAAAAAACACCTCTCTGGTACCTCTAAAAGTATTCCACTTTGGAGGTGTTCCACTTTTCGAGGTTCATTTAACATTAAGTCAGTTGGTGTTGGGGCTCTGAAGTGTTCCACTTTTAGAGGTGTTCCACTTTGCAGGTTTCATTGTCCATTCCTTTTTTGCGACTGATCTATTATATGTTATGTCCAGCAGGTAGGAGGTCATCCATTGCTCTCTAGTAGTGAAGATGATGATGCAGATTTTAGAGACATTCCATTCCCACAGGACACAGCCATGCAGCAGGTACTAGCAATGTTATACTTAATTTGACCTAAAGATGGCTCTGGATGTTGAAGAGATAAAATCACATTATTATTAATTAATTTTTGGGATAAAAATTAAAAATTAATACCTATTATTCTAAATGTAAAAAATACTCTCTAAATGTGCAAAAAACTTTGTAGTTTGACTCAAATTAAAACAAGTTTAACTTTTTCAAAGATTTTTAATTTAGTTTTAGAGTTGAATGTTTTATCATTTGTTCTCCTGCATTTTGTTATAATTTGCTTGATTGTGACATTGAATGTATTATTATTGTCTTTGTTCTTAGCATAGCCAACCCTTTTACCAGTAACCAATATTGTTTGGGGGATAGATATGGTATTTTATCCCTCTGTATAAACATTACATTTTTGGATTTTTGTACTGAAGTTTGATTTTTGATACATTTGCTCAAATCTGAAACTGTAAATGTTGCAACGGTGTATTAGGATATCATATCTAAACCATATCCGTGCATAATTCAGTTTGGGGACAAGATATTGTATCTTTCCCTCCATTCTATTCTCTGCTTTCACCATCTTTTGATCCATTCACTCACTTGCATCCGTATCACACACTTTTAGAGGTTGTCCTTACCCATGAATACACTGACTGTATTTGTAAAGAAGCACACCTAGATTGACTGGAACATTTTCAAAAATAAGCATGATATGAAATGCGATCAGAAAATGTATTGTAAAATGTTGACAGTCTTTAGAAGGTAACTCAGATCAAATCATCTCTAGTTTCAGTTGCACTCTTAATTGATTCTAGTACCACACACCAGTATTGTATAGATGTGCTCAGTATAAACTTTATGTGAGCTGTACATAATGTTTCTAATGTTTCCCTTCCCACATATTTTGCACCTTTTGTTATTGACTTTCCACTCTGCTCTCCCTAGACATGTTTCACTAATGGAGCTTGCTTTGTTCTCATAACCCATGTTTTCCACTGAAGTGTAAGTATCCAAAACCGCAGCAATTGATTAACAATATAGTATTAGCCCTCTATCGTTTCTCTCTTGTTTCGTAGGTCGTTTTTAGTGTTGCATCATCACTAGTCTTCATGAATAAAACAATTGAAAAATGCCTAAAATTATAGTATTTTTGGTGATTGATTGTTTGAGGGGTGACCAATAAATTGTGGGTGATTTTTTCACTTGTTCATCAAATTTGGGTTTTCGTATAGTGAGACACTATCCAGTACTGCTTAAAAGCCATACATTTTGAAAGCAAAGTGTTTAAATGTTTCAAAGAAACATAAACTGAATCTTGCATCACTTGTGAAAAAGCATGAGATTGGAGTCTATAGTTTAAAACTTGGAAAAAATGACCACAACTTATTGACCAGCCCTTGCATGGAGATTTTAGCATTATTATAGTGAAGTTATTTCTATTTAGTGAGTTCCCTTGTAGAGAGTAGTATTTTGAAAGTTCTGTGACAAACCCTACAAATCTCATGGTAGTCAAAGTACATGTACATGCAGTATATTGTATATATTGAATTATTGCATTCATAGCATTGTTGAATGATAATACAAGGACTCTTTCATTTGAAAGGTTTATATTGTTCAGAACTTTTGTTTGATGGAAATATTGGCTACCATGCAGTTTTAAATGGTTGAACACTGAAACATTGCATGATAGGTTTGGCTATGCTAAAATTCAGAGACAGCACATAACACAACACATGACATTGCAAATATCCAATCTTTCCTCGGTCAATTCACAAATAGATATGAAGTATTGGTACCAACAGTTCAGATTTTGTGCGCTTGACTTTTTATGTTCATGTACACTAATACTCTATACAGTCTGAAATAGCAATTCTGTAGCCCCAGACTATTATGCATATATGAGGCATTTGAAATTATTTGAATTTGAGACCTGAACATCCATTTCTGCTTGATTGTACTATATACTATAGTCAAAGTTTTTTTGTTTTTCCGATGTTCAAATTTTATAAGTTACTATAGTTACCAAAAATTGGACCAATCATCTTCCCCTATTTGCTAAAATTGACCAATCAGCTTTCCCTATTTACTATGGTAACCAAAGAATTGGACCTATCATCTTCCCCTATTTGCAAAAATTGACCAATCAACTTCCCTTATTTACTATGGTAACCAAAGAATTGAACCAATCATCTTCCCCTATTTGCAAAAATTGACCAATCAGGTTCCCCTATTTGCAATGTATGTGCTGTGTGTGTGTGGATAGCCAGAGTGTAGCGCACTGGTGGCATTCTCTTACTGCCTGGTTTGTTCCGCCAGGCATTCTCTGATTACCAGTTGCAACAAATGACCAGTAATTTTATTGACCAGTTTGGCTTCAACGAAGAAGAGTTCGCAGAACAGGAGGAACCAGCTGAGTAAGTAAACAAAATAATTTTTAATGAGTGAAATAAATCCTTAATGGAATTAATGAGTGAAATAAATGCTTATGAGTGAAATGGATGCTCATGAGTAAAATGGATGCTTAATGGAATTAATGAGTGAAATGAATGCTTTATGGAATTAATGAGTGAAATAAATGCTTTTGAGTAAAATGAATGCTTAATTGAATGATTGAGTGAAATAAATGCTTATGAGTGAAATAAATGCTTAATGGAATTAATGAGTGAAATAAATCCTTGTGAGCAAAATAAATGGGTAATGGAATTATTGAGTGAAATAAATGCTTATGAGTGAAATGAATGCTTAAGGATGCAGTACCGGGTCGGTTTTCACGTCTGTTTGCGCAGGTTTGACTTCCGGTTTGAGAAAGCTAGCTCCCAAGTACGTCATTTTCGCATTTAGTCTTATTCAAAAATTATAGTTTATTTCGATAATGGTGTTTCCAGAAAAGAATTAAATTGCAAACATTTTATCAAGCATATTTTATCCCTTTCACTTTTATGGGAAAACTTGTTCTTGAGTCGCAATTAGTGGATACGAAAACCAGGGTTCGAAAGGTGCCAGCTCTTTTGAAAACTCAAAAAAGTAAAAAGATTCATTTTGGGTGGGTAAAATAATTTTTTTATTTTGTAATTACCAGACGGTCAATCCTCTTCATATTGCACTTTGATGATGATAATATCATAGTGATACATTGTAAAAAATATGAGCAAAATCTAATGTCTGGAACTTTTTCTACGCTGACCTGGTACTGCATCCTTAATGGAATTATTGAGTGAACTAAGTAATTAATGTTATTTCTCTTATAGCATGAGCATCATTCCATCATTTATAAATTAGCCATTCATTTGAAAATGATAATATTTGCTCCAAAATGGTATCAATAAATGCAGGTACTGTATGACATATTTTTACCAAAACTTCAGTATAATTGAATCTGAAATCTGAATAAATTTATATTCATGTGTTCTCTGTCCATTGAAAATGCAATGTGCATAATTAATATTCAAGATACAAGTCCATTGAAATACCATACATACGCATAAGCATGACTTGTGAAAGTGCATTATATAGACTGAAAATAAAATTTGGTAATATATCTAGTGAAAGTATAATGTGTTCAATGAAAATGCAAAGTCACATAGTGAAAACACAAAATGTTTAGTGGAAATACAATGTGTGTAATGAAAATACAATGTGTTTAATGAAAATACATTGTTGTATTTTAGCAACCCATTTAATGAGAAGGTGAACAGTATTGACTTTGCTATCAACACAACAGAAACAAACGTAAGTATATCAGCTTAAATAAAAGTAGCGGTAAGAATAGGTATATAGGAGTGACATCACATTTTAGATCCATGGTACAATCTTGTGCCTTTTTAGATCACTAATTGTCCCAAGCTTGCTTTAAAATATACACTTCTTACAAATTTTTTATTCTGTACATCAAAATGTTTAATTTACCTGGAAACAATCTCATTGTATTCTCTTATATTTGCAGCTGAATACAGTATCAATATCATATTTTTTTCCTTGAAATAAATTTCAAATTCCATCCCTTTCATAAGATAACCGCTCTGTATTCTCTTAAAGTCCCCGTCTAAAGTTTGAAAATATTTTTTTATCATTCATTTACTATTTGTCAGTACTTAAAAAGTGATTTTAGAGATTTTTGAACAAAAAATTTTTTTTGAAAAAAAAGTTGTGAGCATTTCATTTCTCAAATATTCAAATTTCCCGCCATTTTTCAAAAAAAGTTGAAATTTCTTAATCATCAAATATTTTCCTAATGCATTTCAAAAAAGAATATCTTTTTAACACCAATGCAAAGATTGAACAAAGGACACACTATTTCAATAATAAAATGCCATATTTAATGGGCCACTTCAATGTTTTAGCATATCAAAAATATATTGAAACATTAGTGATGTCACTAAGGTAACCAAAACTTTTTGAAAAAAATTGAAATTTTTTTTTTCGATGTCAATCTTTTCTTAATATGCTAGACTTTCATAAAAACCAATGTTTATTGTCTAACCAGGTCAAAAGGAAGAATAAATTATGTTTTAGATATCATTGTACCATTGGATTCTATGAGAACTAAAATTTTGAAATGCATTTTTCTCAGAACCATTTTCATGCACTGATAAGTTCATTTCTCGCTTATTTATGAACCGATTTTCTTAATTTTTTCGGCAAAAAACATGGGAGGATGAATGCTATGCATTGGTATGAATTGTGGCTAATTAAAAGATATGAGTGACCTGTAAAAGTTGGTTTTAAATAAATTCACAAATTTTGGAACAAAAAGTCTATCAAAAACCACTTTTTGAAATTAAAAAAAAAAGTTTCACATATCACACTTTGATAACATTGGGTAAGACTACAATATAAGCCAAAGTGGTTTAAACTTTATATGGGGCCTTTAACTATTTGGAGCCGAATACAGTATCACTACCCCTTGGACTAAATTTCATATTCCATCCCTCTCATTAAATAACCTGTCTATATTCTCTTTATACTACTTGCAGCCGAATACAGCTATGTTTGAACAGGCTTGTAATGAACGTATACAACAGTTTGATGACCATGATAGCGATGAGGATATATGGAAGGAGGTCACTTTTACACAAAATGCATCCAACCAGGGTGTCTCCAGGTATGTAGTGGAGTGGCATATATGGGACAAGATCCCAAAAACTGATAAAATGGTGCTAAATTTTTGACCCAACATACCAATGGTTTCACCATTTGTTGCTTGAACCATCTTTTGTCATCACACTATCTTTACAATTTTTGAACATTTTCATGAAAAATAAGCAAAAATCAATGTAGTTATAATATTTCTAGACATGTAAACTTCATATGTATTATAGTGGCACTGCACCTGTAGCAAGCCCAGAGGTGGATGAGATTGCCAGTAACAGTTCAGACAGTGATTCAGAGGAGGACTTAGAATCCCCAGCAGTAATAAGACAAGCACCTTCCTCATCTACTACAGAGAAGATGGATGTAGATAATTCAGACAGTAAGTCAGTTCATTGTCTCTAATGTTGTGTTTCTTTTGATGTCAAGGATAATTGGTCTGCTAATATGGAGGTCAGTGTTAGAAGTTAGTTCTATCGTAGAAAGTTTTTGAATGATCATACACTGAGATCAATGATAAGGACATTAATAGTGTTACATGATATGCTTCATTAAGACATCATTTAACATAATTTTTACAAAATTTGGTTCATTTACACCTTTGCTTATTTAGCTAAGAGACCAAGTTCAGTTCTTATTAAATTCTGCATGCTTAAGTTGGATAATTTGTTATAAGACTGGGCCAACTTTGATGCAGTAACCATGGATTCAGGCCCTGTTGCTATGGACACAGCCAATTCACCATGGGAGAACCAACCAACTTCCACCTCAACTCCAGATACAAGTTCCAGTGGCAGCTCAGAGAATTGGGCCAGCTTTGGGGAAACAAAAAACCTGACGGGTGAAGCGTCACAGAAAGAAGATGAAGAATGGGCTGATTTTGCTAGTTTTTCTCCAGCTCCTTCTGATTTAGCAAGGTGAGTTTATTGTACTATTTATTCAGGTTTCCGTGTGAAGTTTTAATTTTATTAAATTTGAGCACATTTAAGAGGTTATCCTGTTCAATACTGGAAATAAGATTTTAAATTAGATACTTATGTAATAAAGATGTCAGGCTTTACTTTGAATAATGAAGTACTGACCCTTTGAATACCAAACCTTTTTCATTTTTGCTTATATTTAATGTTCAATATGATAATATTAGCAAACATAGACTAAATTGAACAAGAGTCATTTCAGTGAGAAATTCTGTGACTGATATACCCATCACTCTTGGTAATCAAGAGATCAATTAAATTGAATTAAATTAAATTATGTTAATTTGATGTGATGCTTCGGGGCTTTTGTGAATATGCTATATATACACATACAACGTACATGCACTGTGTTTATTGCAATTATTTGATGAATGTGATATCAATTAACTGAGGTTGAATCTTATGTGATATATTTTTTCAGTACTGACCCAGGACCACGCAGTAGCTCCCCCATTGCCATGGACACAGTAGAGAGTACCACAGAGAATCAAACAGACAGGCCAAATGCTTATTGTGAGTATAACCTTCTAACTGTGCAATTAATGCTAATAATGCTTTTCAGTCTAGTCAAGATGATATTACAACCTTTCTGTGGACAGTGGTCGATGTCTGTAACAAATTGCAGGTGGTGACATTTTGCAATAAATTTCGCCTTGCGAAAAAAATTGTTACTGTAAAATAAACAGATAGATAAGAAAAGCAGCTATAATTATTAAAACGTGATCAACACTACTCTAATTGCTACATTTTTTGTTGAATTTTTATGGCACTGATAATGCTTTTAATTTATTTATATATTGCAGTAGTTTCAAGTGCCCCAGCTGACCTGGGCTCAAGTGTGGATCAGGCTAAACCAGATAGCACAGTAACAAGTGGGACAGTTGCTCACATAGACACCACACAAAGGTAGGTTCCTGTGTATCAAGAGCAGAGCATGGTCACATGGCCTCCAACTTAATTTACCATACCAAATTGTCTTGATCCATCTCAGTTCACTTATTGTCATCATTATTTCACTTATTGTCATCATTATTTCACTTATTGTCATCATTATTTCACTTATTGTCATCATCATCCCATTGAATGAAGTTCGAAAAAGGCAGTCATGGCTGTTCATTTGGATTTGCTATGTCTTGGCATTACTGATATCTAGTTGAACATAAGCTCATCTTGCGTGCTATGGACTGTCATAATGACATTTTTGAAATACAGGATGACCCAAAAAAAAAGTTTGAAACAACTTCCAATTTTGATTAGATCTTCTTCACAAACGCACACAAATGTAGGTTTCTAATTGATGCATATTATTTGACACATTAAGAACTCTATTCGGACAAGAAAACTCCATCATAAGTATGTTATTTCATATAATAACTTGAGGGTTGCATTTTGGGTCACCTGTATAAATGAACAGTAAAACTTAAACACGGTATTCTTTCTTTATTTCTAGTGTTGCTCAGGAATCAAAAGATGACGTCGTGTCATCAACAACAGGGTTACCGCCTCCGACATCCCCCAAGGTTGCCAGCAGCTCTACCCCCACAGAGACCCCCAGCCAAGGCAACCCTAGTACCCCCAGCTCTAGCCAAACTAACCCAAATACACCAACGTCTAGCCAGCCTGGCCAGCCACCCAGTGATCAACCTCAACCTAGCAGTAATGTAACGCCCAGCAATAGGTAAGTCATTTTATTCAAGCAAACAAGCATATTTATTCTTCCCTGTATTTAAAGCACTTGGTAAGCCTATAAATCGTCATCTATTCTCTGTATCAATTTATGTTCTTAAAATGTACAACATTTATTGTAAATCCAGTTGTCAGAAATATGGTATGGTTATAGTATGTTCGACATTGTGGATACAGGTTGTCTCTCAATCATTCAGTTTTCTGCCATTTCTCTGTGTATGAGCGCTCAACGTATGGAATGTCCTGCTGGTAATCATACCCATACCCATACAAGTTGTATGCTTGCTGTTCATTCATACCAGAACTACGACGTGGAATGAAGTTACTGTCTTCAGACAGTCCAATCAGCTTCCAGCCTCGCTTTGCTAAAATGGCACCGGCAAAATGTTTGAACATAAATTCTTGGTCATTCTGTGGACCATGATGATATTCATCTTTATGCAACTCAAACACTCTTCTTTGGCAATTCAGGAGGTTAGATTGTAAGTAATCACACCTTAAATCTGTCAAGTTACATCCACTGTTTACTTTCTTCAACTCAGCCAAAAGTTCTTCTATCATACCAGATGGACCAGTAACCGTAAATTTATTTACACAGTTAGTTGGATCTATGTACACAGGATATTGATATTGGAGGGTCATAATGTCATTTTCTCCATTATGATATGTGGCCATTTCTGTAAATCTTTGCTTGTTCTTTATCTGTAAGTAAACAATTGGTCACAGCTTAAGAGTCTTCATTTTGATCTCTTGAATCTAGTAGAACAAGCATCACATCCATAGAAGCTTAGTTACTAAGCTCAGTTACTACACATAAACTTACAAATAACAGATAATAAAGATTCAATATACTCTACATGTATTTACTTTCCTCAGTTATAACATATAAACTTATAAATATAAGGTTCAATATATAGTCTATGTATTACCTTAATTCTATTTAAATTGTCTAAATTGTCCCTGTGTCACCAGTTTGGAAGCTCTCCAGATTGGAAACGTTTTATTTCAGTCAGTAAGGGGAAGGTTTGTGTGTAATGATATCTAATTAGGTGGGCTAGACTTAGGTACTAAGTACTGATATACTTATCAATATCACCCAATGTTCAATTATTTCTGTCATAGGTGCTCTTGATTGATGGATTATAGATTACAACAAACTACTATTTTACGCATTATATGTCAATTTATTTAGCTGAGAACACCCAGGTTATCTTATGTCAGCTTTAGTGTGCAAGATGAATTTTTTTCATATCACTTTTTCTGTCCAGGCTTTAGCTTTGCCAATTTTTTTTGTCGATTTGTCTCGTCTTCCATCATCTATAGGTTTTATGGCAATAGAATTTTTATATACAAAACATCACCAATAAAAGTAGCCAAATTATACACTGCCATCTATTCTAATATATATTCATTAAGATATCAAAATACAAATAACTTCATGGGTTTCACTAGAATTTCTCACAAGTCACAACTGGCTAAATAAATGAAAACAACAGTCAAAATTAATGGAAATCATAAATTTAGCATGGAAAAGTTGAAAAGTCCCTAAAAACAACAGGCGATTTTGTGAAAAAAATCAGTGAAAAATGCCTGTTGCCTGCTGCTAATGAAACCCCTGAACTTATATCCAAATATTAAAAATATGATGTTTATAGTATGTTCAACATTGTGGATTATAACAGACAGTAGTCTCTCCTCAATCATTCGATTTTCTGCCATTTCTCTATGTATGAGCACTCTGTGTACCCTCTACATAGATTATCTGGACTAGTATCAGTATTAACAGAACGTGTAATGAAGTTTCTGTCTTCACACAGTCCAATCAACTTCCAGCCTTGTTTGGCCAAGATGGCACCAGCAACATGCTTAAACATAAATTCTTGGTCATTAAGAGGATTATGGAAATTCTCAGGACACCATCCATTCATACCAGAACTAGAAGGCATTTGAAATACTTTTCTCTGGCAATTTAGGCTGTCAGATTCAAATTGATTGTCAGCTGTGATACTCATACAATTACATTTACTGTCTACTATCTTCAGCTCAGCCAGAAGTTTTTGTATCATGCCTGGTGGCCCAGAAACTGCGAGTTCATGACCAGGTGGATTTTGATACATGACAGGGTTAAGTGGACGATATTGAATGGTTATAATGTCTAGTATTTGTCCGTGTGAGGCCATTTCTGTAATTCTTCTTTGCTTGTTATTTATCTGCAAGTGGAAAATAAGGAGAATTATTGGTCACAGCTAAGAGTCTTCAATTTGTAAAGTGTTTCATGTTACAGTTATTACATTGTGAAAAGAGATATACAGGATCAAAGTCAACTGCATCCTCATGTTAGTCAATACACACCCTTGCTGAAATCCTTATTTTCTGAGAAAAGCTCCAGTTGATTGAGTCTCAACAAGTAGATTCATGTGGGGGAGTATTTGTAGAGTCCATTTTCAAAAGTAAGAATGGGGGTTCTTAAACAGGAAAAAGCTTAAAACTTAGGCCTTTTTGAAAACTTTGGTGAGCTCTAATGACTTTGAACTGAAAACTTGTTAACTTACAAACAAGATAAAAATTCAATGTTCATGTATTTTCTTTTCTCATTCATAACATATAAACTTACATATACAAGATTCAATGTACATGTATGTGTTTTACCTTAATTGTGTGTAAATTGTCTAAATTGTCCCAGTGTCAGCAGTTAGGAAACTATCTTTAAATTAGCAAAGTTGCAATGCTCATATTCCTCAGTAAGAGGAAGGTTTGTGTGTTATACAGGGCGTTCAGTAAGTAAAGCTAATTTTGCTCTCAAACTTTTATTTCTTGCCTATCATCGTTCAAATTTTCAGTGGAGAAGCATCAGATACTTTTTTAACTATCCTGAAAAAATGATCAAGATATAATGAATAACAGCAAAATGGTGGTTGTCATAGTAACGCGAATACGGGTTCTGCGGAGCAATTTTATAAGTTCACAGCATAGTAGATTTTGTTAACGTTAGTTTCTGTCCTGTCTATATTTCAACCATAGTTTTGTGGCTACTCCACATTTCTACTTTCAAGTTAGCATTCTATTTCATGTTCAAAGTAGTTCCCCTTAGCTTTCACACACAGCTGATGTCGTTCTATCCACTTCTGATATATCCTGTGGAAGCCATCTGGAAGGTTCTTTGTTAGCGAACGTTGAACGGCATTCTGCAGCTCATGGATATTAGCGTGAATCTTACCACGCAGATCATTTTTCAAACATGAAAATACCCCAAAACCGCACGGTGCCTTGTCAGGAGAATACGCTGACTGGCCTTGAACCTCCATCTCCAGCGTTTTCTGGATAGTATCCTGCACCATTTGCGACCTATGCGATGGCGCATTATCTTGATGGAATATGTAGGAGTTGGGAGTCCTATGGGGCCTCTTCTTGCGAATCGCCATGATTTTGATGATGTCATGGAGCAGTGTCTGATGGATCATTCTGGATCATTCCATCTGTTGTATCATCTGTCTGTGATTTCATAGACTACTGTTGCCATGGTATCATATTTGTGTATGTTGTTGTTATGTTTGTCGTGACTTTCAGCCATAGCAAACAAAGACATATGCAGCATTAATCTTAATCAATTTCATTGCATTATAACATTTTTATTAAAGTAAGAAATTGCTCCGCAGAACCCGTATTCACGTTACTATGACAACCATTATTTTGCTATTATTCATCATATCTTATTTAATTTTTCAGGGTAGTTAGAAAATCGTCAAATGCTTCTTCACTGAAAATTTGAAAGATAAATGACAAAAAATAAAAGTTTGAGAGCAAAATTAGCTTTACTTACTGAACGCCCTGTAATTATAACTATTATTAGGTGGGCTAGATTGTTATGTCACCACCAAAAGTGGTGACATATTGTTATGGTCTCCGTTTTTTTTTATGTCACCACCAAAAGTGGTGACATATTGTTATGGTCTCCGTTTTTTTTGCGACGGCGGTTGGAGGTTGGCGTCCGGCGGTTGGTGGTTGGAGGTTGGCGTCCGGCGTCTGTAACAATTTCTTACAACTTCCTATAACTTAACAAATACTGTTTAGACTGACTTCAATTTTTTTCTAAATCATCTACATGTTCTCAGAAGTTCAAATGTGACTTTAGATTTGACATTTGACCTTCAGTGACCTTCTCAAGGTCAAAAAGGTCTTTTTTCAACTTGCTTCACATTGACAAATTTTTTTTCAAAATCATCTACATGTTCTCAGAAATTCAAATCTGACTTTAGATTTGACATTTGACCTTCAAATCTGACTTTAGATTTGACATTTGACCTTCAATGACCTTCTCAAGGTCAAAAAAGGTCAAAAAGGTCTGTTTTCAACTTGCTTCAAATTGACTAAATTTTTTTTTCAAAATCATCTATGTGTTCTCAGAAATTCAAATCTGACTTAAGATTTGACTTAAGATTTGACTTAAGATTTGACATTTGACCTTCAATGACCTTCTCAAGGTCAAAAAAGGTCAAAAAGGTCTTTTTTCAACTTGCTTCAAATTGACTAAATTTCTTTTTCAAAATCATCTACATGTTCTCAGAAATTCAAATATGACTTTAGATTTGACTTTAGATTTGACATTTGACCTTCAATGACCTTCTCAAGGTCAAAAAAGGTCTTTTTTCAACTTGCTTCAAATTGACTTTTTTTTTTTCAAAATCATCTACATGTTCTCAGAAATTCAAATCTGACTTTAGATTTGACATTTGACCTTTAATGACCTTCTCAAGGTCAAAAAGGTCTGTTTTCAACTTGCTTCAAATTGACCAAAGTTTTTTTTCCAAATTATCTACATCTTTTCAGAAGTTCAAATTTGACTTTACAAGTTCTCAGAAGTTTAAATCTGACTTTAGATTTGACCTTTGACCTTCAATGACCTTCTCAAGGTCAAAAAGGTCTTTTTTAACTTGCTTCAGATTGAACAATTTCTTTTTTCAAAATCATCTTCAAGATCCCAGAAGCTCAAATCTTCAAAAACCTTTAGCGCTTTAGAATCAACTTTAGTGTGAAGATTCTCTTGCACTCTACAGCATCTGATGCAGCCATTGTGGCGGTAGTTAGATCAGGCGTTTCTGAATATTTACAATATATCATGTACATTATGAGACATGAAACATTCATTCTTTAAAATATAGTTAAGTCAAGATACGTGTGCTCCTTGTGTTTATTCATTTAGTATTGGATTCCCCCATTAAACAATAGTGACATTCTAGTACATTCTAAAGATTGTTTCCAAGAATCATTCATGCCCCCATCATTCCTATATAATCCCCCTTGATAAAGCCTCAAGGGGCTTAGCGATTTTATTACGAACTGTATTTTGAAGTGTATCAATGAAATAAGTTAATGAATAAAAAAAAATATGTAATATCTTGTAATATAGAACAGATATAGATATGGGACAAACTTATTTAATGATAAACCATTGAAGACTGTGCATGATCTCACCAGCACATAATATCCATCCACATTATAGATTCTTACATACACATACTTGTTAACAATGCCTTAACAATGAACACAATATATCTTAATTACAATTAGAAGTTTTATCATATAATTATTTACCTTTAACTCGATGAAAGACAAAAAGGAATTTCTGTCTTGTTCTGTTGGTCCGTCTTTATGTTAACTTTGAACTGAGCACAGAAATGAAAGGATTTAAACTATTCTTTGATAATGATCTACCTGTTTGTCAAGTGGTGTTATATTTCTATCCGTGCACTCTTGATCATGAGAAAATCTTTTGAAATGATTTATTTTATATTTGCATTGGTTGTATAAATCAGATGTTGAGGACATATCGAATATTTAAGTAGTTCTAAGAAATTGTAAGCAGATCCATATATGGAAGTTGTATAAAAGTTGTATTTATAGATCTTTGCCACCTGTATGAAATTATAAAAGTTATTTATTATTAAAAAGTTATCTCGATCTCTTTAATAGTGAATATTCCCAATACCTTATTGACCTGAGCATTACAGTACACGTATCATTGTGACAGTGAGGTGTTTGAACTGTTCCAAATACCTTATAAATATGGCTAATGCCACATTTATTGAAATGATATGATGAACTTAGAGTCAGCCTCAATATTTTTTTTTTATGATTGCTTATAATATTATCAAGTCAAGCGTGGTATTTATTGAATATAAGAAAAATATCTTGTAGACCTGGATTGTCCTAATCTATGCACATAATTTATTAAGTACTTACTATACTTGCAAGTTATACAAATATGCCTTTCCCATTGTTTAAACTCCCTCCCTTATCATTTAAATCTCTATGTTTTTCAGTGCTTCCCCTGGTGCCACATCACAGTCAACAGAGGCAGAAACCAAACCAGCTGTGCCATCAACAGAGCCTACCCCCTTAGATAATAATCATCCCCAAGAAGATGACGACTTACAAGATAATTTCAAGTAAGACATAAATGCTTTCTTAATCCTATTCAAGTTAGAATTTGCATGTTATATAGGCATATTTGGTAGAATAGGAATGCAACAGAAACAATACAAGTAATAATCCTCATGTAATATTTATTTTAGTTGTATTTTTGCAGCCCTATTTTGCCTATTTTGAGAGTGTTTGATTGATTGCAACATTGTACTCCCCTATCTTTTTATTGACACCTTTTCGTAAATCAGTGCAGTTTTGATTAATTTATTAACATATATTTATCCAAGGCCTGGGTTTAAGAAATAGGACATGTTTTTTCACAAAGTTGAAGCTTGATAAAATATTTTATTTGTTTAATTTTTTTTGTAATTGTATGCAGACTGTGTCTGTTAACATGTTAGTGTATGGATTTGATCCCTAGTTATTAAAACATGCGTGGTGTGAATAGCTTTTTAGCATCAGCTGGTCTTATGAGGTTTGATGAGCCAAAGGCCACTGGAAATGGACCAACAAGTAGTGAAGATTCCGAGACCGCTACTGTCGAGGCAGCCAGGTGAATTAGCATGGATGTCCTTTGGAATGATACAACTAATCCCTATTAACCAATTACTGATCTTATGAATGAAGAATGTAGAAAGTCCTAAATCCGTTGTTGTTGTTACCATGGATATTTTGATGTCATAGCGAGAGAACAATAGATTTAGGAATTTCTAAATATAGGAATGTTTCTAGAAATTAGGAGTCTTGCTTGGGTCAGGATATTTCACATGAACTTTAACAGTGTAAAGAAAATGTTATAGCAATGGAGTAAGACACACTCCGGGGAGCATTGGTCAATGAGATTTATAAAACATGTACGTACAAGTCCAGTAAATAATTTGTTGAAGCAAGCTATTAATCGCGATTAATATCTCTATGAAATTCTGTATATTGTAATCTGCTATTTGGTCTCAAAGGAATGAAGTTATTTTTTGAAAAGTTTGAAAATATCCAAATCCTGACCCTTTCGGGATTGCCTATCATAGAATAATGCTGTTGTAGGCTAACAATAACATATTGTAGTATGAGTGTATTATTACCTCAAGTTTTCATAAGGTAATTCTTAATTCAGTTGTTGTTACCATGGAAATTGTCATCACAATTGAAAAAAACAAACAATAGACCTTGGAATTCTCAAGCTTTACAAAAGCTTTTGGTAATGGCCCCTGATTAGTGTGAAACACAGAACACAGGAAAACACACGATATTTTCTAATCTTTTTTATCTAAATTATTCATTCATATTCTTAAATGAACCTTATAATATAATCCCTTTAATAAATCATTTTTTTGCATGAAGGTCATGTATTTTACCAATGTTTTATGTGTTTCGTTAGGTTTCTTGTTAACATACTGTATTTAAGATAGGCAGAGTTGTGGAGCAAGTTATCTGGCCATTTAACTCAAATTTTTTAAACTTTGTCTTTCAAACAGATTTCATGTTTTAAATGATCTCATTAGCAGCAGCTAGCCTAACAGGGAATTTTCTTTATTTTTTTCTAAAAAGAGCTTATTGTCTTGAGTCATTTTGCAACTGTTGCCATGTTGAAATGATATAATTTTGCCTATTTAATTTTCATTTGTTTTGGCCATTGCCAGATATTCCAATGAAATACCCATTCTCTTCCAAACTCATATCTCTGCCTACCTTAATGATGTAGAATTTAATGTAGACATACTAATACTTAAATTTAGAGCATTTGTTGAAGTTGTACTAAACCACCTTGTTTTCTCCATTCATATAAGATTGAAGGGTCAAGAATAGAGAGCCTAGTTTTGTGTTAAGCCTATGGTTGCATAGTTGAATCATATTTTTATGGGTTCGAAGAATAATGATTTAGGAAATGCTTATAATCTGAAGTAGGCTTTATAAAATACATTGTAGCACATGCACATGACCCGTATTGCAATTGAGGTTTTCTAACTTTTCTTGTTCTTAAAAAGTTATATTTATTTTCTTAGTAGTTATGGGTCATGTGATTGTAAGCACTATTGTCATGTATTTAAAGTAATGTATGATGTCATTCATTGATACAGAACCCAGCCTGTAATGAGTTTTTTAATTTAAGTGTTTTACGAGATAAATGATTAATTGAACATGTACTTGTCTTTTGAACAGGCATATAATTATAATGTTGCCACAACAAGTGGTGACATATTGTTATAGTCTCCAACTTTTTTGTGGATAAGGTTCGATGGTTTGTGTTTGGCATTCATAATTTGGTGGTCGGTGTCTGTAACAAATGGCAGGTGGTGACATTTTGCATGTTATCGCCTTATTTCATTTCATATTTTGCCAACATGCTTGAAAACATCAGTATTTTGAAGAATTGCTCATTCAATCACCACCAGAAGTCCTAAATAATATAATATCAACATTTGTTAATAAATAATGTACATGTACATAGTTGCTTACTAGTCTTGTTTATTCTATGTTAGATTATACTTTTATGCCTTTATCGTTTCTATTCAGAGGTGTTAGTGGTATTGTAATTACTTCTTGTACTTATTGTGTTATGTACATGTATGTAGCAATTAAGTTAGATGTTTTTTATCATTTTTGGCTCCTCCTGTATACGCTGTCTCCTATGAATGAATCTTGAAATTAGAAGATGTATCAATATGTATTTATTTTGTTTATGTGTTTTTTGTATGTTTTCAGAGCCAAAGCACTTGAAGCATTACAACAGTTCACATCTGCGTCTAGTACTCCTCCTGCTCAGAACGGCCCTGTTTGATATCACCTTCCCATATCTTCTCCTTGTGCTGCAACTCACATCAGGAAGACACTGTCGCACAGTGTTCACTATGTGCCATCTTGCCATCAGGTGCAAAAGAAAACTAAGCAATGGTGATATCCTGGTCATGATATTCAAGTTGTACCAGATTGATTGAGCAACAGTTATGTCATGATTAACAGTGATTATTGGAGGAATTATAGCAACAGTGCCATCCTAGTGTTGTGATCACACATGTCAAAAAGGGAACTATGATATCATAATCCTAAAAATCTTGAATTGGCACATAAAGCATTCAGAAACCAGTAACATAGGATGTATTTATGATTTTAATTATTTTACCCATTCCTGCATATTAACACCCAGAAGGGAATTAAGTTGTATATTAAATAAGTTCAATACGAAATGGGTAAAAGATAACAGTCTCATGCACAGAGCCAATTTTCCCACCCCATTGTGCATAATGCTAATAAGGATAAACTTAGGACCTCCAGAGTTCATGCTCAGCACCTTGTTCAGATTAGGACTTTAAAACAATCTTGCATCCCATTGATAATCAATTTACGCCTCATGGAGTATTCAGAAACTTATGACAGCGATGGATATTTTCACCAATTTTTGACTATGGACAGATGTCATTTGAGACAAATCCTAGTGAGAACCTTGAATATCTAAGAAGAATGCTGTTTTGCAACTCAGTTGCAGTTTCTTATGTGAAACCCTGTTCTTTTACACAACAGTCTCATCATTGTTTGATTCAAACACATGAACCTTTGATGTGACCCCAATTGAGCCATGATACTTCAATAATATTGAACCAGGTCAACTATTTTGAATCGGACTTATGCCTCAGTCACATTTGATATACGACAACTGCACAGCAGCCGTGGCTTGCCAAGATCGAGAGAAATATGCAGCATAAAATACAGGGATAAGCAGCACAATGTCGATTTTCTATATCAATTTTGTGAAGCTATAGCCAATGTAGACCAAATGTGACTGAAGCTTAAACTATGAAATATAAAAGACAAAGTTTAAATTAGCCGAGTTAAATGGCCAGATAACTTGTTCCACAACTCTATGAAATATAAAAATCCATTCAAACAATGTGCTCAGTGCATCACTCACGGCCTGTGAATAAGACTAAGTTATGTTATATAAATCTCTTTGTTTACCATGTACTTGGTACTCCATTACCACCAGAGTCTTGAGGCAATTTGCTTGACTATTTAGTGAAAATATCATCGTAGATAGTTTATCATAGGTTCAGTTTTTGGGCATTTTATATGTCATGTGTTGTCACTGAGTTGTATTTATTGAAGTTTGCTGTGTTTAGCTCATCAAATAACCATTAGTTTATTTATAATTTATTTCTATGAAATATCAAAAATGTGATTTGTGTTAAAGTACTTCTTAATATGCTGTCGAAATATGTACTGTATACCATTAGTGACATCTTTCTCTGTAAAGGGAAAGAATGTCATCTAAAATGCTGTAAAACATTTTCGAAGTTACATGAGTGAACACATTGATTAATGTGTTGAAAGGTGCTCATATTTAACATGGCATTTTCAGTGTTCACAAAGAGTAGCTTTATTGTATTAAAATACAGTAAAACCTGTGTAAGTGGCTTCAAAATAGTGTTCCATGTACAATATAAAACAGTGATCTCTCTAAGGATTTTTTCTCAGGTGGGTGCAAAATTCACATATCCACAATTCCAACCAAAATTGGTCAAAATACGCCAATTTTTCATGATATTTCTCTTTTTCAAGTGGGTGCAAGTGGATTTTCAGGTGGGTGCCAGTCTATTTTCAAAATCTCAGGTGGGTGCTGCACCCACTTATTTAATGCTGGGGAGATCACTGTAAAATATGTTTCTTCAATACTTGGTAAGTTGGTACCTTGGGTGATGATACGTTATAACAGTTAGAAATATGAAACGAAACAGCATTCATGCTTTGAATACTACAACTTGATGTGCTCTTGTGCCTAAAGCAAAAACAAATTAAATGTACTCTCGTGTCAATTTTCTTTGGATTATAAACTGTATATAATCAATTATTGAAAGTGAATCAAATTGATGTTAAAGTGAGTCTTTGTCAATCAATACATATCTTTTCCCAATGTTGACATAGGAGTGAGTAATAGGATTGCCATTTGTTATAAATGACAGCTCAAAATGAATTTTTTTCGTGGATGAAAGTTTCCATGGACAAACTTAAATCAATTAAGCCATTGTTTTCTCTGTAATTTTCTCAATACCATGCATATCAATGCATTTTAATGTTACCAGTCTTGTTAAATGCTTTCTCAGGAAAACACCAAGTGTCTTGACCACTGATCAAGGAATACACACTAAAAGGCATCGCCGTTTTGAAGCGCAAATTAATTTCCTGTTGGCATGCCTTCTGGTATTTGGGTGAAATCCTTATAATTTGTAGATTTTCTTTGAAACAGTCAGCTTTAGGCTACGTCAAAATGAGACTCATAACTATCTGTTGATGCAGTAGGAATCATATGATTTGAATATACTTTAAGGTGGGACCTAAAGTAACATTCTGCCTATAATTTGATGAACAAGGCCCACCTTAAAACAATTTATTTTGGATTCATTCTATTCCTGTTTAAATCATCTAATTTTTTTTCTTTTTATCAGCTGAAACTTTTTATCTCAAATTATGTTCTCACGTGTCACTCATGGAAGCTCAATTTTAGTGAATTCATTTATCGTTGTATAATTAATCATTTGCAGTTTAATCATTGTTTTTTTTTCATAGAGGTCCGGTGACAAACCTGTAGATTGTGAGATATTTTATTATTGTATATACATTTAATTAGATTAGCCAATTCTGATGTTATGTCTAGTGAAGGTACCAGAAGGTATAACATTCAATTCTGCCATACAGATCATAAAATGCACACGCCAAGTTCACGGTTCATGAATAATTCATTCTCCAAACACAGAGCTCAAGACATCAACATGTGTGAAAATATAAGTTACCCTGCATTTTGAGGATGAACATTTTGGTATTCTGTCTTAGAATATGATTTGAAATTGGAATAATAATGGGTGCTATCACTGATATCATTTATTAATTCTAAACAAACACTACTTGTTGAGGAGGAATCGACCCAGAATTCAAAGATGAACCAATCTGCATGTGGAGTTAAACATAATGGTTCATCTTTACATGAAGATATGTTCATCTTTGAATTCTGGGATATTCCCCTCTACAGTTCTTGAGTGAGTTTGAAGAAGGGTATTGCTGTTCTATTTTCTGTATGGCATCTCTCCAGTATTACTTACTCATCATGCTTTATTTTCTATGTATATTTGGAACATGAAACTTACTGTTAAATTATTTATTAAAAGAGTTCAATGAATATACCAAGAGTTTGATAAATGATGTTGAACTCATCAAAGGCATGATGGCACAATCTGGTATTGTGTAATAATATACAGTAAAAGAAGCAATAAGGATTGAAAGTATCATGTAGATAATCTCTTGGTATTTTGATTGGACCTTAAGGTTGGTCATGTAGGACTATTTGCATGTTAGCATGCGTTCTGGTATCATGCGCATACATGTGAAAGTTGTCCAACCATGCCCACCTTAAGATGTGTGCCTTTGCTGTATATGTTTATGTTAAAGCCACATTTACCCTTACTTGGAATATAAATGATATAATGGGCATGTTAAACTCTTATATAAGTGGTATTGATTTGTCTCCAGATCAAGATGTAGTATATGGCTTTAAGTAATTGTATAATATTATATCAAACTAGGAGTTACGTCATATAGGTGGCACCACATGTTCTTTGTGAGTGTTGAACTTTTGATTGACAATGACGAATGTGTATTTTCTTGTAATATAGTGTAAATAAAAGAATCTAGATTATGTAATATAATGTCAGTACAGTCAAACATTAAATGGTACTAGAAGCTCAAATGAATAAATGATTTGCATACATAACAACAGTTAAAATATGACTTAGGAGCATTTATTCTAAAACTATGTCTCAAATAGTTTGTAGACTTTCAATTAATGTAAAATGCTGAATCAGCATTTTTGGTACTGGGATCTGCACAGCCACATGAAATGTCTAATTTCCTATGCTCCATTTTGAGACTGTAAGTTAAATAAAGTGTGATAGGTTTCCATATGATCTTCAGGGTCATCTTAATTGAAGTTTCTATTTTAGACTGATTGCTCCACTGCTGTTCATCCATACATAATAAGTGTTCAAACACCAGGTATTATTCCTTTATGTATATTTTGGTTCTGAGATGTTCAGGCTTCAGATATGGATAGGAAACTTAAAACTTTGATTTGGGATAAGAAGACATCCTAGTTTCTGACTGAGCTTTAACATACATTACTGCGTTTTATACAATAAAAGTATGAAAAAATTCTATGTGGTTTGATATTGGATCAGTATTTATTTCTAATTCTGTGATAATTACAATGGTCTTTGGGACACCTATAGATGGCATGCTAGGCAACCAGTGATTTCACTTCTGTTGCATTGGATATAGATATTGTATGAATGAAACATGATTTTAAATACTAGTTAATTGTGATATTATTTAATATGCATAATTGTGTTCTTAATAGAAAATCATTTCAATAGACTTATTTTATTGACATATGTTGTGAATGACAACTTTAAACTAGTTCACTCGCTCCATCTATTGACTATCACACTCATTCCTAAGAACATTTTACCTAATTTACTTACAGTGTACATATGACGTGGCATTGAAGTGGCGTCGAAATAATTTAATATTAAGTTCCCATATTGTTCATAGTGGAATGCAACAATAGATTCAATTGATACAATGAATATATTAGTTACAACGTTAAAGATGTAAAAAGGAAGCTTCATTTTATCAGATATGCTTAAACTTGTAGATAAAATATTTCACCATTTCTGTTCAAAAGTGAGTTTCCTCACTATTGCCATAATCATTTGTATAGGTTTTGTGCAGGTTGTCACTTGTGAATAGATAATGGTTAGGCACTGCTGGTGAATGTGCATTGGATTGGACTGGTGTACATTGTAGTCATATTTTGTACAATAAATATAAATAAATACTCGTAAATGTGTTTTTGTTATTTATCTTTGGAGTTCTCATTTATCATTCAATAAAATAAGGCAAAGTTGTACTTTTGTCAAAATGGAATGAGACTATGTATTTTGATGGACATTATCAGCATATACAATCTGGTGTGAGTTGATTCAATAGACGCAACTCCAAATCCATTTTACATTCATTTTTATGATTACCTCATGGCTGTGTTCATGACATTCAAAATGATCAAATATTTAAAGCTGCTGCAAAGTAGCAGATTATCAGATTGCTGTTGGAATAATTGGTTTTGTGCACATAAGTCAATCAACTGCCTGAATCTGGTCTGAAAGCATTTTCCAAATTGATCTTCAGAACCTGAATTGGTTCTTATCCTTCTTCATACTGCTGCTATAAATCTGCAGTTACCAAAATGCACTTTTTCCAAAATGTTGAAAGCGAAAACACCATTTCATATAATGTCCACCCAGTTTATGTTACACCAAAAACTTTGCATCAATATCAAATATTATTGATTGACTGGAACCTGTCCCTATACATTGTACAGCAGAACAGTTGTGGGAAATGGTTCTCAGAATTGTATACCTCTCTTTAGGTCAACTGGCAAAATTGCAGAAGAATAAATAGAGGTCTCATTGTGTATTTTTCTAAGTATCAAATTAGAATATAATTACGGATGAAGAACTCTGCAGTGATGTTTGAGATTACCTGTATGGTGAATGATCCTTGTTTATCAGCTTGATTTGGAATCACATTCAGCAGACAATTTCAGTAGAGGAGGCTAGAGATAAATGCTATACAAAGAGAATTACGGCATAAGTTGTGTATCACAGTCGTATACAT